GTGATGGTGAGCCACCTGGTGGCATGGTGGACACATTGCGAACTTGACCGGTAGAATTCAGTCTGCATCAAACAAAGGACCTGACACATATTACACTAGTTACTAACGTGTACCCAATCAAAGTAGTACATCAACGTTGAAAAGACAGTCTTAAATGAAATGTGAGAAATGAAGTTGAGAATTTATGATAATAATAAATGTGGTCCAAGAACTGTGGAAAATATTTCTCCCCGGAAAGGTGTCTACAACTAAATCCTAAACAACAACAAGTGATAACTCTCTAGAGTGTAGTGTTTTGAATGACTATCGACACTTCCACAAAAAAACTGGGCCATAAAACTGGGTGTGTTTCTCATCGGATTTCCGAACATCACTCTGCTTAGTGGTTAAGTAAAGGACAAACAAAATCTATTCGTAGTGCTATTTTATTTCATCTTGTGCATACAGAACACAAGATTGATGTCAACGAGGGGGCTTTCAAAGTCATTCACCGCATACCAAAAAATCTTAACTTCGCCTTAAGAGTTCGTATACTAAATATTGCTGAGGCTGGCTGTTGGGATTCACATTAAGAAGCTTAGTTTATGTGTCAAAAAGAACTTAGTTCAGACATTATCCTTACCTTGGCCATCTAGGTTTGAATGGTCTTCAATTTTTTGTAGAAATTTCCTTAATTTTAGTTGATATTCTATTTGCTATTATATTTTTATGCTTATTATAATTTAAGCATCTTATGTGAACTGTAATTCCATTGATCTTACTTTACAAATCTGTATTATTTAAAAAACACTAATATTGTTATTGACTACTGTTCTAGAATATTCTATGTATATGAACATATATACATAATTGTAGAGCCAGAAGAGGAATTTATCGAAAAGGATATTTTTCGCTCCATCATTTTGTTTTATATAGATGTCAGTAAAAAACGTTATCCTGTTTGAAATTTTTAAAGTTTTTGAAAAATTTCTCCATTAATATACCCTTTAATTCACTTAAATTCGATATTTTTTAAATACAGCTGATCAGGTGGTTTAAAGCAACTTCATATTTATGCTATTGCATTGTCAGAAAATGTCATTTCATCAAATTTCAACGTTATATAGACCACGTATTGAACAAGTTAAGACAGACGGTTTACTGTTGCCTGAAAACTTTTGCCAACCTACATAATCTCTGGTGTAGAAGTGGTATATCCTTAATATATCGATCAAAAGACGCTTGTAGTGCACATCATTACCGTCCGTCCTCCTTCATGGCTTTGACACATGACCGCGTTGAAAGTGGAAGAAAAGTGAAAAGGTTAGCAGTCTATGATCATGGGTGCATGCGTCCTTTCTCTCGTGTATTAAGTGGTAGAATATGGTTTGTAATATTGAGATTAGGCTTAATGTGTTAGGTAAGGAGGGACACCCAGTCGGTGAGGTTGTAAAACTACATCGACTGAGATGACATGGACATGTGTTACACATTGTAAGTCACCGCCATCCTCGATAAGCAACGCTAGACCACATACGATTAAGTTGGAAAAGAGTAAGGCGTGGTCAAACCAAAACATGGTCTCATCAGTCCATGAAATCTTTGACGATAGTTAGTTTGAACCAGTGTCACGTAGGGAGGTGTAGACTACCTACCTGGTGTGAGTCGTTCAGACACTAATCACCAATGATCGGACACTACTGGAGATAAGACTCAAAATCGTTGTCAGTGGCGCAGATGTATTGACTCTTTATGATCTCCCAGATGCAGTAAATCCTTATGTTTTTCCATGTTACTGTTCTTTTTCCTGAACATTTCTGCTTATTATAGTTCTCTTGAATTTTATTTATCTGCCTTTGTGTGCTACATGGAATGTGGCAACACGGACTGCTTCACTTCTCTGTGAAATTCTATGTTGAAACCAGTCAGTCATTCAGTTTTGATAAACGATGTGAGGATGATTAATATAGGACCAAGAAGATGTGGTTATAATTGGTCTAAGTACTCGACTTACGGCTAATAGGTTCGCTAGTTCAAGGAATATGATTACTGCTCATATCACTGCTCTACAATGATTAACTTCTAAAAGTTCACCGATGAATTCGTTATCAATAGGCTGTATGCCAGATTGAGTATGAAAGACACTTAAAAACCGATGGTCATTGTATGATGACAGTGTGGCACTATAAACCAGGGAAACCTGAATATTCTGGGTCACACTCCCGGGAAGGCAAGGTAATAGACACCAACTACTATAGATGTTCGATCACAAGCTGACATCAGTTAGATAGAGAACCATTGGAAACACCACGGAATACTGGACAGCTGTTTTGTCCTAATTTGGAACTCTTCGGCAGTACGAATCCAATGATAGGGTTCGAACCCGAGACTTACCGGTTACAAAACCGGCTTTAGTAGACCATTCAGCCATTGGAACCCGATGCAACTATCAGACCATTAGTGCTAACTTCTACCAAATCGTGTAGACTTTAGCGAGACTACCAGCCGATGTTATTGACTAGTATTTACCTTCACTCCCGACTAACCTGGTGAACCCTACTGGTCACGACTTCTTCACACTAGAACTCTAGACAACTTTGTTCTGTAGCCAGTAGTCACTAATGAGCATCAGATTAATTTTCAAGTGTGCTAGTTTGTAGAGATTCGACTTATTTGACGTTTTCGATCACGGAGTGATGTCAGTTAGAGAACCATCAAAAACCGAGGAGTATTGGACACCTACTTCGTCCTAGTTCGTGACTCTTCACAGCGTACACCCACGACCTTCAGGTTACGAGACCTAGCTCGTTGATCATTCAGCCATTGGGACCTAAACCAATGACCAGCCCAAGGATTTCAACTCCCTAGGGTTCTCAATGGAGTATAGGGCTTCAACAACACATCTCCACTCTCTTCTATTCCCTGCTATCCTCTTCAGCTGGCTGACCCCACAACTAACCATCTCATCTCCTCTAATTCGCAATAACTCCGCCATGTTACCCTCACACCAATCACCCATTCGTCGCTTCCCATTCAAATTCCACTCGAGAAATGGACTTCATTGAGTGTGATGTCATTAAGCAGCCTCCTCAACGTATGCCCGATCAACCCATCTCCATTTTCTCCTACCTATTTGTTGAGCAATCGGCTCTTCGTTGGTTTCTTCCCAGTCAACCACAGTTTCTTGTTGCTAGTTCTTTCTGGCAGGCAGGCTGGCTGGTCATTTTATCTTCAAGATGGAGCCAGTGAAGGAAGCTGTCGATAAAAGTCTGCAGTAGCCTGTTGGAAATGCCTTTGGTGACACGCTGGCCAAGTTTCTGACCCATATAGAAGTGACTGATTGACTTCACATTTGTGTTGAAAATCCAAATCTTACTCTTGATGCTAGGTGAGTACATAAGATTTCCAAACTAGTTTCAGACTGATGAAGGCGTACCCTGCCTTTTCCATTCTGGCTGCCTTTGACATCATCGGTCCCGACTGCCTGTGGTTGAAACCGTGCTTCCTAGCCAGATAAGTGAAGGAAGTGATCTCTGTTAAATCTCTCCTGTTGTTAGTGATTGGTGCTGGTTGTTGTTGCTGTCACTGTTGGTTGGTTATCTTCATCACCTCCGTCTTATCTATGTTCACCTGAAGTCCTATCTTCACTACCAGCTTCTTCAGTCAGTTTGTTGGTAAGTCTGTAAGTCTTCCAGTTTGTGTGACATTAGACATAAATCATCCGCATACGAAATCAAGATCTTCTAGAGTCTTCTGGTCGATCTAACATATTCCTGTCGTCTCACTTCCAAGCACAGTCTGACGCATAATCCAGTCCACCACAATTAAGAGTATCATCATCTGTGATAATAGGCAGGCTGCCTTGTCTTACTCCTGTATTCACTTCGTATGCCTCAATGAGTTTTCCGTTCTGGATCACATGACACGTGACCTCACTGTCATATAGCCAGCTGTAGGATGAGGTTGATAAATACTTGGGCACTGCACGCCACCGTAGTGTTGAAGGAGTTTCCAAATTACTTCTCTGTCAACACTGTCTGTTGAAGGCCTTTCCGAAGTCAATGAAGTTAAGGTACAGGTTTGACAGTCATTTTATGCTTTGTTCTGTGATGACGATGCGTAGAGTTGCAATCTGATTTGCCTTTCCTAAGTCCACTTTGTTCCGGTGGGTGGCAGATTTCTGCATCCAGTACATATTTTATTCGCTCCAGGATGACACAACTTAGTATTTTATTTGGCGTGGACAAGAGCATTATTCCACGGCCAGTTAATTCTTGCAAAGGCCTAAGTTGCCCTTCTTTGGCTGCTTGACAAGGTAGCCAGGATTTCTTCCAATCGGTAAGCACCTTTCCTTCCTTCCAAACCTTTTGCAATAATGGCGTGTGCACATCTGCCGCAGTCTCTGGGTTCGTTTTCAGTACTTATATATGTATAACACAACCATCGCCAGTCCATGAACTGTCACATAGGCGAGTAACTGTTCTATTATGTGACCTAGTGGACCCCGAAAGTTATGACTTCTCATTAGCACCCTCAGTTGTTAACCTGTAGCACACCAATCAAACCCCAGTAAGCCAACACTTAATTACTAAATAATTTCATGATAAATTCTTACCTAAGAGGGCTAAATAACCAACTAACTAGTCAACAACACTTAGAGACACACTCAACTACTGGACACTACTACCATCTAACTAACTAAGCTGAATTTTCTCAATTCGCAATGATTGAAACAAAGAAGCCCAAATATACAAAATAGGCAGATATTAAAATCAAAATTAATAAATCAAATCAAATCAAATAGATCCTAGAAAAGACAGGGGAAAAACAAAGTGCAAACTTCAATCTACACAAGAAAAAAAAGGGGAAAGAGGGGCCCCCACACCAACGTGCCCCAATACACACACAAACCCACATCCTCACACACATACACCAGTTTCCGTTGAAAGAGATGAAGGAAAATGCGAAGAAAACAAGCAGAGAGAGAGGGGTGGGTGGGGAGAAACAGAGAATACTCATCACCTCACAGTTTTCTTTCCCAACCAACCAATCACCCCCTTCCCTCCCTCAAGTTTTGGAAAACGAATGAATATCTTACAAAAGAAAGAGTTAAGTTTAGCAACCAAAAAAAAACGACAAAACAATAACAAACACGTTGAAGAAAAAAAATCAATAAATACATATTGTTTTCAAGGTTCTTCAAGTACATAAAGAGGAATAGAAAATACGGATATATTTTTGCTAACTGATCGTGTGTGTAAAATATACATGATCGTAAAAAATATTCAAAAAAAAACATTTTTTAAAATTTTTTCAAACTATCAGTTGACATCATGATCAACACGATTTGTGTAGTACTCATAAATGGTATAAGTATAGTTCATAATCTAATCAAAATCACAGTTACAAATGTCTGAGAGAGAGAATAAGAGGGATTCATTGGTTGATCGTTGAAGAACAACAATAACAACAACAATAACGACTGAGTAACGAAGATGAAAAGACCCACAGAGTAGGGGAAAAAAAGAAGAAAGACAAAACAGATCGATCCAGCCTGGAAGAAAAGTGAAGTATAGAACAAAGTATGAATATACTAACCGGAGGAAGAGGAAAACAGTACAGGGGAGGAATTGTGGACTCAGAAGGAGAAGAAGGAGATCAGAGTGAATTGTTTTAAATCTAATCTGCTTTTTTTTAAAAATTTTTCTCTCTTCGTTTGAAAGATTCAATTTAAAATTTTAGGCAGATTAAAATACAAGGGAAATTATTGTGAATACTATTATTCTTGGCAATCATTCATTTATATTTATACATAACAGCATTTTATTGAGATCAATTAGAGATCATTAGAAAACAATGATGACGACGATCATGATCATGAGGATGGTAATATTTGACAATGATTACACACTAATGATGTTGGCGATGCTGCTGCTGTTGCTGCTGCTGATGTGTCATGGAAGATCATCATCTCACACTGGAACCCCATTCAACGTTTCCACTTGAAAAATTGTCGTTGTTCTCCAGCTGTTTGACGTTGTTGTTGTTGTCTGTTGTCGATGGAGACGTTCTTGTTGCAATTGTTGATTACGATAACGTTGAACTGCTAATTGAGCTATAGTCTGTGGGCGAACAACTCGAATAGAATCGAATGCTGATGATGAAGTGGTGGGCTGTTGGTTAGTTGTAATAGGAATACTGGTAGCAGTTGTAGTAGTACTGATGACACCAGTATGTCGATTTCTAAGCCTATTTAATGATGATATACTATCTTGACGATAAAATGGCGGTTCAGTAGCTCTACGACGTGTCAAATCATAAATAGCCTGTTCACTTGTTGATGATTTAATTTTCGGTGATAAAAGATTATCCGATATTGAAGCACCCATTGGTTGTGGACGACCAGAAGAAAAGACATTTTCATACTCGGAAACACTTGGCGATGGGAATTCATATCCACTAAGTCCTGATACTCGAATTGAATGAAGCGGTGGTCCTGGTGCTGGCGGTGGTGGTGTTCTAAACGCATCTTGAAGATTTTGGTGTGATACACTAGTCATCATTGATGGTCTGAACGGAAACGAATGTGATGTGCCGATGATAGGTTTGTCAAGAATGAATGAATGTTGTATACCACCGCCACGCGAGTGTGAAGCAACCGCAGTAGGATAATCAAACAGATTTGGACTACTTGATACATCAGGATGACGACGACTTACAGCAGACAACGGTCGAATATCTACAATTCCACTATGCCTTATAGAAGTGCCAAACTCTAGCGGTATCATCCGTCTTCTATGGCCATCACCCCGACTACCGAAAGTTTTACTCACTATCGGTGATACACTACGACGTAATAACATTGGAATCATCATAGGACTCTGGGATGTAGTATACCTTTCAACAGAGAAAGTTGAATCTTCCAACGGATCCATATTGCCTGAAACATTCCAGATGGATTGACTAGCCATCATTTTATCCATATTTGATTCATCAAGTGGTAAAACTTTTGCCGATTGAGATCGCCATAAATTTGAAGGTCTATGCAATAATGGTGTCCGAATCGGTTTCAAGTGTTGACTGAATATACTCTTCGGTCTATGCTTATTATAATAGCCTAATTCTACTTCTCTTGATATACTTGTTGTTGTATCAGATTCACTGATTTCTCCACGCCTTCTGTTTTTAACGCTTCGATCAAATTTTCTAAAAGCACTCCATGGTCGTTGAATGATCAAAGAGACTCGAGAAGATGATCTTGATCTATCGGCTAAATCACCTTCACCTTCGACTTCATTGTCATCAATATCGCATCGATGATGCCGTGAGGATGGTGGTAGTAATACGTCTGATGGGATAGGATCCATATCCCATGATTCATTAATATCTATAGGTAATTCTTGTTGTTGTAAAGATGAATCAGGTAGAAGAGATGATGGAGAAAACCATAGCCAATCGGTAACGATCCCAGTTGCAGCGGTTGCTGTTGGTGTTGTTAAATTATCTAATGGTTTATAGGATGTAGATTGTACATGATAATCAGATTGACTGATGGGACCAGCGGCAGCTGTTGTTGTTGCTGGTGGTGTTAATTGTACACTTGACATTGGTATAGGAGTTGATGCTCGTTCATGATGATGTTTCGTCATCACAGCATATTGATGATTGGAACTACTTGTAGCATGACCACAAAATGATGGAGGTTTAGAAACTTTGTACTGATGTCCTGATGAATATGGCTTAACACTTCCAGTAGTAGTAGTAGTCAATTGTTTATTGGAATGCTCCCACTTTATATGGATGTATGTGCATATATATGTATTTGTAAATGTGTGTGTGTGCATGTGTGTTGACATAGAGAAGGAAATAGAAGAAAAAGAAACGAATAAAACAGGAAAGGTACAGTCAAAAAAAAACAAAAATTAATATGAATAACACAACAGTAAATGTACAATATATTGAAACAACAGTTATGAAGGACAGGACAACGAAAGAGGTAATGAGGTATATATATCTATCTATCCTGGACTACACGAATCTTCACAACATCAATAGTAAATCAATGATCAACAACGATTATTTCACACAGGGCTAACAACAACAACAAGCCTAAACATCCCCATTAAGTCATTAGAAAAAACAAGCAGAGGCGTTCACGGAAGAGTAACTCCTCACTATTATTTCCTTTGCATTCTCAGAGGAACATAGGGCTTCAAGCTAGAGCTTTGAAGTTTCAGTAGTAGTGGTGTTTCTTCTTACGCGATATCGTCGCTGACCTCAGGATGGTCGGGGGTGGGTGCCTTGCGCTGCGGGTTGGCCACCCCTCCGCACACCTCTTGAAATGCTCCCATATGACCGGGCGTCTTACATAGCCTCTCCTGAGGAAGTCCTACTCACTGCCTTCACGTGGCGGAGGTGTTTCTCACCAAAGTGAGAGGGCGAAAGCAGATACCCGGCGCTCTTCACTGGGTTGACTGTCCATTGGATGACAGTCTAGGGGAGATGGCTAAACCCTGATTCCAAACCTCTAACGACTGGCGTATGAAGCTCACTGGAGCTCACCAGCAGACGTATGGACAAAGGGCTTGTTGGATGTCCTGGATGTCTGGCCCCCGAACTCCGGTCACCGGCTGCCAATGGATAGTGGACTCCCTACTCCACTCCTACTGCCTTGTAGGTCACATTTGGTTGTGTAAAGGCTAGAGCTGCACTCTCAAACAAAAGGCCGAGAGATTCTGGGGACATCACTCGTACCAAATTCCCATGAAACTTCATGAACTCCCTTGCATCAGATCGCCGCGCCTGGGCAGCGATGATTCGAGATGTTTATGAAGTCGGCTCATCCTCCCGTAGGAGATAGCCGACGTAAAGTAAGTAAGTCGCTGACCTCACGTCTAACCTTCTCTCTTTATCAGGCTTACTACCACCGACTAAGCGAGGTAAAGGAGTGCATTGGCGGCCGGGGATCGAACCTCGAACCACTTCCTTGGCTAGCTAATTTCCTACCATTGAACTACCGACGCACGAAACAAGGAGTACTGGACAGATGTTCCGTCCTATTTTGGGATGACCCCACCGGGCATCGAACCCAGGACCTCGAGATTAAGAGGCCGATCTCGTTGACCACTCAGGGCCACTTGGGCCCCGACTACTCATTTCAGTGATAGCATTCTAAAGCTGTACAATCGCATATATGTATATATATACTCTAAAAAGGGTCCTCATTTAAAATGGGAGCCCCAAACACTTTATCATAAAATCCATGAAGTCTATACCACTTCCTTCTTCTGAAAGACTTGTCTATTTGAATCTGCAATTCAATGGAGAGTTATGGGCAGAAATACTAAGAAACCACTTGTCGAGTTCAATTGAAGAAAACCTTCTTCACAGACCAACTTCGACTTACCATCTCTACAAAACCAAGCATTCCTATGAACGTGAAGAACAAGAGCTAACACTGTTGATCTCATTAATGTGTATCTATCAATTCACGTACTCCTGTGGAGCTAGGTATGTTGGCCGTATCACTGAACATTTACCCCTCTTATAGTTTTACAAAGGAGAAAAAAGATTTCCTTCCCCCCCCCCTCCCGCAACCGTCCTTGGGCAACTCTATTCCGGAACACTCCTGATCGCAACTCTAGACACCGAGCGAACTTGCTAACCAACAATTCCTGAGTCATTTACAGAATACACGGAAATCTTGCCAACCAAACTTCTTCAAATTGTAGAAGCTATGGCTATGTACCTATATGTTAAATCCTACATCAGGCATACGAAAGAATTGTTTCTTCAATCACTGAACCTACTACAATGGACTTGATTTGTCACAACACGTTTATTACAAAAAGTTTTTTAATCCTAATTATTTTTATTGATTTTTTTAGACCTCGCCATTATTACATTTCCACTCCATTATGACAGTGATCTCAACTTGATCCTGCTTCAATTTTAGTTAGTCATACTGTAACGACAGAAGACAAGGGGCAGGCAACAGATCGTTTATTGAGAAAATCAACAGATATTTATAGATTTTTATGTGTATTATTGCTAGCGTTATTGCTAGCGGAGAAGCAACCTCTTCTGATTGGTTGTTTTCTTCTGTCATCTCTTTATGGACGTTTCTTTGAAGGTCAGACCATATATCTGAGAATCGTATCCGCCCACGCAAAGTCTGCTGTGATTGGTTGTTGAGTTCCTTAAGGTTAGGCTATGTTATTGTTTTATCTTATGACCCTAATTCGGGACGTAAACATTGACGTAAATTGGTGTCTACAATTTTGGCTAGCAGACAGCTCTCACCACAATACTACTCAGCCTACGGCGGCGGCGGAGGTGGAAATGCTCGTCTACCACCACAGACGTGGTCCGATTCCCGGCAGACGTGTCCCCAAACTCCACTTAAGTCCGATAAACAGGGAAGGTTGGGGAGTGAGGCTAGGGCAACCGCACCCCGTGAAAATAAACACCACTGCTACTGAAACATCAAAGCTCAAGCTCGGCATGCACATCACAAAAAGCATCTCCAACAGGCCACAGAAGACTTTTATCAACAGCTATCCCCTTCGTTAGCTCCAAATAGCCGGCCAGAAAGAATCAAAAATAAGAAAGTATGGGAACAAATGTACCAAGAGCCGATTGCTCAACAAATATACCGAGGAAAGTGGAGATGGATCGGACATAAATTGAGGAGACTGTTGGGTGACATCACGCGCCACGCCATCACTCAAGTGGAACCTGAATGGGAAACGATGAGTAAGGCATTGGTCCGAGGGTGATATGGAGGAGATTGTGTGAGGAAGAGATGAAAGATTATGGGCAATCGTCAGGATCAGTGAAAGAGGATGGTTGAGAATAGGACAAAGTGCAGGTGTGCTGCTGAAGCCCTATGTTCCACTCGGAACCTAAGGGAACAATAACAATAATAATACAGTTTGAGAATGATATCTCTGAAAGAAAGGCGGAGTAACTCCTGGCTGAACGTCTCTTCTTTTATATAATTATACATTACAACACATAATAACAACATTAAAAAAATCATATCAAATAAACACAACACAACACAAAGTACACTTATGATATACATGCATCAGAATACTTACCCCCATTTTTTTCAGCTCAACATCTGTTGAACATTGAACAGTATCAATACCTGTTGAACGTTTAACAATATCGTGTAGATCAGAGTGTAGACGATCTGTCAGTCTAGTCGCTTCTAAGGCTTGATTTGTAAGCAGACGACGACTGTTAATATTCTCTTGAATTTTAGTCACTAATAATCCATATTCTGACTCAATTAACTTAATATTATCCGATACTCGATTATTGTCAATCAGTGATTTAGATTGACGCTTCAATTGTTCAATAATTGTCTTTTTAGCCTTTAGCTCATTGAGTAGACTATCTAATCGAGCTGTATCCATTGCTTTGGACAATTGAGTGTAATGATGATGACGATCAGTTTGTTGTTGCAGATGTGATGCAGATGTCTGATGAATAATTTGATCGAATTCATTGCGTTTTTGATGTAACCAATTGAGAAATTCAGTCTCGCAAAGATTTTGTTGATCCCAACGAACTTTTAGATCTTGTAAACTTTCAATATGTTTATCGAGCTAAGAGGAGGGAGGGAGAAAAAGAAAGCGAAAAAAGGAAGGGATAAACACAGAAGTGCTGTTATATATGTCCAAACCAAGTTCACTTTTAACAGTTTGTAGAAATTTGGGCATTGGGTGGTATATGATATTCATTATAATAAAGGTTTTTGTATTTCCCAATGAATCCAGTTTACTTCGGAAGCAGAATCAGAAGTCGGTGAACTATCATTTCTAGACTGCTGGACTAGTTAAGAGAAGGGAAAACGGACATTTTAGTATATCCATATTCAGGAAGAAAACCCACTCCAACAAATATTTAGACTTCGGATCATCACACCCCATCAGAGCAAAGGCATCAGTTGTTTCAAGTCTTCTTAGACGAGCACACTCTCTGATGTTAACGGATGAGAAAGAAAAAGAAGAAATATCAAACAATACTGAGACTCTCAAGCAAAACAACTACCCAAAGAACTTCACCAACAAAATCAACACTGACATCAAGTATCGTCGAAAACGCATTCCGAAAACATGAGCCTCAACAGTTGTCATTCCATATCGATGATAGACGTCAGACGATATCAGAAGAGTACTCAATAAGCTCGACATCAGGGTTTTCGTCAAAACATCAGACACACTGCGAAACAACCTTGTCCATATAAAAGACCAAATCCATGAAGATTCTCTATCTAATTGTGTCTATAAAATAAAATGCTTGGAATGTGATGCGATATACATCGGACAAACATCGAGAGAAATCAAAGGAATCAGAAGAAATGAACACCGTAGAGCATCTGTTCGACCACCGAGAAATCCGGTTGAACTAGAAAAGCTTGAGAAATCATCAGCAATAGGTCTACACGCCATAGAATCAGGCCACAAAATTGATTTTGACAATATTGAAATAATCCAGAAAAACTTCAGAAATCACAAAGAACGTCTCACATCAATCAGAAGCACTTCATATCAAGTGGAATCCAAATTGCCTGAATAGGAATGATGGACTAAAACAGAATCTGACCTGGTTACAACACCTCCCTCCCCCCATGAAGTGACAAAATCAACACGAATGTGATATGCAAGTTCACTATGTAAACACACACTGCTTTTATAATTTTACACACTGATCAAATCCAACAATTTACACTTGATTTTGTTTTTTATCTTTACCAATTGACCAACTTGACAACGAAAAATGACCCCAGACTGACGAACGATGATCAAGTTAGTAAACTTTATTTTGATACCATAACAGATGTACTATTACCTTTGTTATTTGGTTTAGTTATCTTCATTGGTATTTTGACTTTCAATATGTCCTTTTAACTTGACCTAAGTCTATTTTCTCACCCCTAACTTTTGTTATATATATATGCTGAGATTTTGTAAATTCTGGTTTAATAATACTTTGATAAAGCTATTAGCATTAAATAGCGAAACGTCAGTAAAAACAATATCGTTTTGTTTTTTATTCATTGGGAAATACAGAAGTGCTGTTTCTTTAGTTTATGAGATTTGTGAAGATTTCGATTGGTTTCAGTTGTGATATCTAAATGCTACTATCCAGCTTATTGATGGCGTAAGACAAGGCTGCCTATTATCACTGATGATATTCATAATTGTGGTCGACTGGATTATGCGTCAGACTGTGAGTGGGGAGTGAGAAGACAGGAAGAATACACTGGACCACCGATAAGAAGACTCTAGAAGATCTGGATTTCGCATGCGGATGATTTATGTCTAGTGTCACATAAACTCGGAGACTTGCAGGCGAAAACCAACAAACTGGTTGAACAAGCAGTGAACATAAAGAAGGCAGAGGTGATGAAGATAACTAACCAACAATGACATCAACAACAACCAGTACCAATCAACATCAACAGCAGAGATTTAAAAGAGTTTACCTCCTTCATTTATCTATGAAGTAGCGTTTCAACCACAAGTGGAACGGATGGAATTTCAAAGCCAGAATCGGAGATCTCCTGCCCTCAGCACAAAAAAAAAAATCGGATTTTCAACACCAATGTTACGTCAGTCAGTTCTTCTACATGGGTCAGAAACTTGGCCAGAGCGTCACGAAACGCATTTCCCTGTATATTGAAGATCAAATAACCGGTCAGAAAGAACTGGCAACGTGAAACTATGGGAAAAATCTAACCAAGAACCCATCGCTCAAAAATTATGTTGAAGAAAATGGAGATGGATCGGACACACACTGAAGAGACCGTCGAACAACATTGCGCGCAATGCAGGCCACACCTCGAGTGGAACCCAAATGTGAAATGACGAGTTGGGCGCGGGTCCGAGGGTGACATAGAGGAGGTTGTGCGAGGAGATAAGAGACTATATTCAGTCGTGGACCCAGTCAAAGAGGACAGCAGTCCAGTCTAGTAGCATCACCTTACATTTGACAGAGTGAGAGAATCGCATGCCAAACATTCGAAGATTACTGCTCAAGGTGTTCTCAGAAGACTCTGCTGTATTTTTTCAGCATCTTCGCCTACAAGGACTATGTCATCTGGTCATAACAAGTCAATCCCTGAGTCATTGAAGTCACTTAGGGTTAAGTCCATTACTATATCTAAGCCTGACAGATACCAGTTTTAAGACAGAATGTGTACAATAAGAAAATGAGTAAACATTGCTAAAAGAACATGAAACAACAACAAAAATAAATAAATAAAAAAAGAAAATCACATACTCGTTTTAATTCAATTTCAAGTTGTTCATTTATATGTGATGCTTTACGGCGTAATTCTGAACCACTAAGTGCATTCATTGTTTCTTCAGACATTTGAACTTTATTATTACTTGATAATTCATGAACAGTAGTAGTGTTGTTACCTGCACCTACAGGTAAAGATGAATTCACATTATTCACATTTTGACTACTTGTACTCCCCAGGATTTCAGTTAACATAGTTGACGGATCATAATATTTAGTGAGTGAAGCCAAGTTGGTAGAGACTGTTGGACGTGGAGGCGGTGTAGAACAACGATGTCTAGCAGCTGATAATTCTTGTAAGTATATCTAATTAATAAAAAAAAACAATAAATGTTGAAGTGAAGGTTTATAAAAACGAATTTGAAATAAAAAAAAAAGGTCTCAAAGGTTTCAAATGTGCTTGCCTATCTCCATCTCTCCTTGAACAATACGAACCAGGTACAAGCAGCATTTGAGAGTGCTGACTGACTCACTCACTCCAAAGGTTCTAGAAGTAATGATTCTCAGTATTCTCTATTTCAGCACACTGAAATTTCTTACAAGCAGTTAGCGATATAACTAGTCTGTTGTGCAATCACAAACAAAATGGATGTCGCCTCCAACTATTTCCCTTGAGATTACTTCAGTTGAAAAAAAAGCTCCAGTCTTTTATGGAAATCGGAAGAAACAGATCTTAAGATCATTTAATCGACTACTAATGATCAATACAATATGATTAGTTTGTGGCATATAGCGTCGATGGTTCAGCGGTAGAATCCTCGCCAACCAATCCACAAGTGATGCAGGTTTCAGTTCCTGGCCGCCGACGCACTCCCAAACCTCGTTTAGCCGGAGATATAGTAAGCCCGGTAAATAGGGAAGGTTGGGCATGAGACACCTAGCAACCCCATCCTGTAAAAATAAACACCATTGTTACTGAAACTTCAAGACTCAAACTGGAGACACAGAGGAATTTAGTGAATAACAGTGTGGCTTATTAATTTTTATCGGAGATGTCAGTGTTATCATCTACTTTGTGTGGATTTACTTGGTTTCGACGTAGGTTTCATCATGAACCAACACAATAAATTGGAGAATCATTAGAAGCCGTTTCACTCGTTTGCAGCCGAGCTCATCGAATGAGTGCAGTGTATCCGGTTTAGCTCAGCTCAGAGAGCTGAATCAGCAACGTGAGTGACCTGGTAATTACAAATTAATTTACTATAATTAATACCAAACATTTCATCTCTAAATTGAATTTTAGATTTTCCCGTCGATTGATTGGACCGAAGTACTCGGTCTCAGGTCGACATGTCGGCTTCTTGTGCAGATGCTTCGACGATGTCTGGGCATTTAATTAGAGTTTAATTGGTGTATGATGACTAGCAGTGGAATCCAAGACAACGAGCGTTTCGTCCTATTTGGGACTCGTCAACTGAATGTACCTGTGCATCCTGGATCCCACTGCTAATCACCACACACCAGTTAGCCTCTAATTACACGCTCAGGCATCATCGAAGCATCTGCACAAGAAGCCAACTGACATGTCAACCTGAGACCGAGCACTTCGGTCCAATCAATCGACGGGAAAATCTAAAATTTAATTGAATAATTAATAAGACCCGTTGCACAAGAAGGAGGTGGCTCTCGTGGCCTAAGTGGTCTAGTGGATAACGCTTTGGCGTTTAAAACTATGGGTACTGGGTCCGAGCCTCGGTGGGAACATCATCATTCACTGAGGGATGCAGGTACATTCAGAGGACGAGTCCCATGTGGGACGAAACGCGCATCCTGGATTCCACTGCTAGTCACCATCCACCAATTAACTTCATCTCTCAGTCACAATAAGGTAATCAACTTTGATTAAAAATCAATAAATAAAACAAGTGAGTATTTTTTTAAAATGACATTATCTGAGACAGATCAAGATTCGTATTTGCAATACCAATATCATGTTAGTCAGTTAGTTCTTCTTTATGATTCAGAGACTTCACATGCGTGTCTCACCAGACGGATTTCAAAAAAAACAGCCTGGTGAAAACTTTTATCAACAACTGCCGCCATCGCTAGCTCCAAGATCCCATAGGCCAAAAAATATAACGAAGGAAATCAAGATGGATGAGACAACAGCTGGGAAGACACCACGCATCAGACAGGCGGCCATCAGCCAAGTAGAACCCAAATGGGAGGAAAACGACAATTTGGGCATGGAGGAGATCGTGTGAGGAGGAGTCGACAGCTTATGGGAAATCATGCAGCAAGACTAAAGAGGACTAATACAGAAAACAGGATGGAATGGAGATGTCCCACTTAGTAGCTAAGGGAATAATAACAACAATAACAATAATAGTAATTACTCATTGAATAAATAAATCAATAAATACGTGTAATCATACTTACTTGTAATTTAGCATGAACAGCTTTCGCGTTAGTTATCTCAGCTAATAATTCTTGAATAGATAATGACGACGATTGCTTTGAAGTGTCTTTTTTGTCTTGTTTTTTCATCAGGCTATTCTCTTCAAAAAATACAAGTTGTACTTCTCTGGAATTTTCAGATTGTAATGAAGAATTGCTACTGGTCGATTCATCATCACTGACATCCAGATCCTCAGTAGCAGCATAGTGATCATCGATACCTTCTTTCGTATCATCATTTTTGGCAGTGTTAAGACAAGGCAATTTCTTGACGTTTGCCAACCTCCACCATTCCACTAATTCAAGGCGTAAAAAGTTGTCTATACGAAGAAGAACTGAGACAAATTTAGCCCATCGATGTTGTTGTTCCATAAGTCGATCCTGAAAAGTTCAATAAATAGGCATGTATATATAAATTTCATTTAGTGTGAATAAATATGGGTTGAGATTAGTTTGGTGGATGGTGATTAGCACTGGTAGAATCCAGGATGCACGCATTTCGTCGTATTTGAGACTCATCAGCTAGCTAATAGATGTACCTGGATTCCCTTCCCAGTGTAAGTGGAGATGGTGTTCCTACTGTTTCAAACTTTAAAGCGTCAGCCACCAGACAGACACCAACTGGGATGTGGATCAACCATCACCTACCCCTGTAGTTATATAAGGGCTGTACGTGCCAAAAAAATAATAAATAAGTGACCTCTTACAGAAAATGGATCAGAAACAAGAACTGGTTCATCAACACTGAGGAAAAGTGAATACTATGACGCCGAATGTGACGTTTCAACCGATAGAACTTTTTAAAATTAAGTTCGCCTATTTACAAGTGTTGATTTTGCAGGTGCAAGAGGAGTCTACTGATTTCAAATTTGATCACACATTAACATCAGTGAGAGAGCCATTGGAAACCACCACGGAGTACCGGACAGATATTTCGTCCTAGCTTGGGACTCTCCATCAATACGAACATGTCACCTCATCAGGGATCGAACTCGGGACCTTCAAGTCTAAAGGTGGTTGCTCTTTAACGCGAATTTTTAAGAGTGAGAATAGATGAGCCATGGGATTCCATGCTGTCTTGTAGGTTGAAGGTCCTATATTCAACCACTCTAGCGGTAAGGCTATGGGTACATACTGATGAGGAGTCCTAAATGCGGACGAAATGGCTGTCGAATACCTCCTGTTTTACAAGAGTTCTCTATCTGAGGTCAATTCGTGCTCAGTAGCACTTATCATAAAGTTTATGAATAGTATTGAAATACAGTGCCAACAGTCGCAAGTTATTAATCAATCCCGTAATATAGTATAGGATATTATTAGTTTAGGTTGTCGATACACCGAAATAAACTATTGCAATGCCCTTCAATCTCACGATTTCTTGAGCAGATCTACCTAATTTAATCATTAGGTGAAGCACTTTTATTCGTACTGAAATGAAAAAGTTCATTTCAAACTATCAATGACTTGTAGATGATAATTTTGGTGTTAAACTGCTTGCTTGAGAACCTTTCATTGTCCATCTAGACAACTTCATTTCCCTGCATACTTCAATTTCAAGTGAACTTTTAGAAGTCCTCCATGAGTTTATCAGCCATCTAGTAGCGCACCAGGCCATCGTTCGAGTGAAACCTGAATGAGAAATGACGAGTTGCGCGTGAGTCCAAGGGTGATATGGTGAAAAGCGATAGTGTGATGAGGAAAGCAAAGCTTATGGGAGATCGACAAGTCATCTAATGAGGAGAGTAGAGAGAACAGGATGAAGTGAGGATGTTCTTTTGAAGCCCCATGTTCCACTGAGAAACTATTTAATTAAATTTATTACCGATTCAATCACTAGATGAAATCGCTTCTTCTTCACTCATTTATCTTTCTCGTATCATATAAATAATAGATTACATGTAAGTAGTTGTTTTAATTCGTATGATTCTACCGTTTATAATTACAGGAACTCAATCACGAGCCCGGATACCTCACGGGTACCATCTCTGACTGCAGCACTGGGTGACACAGGTTCGAATCTCAGAAGGCACATGAGTCCCTTCAAAGTTGCAGATACGCCTTGCTGACTGGTGAGTGCCAACAATAAGCACGAAACCTAGACCCAAAGGCTTCCTGTGGCCGATTGCCTCCAACCATCTGATTACAACAATCCTGAGTATACTGTGATGGCGAGCCACCTAGTGGCATGGTGGCCACATTGCAAAGTTGACTGGTAGAATTCAGTCTGCAGTAAACAAAGGACTAAACACATCACAGCAGTCAGTGTCCAATCAAAAACTAACTAACTTAGAGTGCCTAACCTGTCATTTGCTTTAATGGCGTTCCCAAGACCTTTTGTTGACAAACCCCTCAAATGCAATAGGATAGTGGGTGACCTAATGGTTGTGTGCAAGGAGTTTGAAGAGGGCTGGTATACTACAGGCATGCAACCCCCCACCCCCTACCCAACCCTGATGTTTCGCGTTTTGGGTAAGTTGTGAAGCTGAATCGATTGAGATGGCTACGACACGTGTTATACATGCCTTCCTCAACGAGCAATGCTAACCGACATTAAGTTAAGTTGGAAAAGAGCTAGTGGTGGTCAAATCAAAACATGGCTCCATCAGTCCATGAAGTCTTTGACAGTTGATTTGATCCAGCCATGCAGAGAGGTGCAGATTTCCTGACTGATTGGCGTCCATAGGATGTTAAGAACCAATGGCTAGGGACAGCTGGTGATATATTGGCTCAAAATCGTTGTTCTCAATGGCTGGTACAGATGCATTCACTCTTCTTTGTGATTTCTCATTTCTATTAAAGCCCTACCACTACATTTCCATGTTACCATTCTTTCTCCCTTAACATTTCTGCTGAGTACAATCCTTTTAAATCTCTTTTCTTTTCTCTTCTATGTCTACCTTTGTGTGTGTGTGTGTGTGGTGTATGGAGTGCGGTCACTTGAACCGGTGGACTTGTGTGCAAAGTTCTCTCTTGAAACTCAGTCATCAATCATTCAACTAACTTATCATTATTAGATATTAAAAGGTAGTGTAAACAGGAACCCTTGGTACTTGGGTTTCGTGCTTGTCGGAACTCTTCAAGTAAGGCATATTTACACAACCTTGAAGGAGTTGACAGCCTGCCTCCACTTCCAGCTCTGCTTTGTGATTATCAGTTCCTTCCAAATCGCCTTGTTGATGAGTCCCAACAGCAAGTATGAAATCCATAGATCCACCAGTCAAAGCTTCGAGACAATTGCCTTCTGACCGACTGACTGACTGGTTTCAGCGTAGAAATTTGCACAGATGTTCACCACTTCGAATTGCCACTATCCATATCCATGTAGCACAAAAATCAAAGAGAAGTGAGTAAAGAGAAATAATAAACAAAAATATGAGGGAAAAGATTATTAATGTGGAAGAACAATACAGTTTTATTGGATATGACAACAAATCACGAAGAGTGAATGCATCTGAGCCATCGATGAGAACTATTTCGAGCCATATCACCATTTGTCTCCAATCTTTGTTGGTTTTTAACATCCTGAGGACCCCAACTAGTCAGGAAGTTCACACCTACCTCCCAACGTGGCTTACTGGCTTAAACTAGCTGTTATGGATTTCATTGACTGATAAAGCCATGTTTTGGTTCGACCCCCACTGGCTGGTCTCCATCCTGATCTATCTTATGTCAGCTGAGTAACATTGCGCGTCGAGGCTAGATATGTATGACACATGTCCTAGCCGTCTCAGTCGATGCAGCCGCTTCACAACGTCGTCGATCGATTTCCCCACCCACCTACGTAGAACTCGATCGATGTCTAACCTCAGTATTACTCACTCTATGATGCCATCTAACAGGAGAGATAGAACGCAGACATCTATGATCAAACACAACTAGCCTTTTGATATCTTTCACCTTCAATGGCCGTATCTCACCGACAGCCATAAAGGAGGACGGAGCGAACTGCGCCTTTTGGTCGACAGCCGATTGCCTCCAACCATATAACACTAATTATTCAGAATGCACCTCACTGGCAGGCAAGTTACCTAACCTGGTGGTCACCAGTAACACAGAGGACTAGAGACCAATCGATGTGAATTGTCATGAATAAATTGCACAAGCAACTGATCAAAATCTAACAGTGACAATAATCAATAACACACTCACCTTGATACGTTTACACATAACTAATAAGTTTTCACAATTTGATTCCAACTGAACAATTTCTAATTGAAATAATTCTTTCCATAGATGAACTCTTCCACGATCATCACTTGTTGCTGTTGCTGCTCCTGATGGTGATGGTGCTGCTGTTGCTGACTCTGATATCTGAAATTGATCATCTTGTTCACCAGACCCTTCAACACTCTGTTTCAGTTGATTCATATAATCAATAATCTGTTCAGCACTATTGATTGATATACCACCACCACTACCATTATATGGAGTAGGAAATAATCGATGTACAATTCGATCAATTTCGATCGATAAATCTTGTTCTGTTGGATAATTTTTCAACAATGACTTTAATTCAATTAAATTATTTTCCATGAAAGTATTCAAATGCTTCCTTAGATGATTTTCAATTTGTCCTAATTGTATAACACCTTGTGGACCATCAGCATCCGTTGAATGGATAGCCATTAACTTTAAAGAGATTTGTAGTAGCCAACTTTTGGATTCATCGATTTTTGTATGAAATACACGTAGATTTTGTAATTCTTTATCGATTTTCACTAGATGTATCTGAAATTAGATAGAAAATAAAAACCGGGGAATAGAAAAATTAGATCTTACACAGGAAATATTTTAAAAAAAGATAGTTGTAGCGATGAGGAAAATCTACTTTTCGACGAAGTCATAAACTTTTTTTTATTTATTTTTTTATTCCTTCACGTTCCCAGTGGAACATAGGGCTTCAAGCGAGTGGCTTGAAGTTTCTGTAGCAGTTTTTATTTTTACAAAATGGGGTTGCTAGCTACATACCCAACCTTTCCTCTTCACCAGCTTTTTAGTTCTGGCTTAGCGAGGTAAAGGAGTGCGCCGGCCGGGGATCGAACCCCGGACCATGTGCATGGTCGGCGAGCGTCCTAACCGCTATGCCACTGACGCACAATCATCAACTAGGAGGTTGTAAATTCGTATATTTATAGTAAATAGGTGGTGAGAAAGTTCCACAACAATTTCCGGGCAATTGTCAAGTTATAACGATATTACAAACAGAGATTAAAATGTTTCTATTCAGTATAAACGTTACCTAGTGAAATATTTGTTCTCAGGTGCCTGCAAAATATGTACTAGCGACACACTGATGGATGAGTCTTGACATATACATTCAGTTTTATTAACTAATGATTATCCAGAAAACTTACTTTATCTGTTATTACAGTAAGGATAGACCACATCTCGAAAGGGAAGCTTCTCTTCCAAAGAAAGCTATCTTTATTAACCTACCATTCAAGGGTGACCAGATTATGCAGTTGACAGCTAGCTCAAAGACTTCGGTCAGTCATCAAACACACATTCTACGCCGCATCTCTTTCCCTCACATGCCGAACATTTTAGATCCCTGTACCTACGATTAAAGGACGAAATTCTGTGGACTCTAATTCAAACTGTATCTACAAGTTCACCTGCAGCTGCAGTGACACTTATATAGGTAGAACCAATAGAATGTTCCAATGTCGTCGAAAAGAACATGTTCCAAAATGGCTACTAAATCATATAGAAAATTCCAATGCGAGTAATCTGAATAGAAATCCAGCATCATCCATTGCAAAACACTTATCAATGTCAGGTCACAAAGTCAATATTAATGATTGTTTCACAATTATTTCACATAACTCTAATTCCAGGTTATTGAAGGTGATGGAAGCCCTTTTAGGGTTAATCACATAATAAACTGTGTGTACAGAAAACAATAGACTTCAACTTTCGTCTACCATGGTCTACTTGACCTATTTAAATATGATTGGTCATTAGTATATACTTCTGTTTTTTTATATAACTGAGTAATTGTTATGCATTTCATTTTATTATTGTGAACCATGTTAGTTGTAAAATGACTGCAGAGGAACTACGAAATGAAGATATCATCCCACGAAATTTGTCTTCTTAATGCCTTATTCAAATTTGTCAAAGGGACTAATTGTTTTAATAACGAAATAAACAGGAAATTTAGATAAGAAAGGTAATCGGATGATAGTCATTGAGAGAATTAATTGTTTATGATGGCTCTGGTTGAGACAACAACGCTTGGACGTTGTGCTTTTTTTGCATTCATTGAGTGTGCTTGAATTTTTCGATCGTTAGTGTCTCAAGCTATGCTCAAATGCTGTGATCTCATTCCTATTTGGAAGGTTTCATTGGATTTTGTAAATGTCTTTAAAGAACTTTCCAAGTGGAGCTGAATGTTCTGAGTTCACCAGATGTTCTGTTACCACCCAATTATAAACACGCCTGTATTCTCCTTTCACTAACCAGGTCGGATAATGTTCCCAAGTGCGTTTTACAAGTGGATGGATGGTACGGCCAGTGTACTCAGCACTACACGAACAGAAGAACTGGGATAGGCATGTCGATGTGGCCCAGTGAGACAGCTGGTCTTTCACATGCTGACTGAACAGTTTCTTTCACGAAAATGTCACTCGTAGGCTGGAAACGAGAGATTTTGAAACCTATTTATGCAGGATGCCTTTTAAATTCAAGACTACTAAGCAGGAGTATCTTTTGCGCAGTGTCTTGTACGTGTTCAGAAGTCATCTCTGGTTTTAGATTCTTGTTTTATGAATTTAGATGGGAGACCATTTTCCATCAAGATTTTTCGGCAATTATGCATTTCCTCATCAACATATTTTCTGTATCCCCGGGGAAAGAGAATATCTTTGAGGTTTCTCTTTCTGTTTAGAGGAACTTAACTATCTGTTCCATGTAGGCTTATTTGTATATGGTTCTCCTCAGCAAGTTATAAGCATTTCTTCTCAGTTAAACATCACAAAAATGGAACATTACATGACATCCAACTTCTGGAGTGAGGTCGATATTTGAGTGGGCATTAATGAAGCTTTGAAGTAGGTTCCTGAGATTCAAATTCTCATCACAAATAATGAAAGTATCATCAAGGTATCTCTCTTGTAGAGATGGAGCTCGTGGATAGTTGGTGATAAGGAATGGTTTTGTAGGTCAGTCATAAAGCAGTCGGCCAAGAGAGGACAACCCATAGCTACTCCATCTATCTGCCTGTATACTTCGCTGTTGAATCTAAATTAGACGTTGAAAGTGCATCTTAGTAAGAGATCCTTTAGGTAAAGAATATGATATGCTATTGGATTGAATGAAGTCACAAAGAAAGCATATAGTTTCTGTCAGCAGAACATTGGTTAAGAGAGAGAGATGACATCCAGGCAGATCATTTTGCTTAACTGTCAAGTTGACGTTTTCTTAATTGAATCAACAAAATCCAAGCTGTCCCAGGGGTTGCATGCATCTCGACAGCTTTTCTTCTTTCACCGACCCAAGAATCTCTAGCAGCTAAAGGAAAATATGATGTATTGTGTTGGGTGGGATTCCATCCATGTAGCCATGTGTTTCAAGCAGACGGCTAAAATATCCCGTTTCTGTTGATATAATGAATAACTAACTGTGTTTACAAACTTCCAATTTAGGCTATTTATCATCCAGAAAACACGTCTCTCTTCAATGCTTATCAAAATGAAGAACACGTTACCAAACATTGCAGGGTAAAACGGTTTCGAGAGACAGAGAGAGAGATAGCGAAGAGAACAAAGGAAATTTGTACAGGAGTTACAGTTCACTCGTACGATGACAGTTACTATATAATCAAGACAGAGTGTGCTCATACACTAAACTGAGTGAGATATAGCTCAATGGCCACATCCTAACCATTGTAATGAAAATACAAACTTATATACTACTTATTACTAATATGTAGCAAAACACTAGGGGTTGGGGGGTTACTTGCAGCATCAGTGGTTGAATGATAGAATGCTCACCAGCCATGCACACACACACACGCTTCATATCAGGGTTCGATTCCCAGTCAATCCCACCCCCACCTCCCACTATAAACCCTGTTTTGTTTATGACATATAGTCACATGATGTCTGTTTTGCTTTGACAGTCTGATATATTTTGCTATATGTTTATTGATCGTTATTTCATTATAACTCACAATATGTTTAGTCTGTCCAATAACTAAATATACAATGTATGACCTTGGTCACGTGACATTACAACCAATCAGAATCTAGTGGTGGTAAGAAAAACTACTATCTGTCTTATTGGATCATGTGTGTTAGTTATTTTATACATTTTCTTGTATTGTACAGTTAATTCACTCTTTCGTACTTGGGTACTTCTCGATTCACACTTGTGTGACAGTTAATTTTCCTTGTTAGAAAATACACGTATCCATTCGTGAGCGTGGTGGTCTTCTGATTTTCCTCTTCGCGTCAGGACAAATTACTACACTCAGAAATACCAGTTTGTACGTTATCGTCCGTTATATTTCATCAGCGCATATTTACACTCGGTCACACCATAATATTAGCAACGATACACCATAACAGTTTATTATTAGCTTACAAGCAATAAGCTCAGAAAGAGAAGGGAAGGCTTAGAGTGAAGCTAAAATAATCTCACACCCTGTACAAGCAATAACACTGCTAATTAAAATTCAAGGCACCCATCGGGAAAGCAAAGAAACAAAGAGAACATACAGAGAGAAGTTAGTTGGGCAGAGGAATTAACAGTAAATATTGCGTAAAAAAGATTTTATACTTAGTTACAAGGAAACCGGAAGGGAGTATTGGACAGCTGTTTTGTCCCAATTCGAGACTCCTCATCAGTACGCGCCCATCACCAGGGTTAGAACCCAGGAGCTTCAGGTTACGAAGCGAGCTCGTAGACCATTCATTCAGCCAATGGGAGTCAATCCAATGGCGAGTCCATGAATTACAACTTCTACCAATTCGTGATATACATATATATTTAGAGCAACCGCCAGCCAATCAGTATCACAGATGAGGAACTGTCCTCTTCTCTGATTTAGTGGTTCCTGATGGCTACAACTTGTCGTAATCAATCAAGACTCTGCAAACCAATACTTGATAAATTATAATTAGAGCAAGTGATGGGCAAAAAAAACCAAACAAATAAACAGATAGACAGACGAATAAAGAAAAAAGTCAACTCACGTCTATTTCACTCTGGATTTTTGCATACTTATCAACCAGTTGATCAACTTGTCTCTGAATATCTAATCTACGTTCAAATTGTAAATATTTCTCTGTGCATTTTCTTAATTCACCTATTTTCATTTGAACTGGTTCAAGTTCAGATTTGATATTCTATATTATACATAAATATGATAAAACAACAGTTAGACCGTTTTGTTATTCAACATATATCAATAAAATGCTGGTACTAAGCAAAGTTATCAGATATCGGAAAAGTTATGTAATAGGCGTCAATGACTGATATATATATATATGATGTTAATAGTGTACATATAGATTATGCAATTGATCACAATAATAATAATAACGATGATGATTCTATCCATAACAAGGATGAAAAAGTGAGGTGATATGTGATAACAAGAATAATAAAAAAAAACAGCACAAACAAATGACACTGGTTAGAGGGTCATTAGAGAACCAACTGGGAGTACTGGACAGCTGTTTCGTCAGCCTAGTTTGGGACTCTTCAGCAGTACGCATCCACCACTAGGGTTCGAACCCAGGACCTTCTGGTTACAAGGCGAGCTCGTAGAGCATTAAGAAACTGAGACGAGATCTGATGGCCAGTCCATGAATTCTAACTTCTGTCAATTCACGACACAGCGCGACCGCTAGCCAATGTCTTCGGCGAGTATTTGTCCTCACACCCGACCTGCTGCACCCTACTGGTCACGACTTCTCACTAGAAACCCAGGTAACTACCTACCTGAATTGGGCAAGTCGCTAGTGGGCATCTCATCGATGGTCAAGTGTTGGTCGCATTATGTCGTGAATTGGCAGAAGTCAGAATTCATGGGCCACTGGATCGGCTCCCAGTGGTTTAATGGTCTACGAGCTAGCTCGCCTCGTAACCAGAAGGTCCTGGGTTCCAACCATGGTGGGTGCGTACTGATGAAAAGTCCCAAACTAGGCTGACGAAACAGTTATCCAGTACTCCTAGTTGGTTTTCCTATGGTTCTCTAATCAATGTTAGTTCATGATAAAATCCTGTAACCAATCAAATCCCTACAAACCAACACTTGACAAACAAATGTTCAGGCAGAAGTAGTCGATATAGGCTAAGAAAAACAAATGAACCGATTGAGTAATGCTAGATTGTACGGGTGAGTCAGTAGCACAGAGGTAGAATGCCCATCAATCACGCTTCATGTGGTTCAGAGTTCGATCCTCGGCCACAGACGCACTCCTTTACCTCACTAACCCAGTAATAAGACTGGTAAAGAGGCAAGGTTGAGCATGAGGTATGCTAGTAACCCCATCCCGTAAAAATAAATACCAATGCTACTGAAACTTCAAACTTCTAGCCTGAAGCCCTATGTTCCACTGGGAACGTAAACGAATAATAATAATAATAAAGACTGTACGAGAAGTTAATAATGTATGTCTTAATGAAGATTTCATAAGACTAAAGGATGATAAGGAAGGGATTGGAAAAATATAAGTAAGGGGTGATAGTGACGTCATCAGTTAGTTAGGTCTTAATTACCCAAGGGAGGGATAATAGCTGTACAGACGTCTTTTGAATGCATAGTTCAGGCTTAATAGTTCGATTGCCTGTCGCCTCAGCTATATGCAGTAAACGGGTACGGAGTTGTTTGGGAAGATTTGGTGGAATGCGATAGAAATCACCTAGAACGATTCCGTTTCTTCCATTAAATGACCACTAAATGACAACTACATGTAACTAAACGAAGCTACGGATCACTTTCGTTTGTCCTTTGCTAAACCACCACGATTTGAGACGTTGAGTAACATGTTGGCTAATCTGTCGCATAATAAGCCTACAGGAGCAGTTTAACTGATAAATATGTACATAATTGTGGGAAAACTATCGAGCTTATCCTTTGTTTGATTCCCAACCATAATTCGTCGACTAGAAAGTGATAGATATACGTTCACTGCGTAAACGTATAGAACAAAATCTCACTTGACAAGTCCTTGTTAAATTGTAACTTTAAAAATAACGGTTTCTCCCGTGCTGTCACGGTATCAAGTTTTCTATCTAATATTTTCATCACAGGTTTCTTTATGAAACTACTCGGATAGCCTATTTCTACGTGTTTTGTTTTCACTAATGTCTGAATAGGGATTGTTCATGAAATAATTATCCCGAAAAATTCACTAAGATGATTACAAAAGCCGACAAGAAAAATAAAAAAACACTAGTGGAACTATAGTTGATAACATAAATAAGAAAGAATTTAAGACATCTGCAGTTTTACCACATACACAAGGAAGGGACACCTGAAACCTTACCTACGTATGCTTCTTAATACAGCAGGAGTTAGGGTGTCATTTTAAACCTATAAACTCACTCAGGCAGGGACAAGCTCTGTAGCCTAAAGGAACTAATTGACCCAACTAGACAAAATACATTACAATAACTGTGAATTAGGTCAGACCAGGAGATCTGGGGTAGTAAGATTTTATCGGAACATACGAATTTAGCTAAGTGCAGAATGACTGACTCCACGAAGATGAGTAATTCAGGAAAAAAATCCCAGCAACTGCACTGCATACATTAACGCACAACCATACAACAGGGTGGGACACAGTTACATTTATAAAGAGTAATGAAAGCAGGTGGTAGGAGAGAGGGAATGAATACTGAATCTTTGTTCATCGAATCTACACACCCCTGAGACATGCAATAGGAATGATTCAACACAGTTAACAGAGATATAAGGAAAATATTACTACCAATAAAATTAAGGGATAGGAAATAATGGAATTTGTAAACAATTATATTTGTAAAATCTCAGCAAGATTGAAATGAGTAATTCCAATGTTTCGTTCGGCAATCTGGTCCGACTCATGATTGGACAAAGTTTTTAGAGACAAATGATGTTCCTTTTTTTTATAAACCTCTGTTATGTTAATTTCGAATTATTTCCCTGAAGAAGTTCGGACCAGATTGCCGAACGAAAAATTGGAATTACTTATTTCAATCTCGCTGAGATTTTACAAATATAATTTTTTACAAATGTCTACTTCTCACTCGGCGCCCAAATATTTTAGAACTACTCTGTCAAATCTTGACGACAGTTCATTTGAATAATGGAATTATATAAACGAAGTTTGAAAGAGGTTGTGTGAGTGCCTTGATAATGATTATGAGAAGGAATAAATAGTGATCCAGAACGTCAGTCATCAAATAATACTTTATCATCACTGTGTGATTTCATCAGATAAATTTAATCGCTACCACAGTGCCAAAGTTGTATTCTTAGATTTCAAAGCTTTCTGTTGTGGCGCGTGCTCCTAAAATGGCTTATCAGTAGTATATAAACAGATGACCATCGGGGCACAAAATATCAAATACTGGAGAGATGGCTGCAAAACATGGGAGACAAGAGAGAAAGACAAAGAAAGGCAATAAGTAGGGAAGAAGTGTAGCACAACAACATAGATCTGTGCAAATGACGATTTTGAAATATAGTAAAAATAATTTCCCTTTATGTGTATTTTAAATTGCAAATATTAATTTCTTGTAGGGATTGTTTAATTGGCTGGAGAATTTCATCATGAGCTGACATCAGTTAGAGAACCACTGGAAGACCTTCAGGGAATACTGGACAGCTGTTTCATCCTAGTTTGGGACTCTTCATCAGTACGCACCCATCGGGGTTCGAACCCAGGACCTTCTGGGTCTAGTGGAAAGCCGTGACCAGTATGATATAGCAGGTTGAAGATGAGGCAGTAACTCACCGACGAAGACTTTGCAAAGTGGTCACGCTGTGTCATGAATCGGCAGAAGATAGAATTCAAGGACTTGGCATTGGATTGGGTACCAGTGGTTCAATGGTCTACGAGCTAGCTCACCTTGTAACCAGCAGGTCGTTGTTTCGAACTTCTGTGGTGGGTGCGTTCTGTTGAAGAGTCCCAAACTAGGCTGACGAAACAGCTGTCCAGTACTGCCCTGGTTGGTTTTCCTATGGTTCTCTAACTGATGTCAGCTCTTGATGAAATCCCCCAACCAAATTGCAAATATACATTCCGTCTTCTCCTGTGTTACACTATAAACTACTTCAAGAAAGGTCTGATTGGTTATCCACTAAGAGAATGATATGGACTAAAAAAAAGACAAACACCTTACCTGGAACTGTTTGAAATGTTCTTCTTTTACAGTCAGTAAAATATTCAATGTCATTGGTTGAACTTGTTGTTGCTGCTGATGATGATGGGCAGATGTTTTCCGGTGTAGAACAGTTGTCGTCAGCAGACTTTGACAAATTCCATTCAAAATATTGACAACATTTGATTTAGCATTTTCCCAATTTGTTATTATGCCTAATTTTGTTTCAATATCTGTTTGAATATCTGTTAATTGTTGAGCTTTACATCGAATTGATTGACGAAATACATCGACTTTATCTAATATTTCTTTATTTGTTAAAGAGTCTGTTGTTCGACAAACTTGATCAGAGATAATCACTAACTGTGAAATAAGTGTTTCTGATTGACAGGTGATCATTTCTGAGAGATTCTAAAAAAAGGGTTTATTTTAGAGAAAACAAAAGAAAAAAGAAAGTTATAAGTTTCCAGACCGTAGGTGTTCATTATAAATTATCTAAATTAATCCCAGCGTGTTTAAGAAAAAAATCAAAGCAAGATCTGTTTTCTGAACGTTTCGCTGTGTAAGCCACAGCTTCTTCAGCAGATTTATTCCGATTTTAGTAATCATGTCATCCTAGAATATGGTACAGATAAATAGATGACACATTTACCATCATGATGAAAGCTGAAAAGGAAAACTTTCTAGCAGAGATTAAATTAATCTCAGAATATATAGAGAGTTTACTAATGAAGTAGAATCGGCTGAGGGAACTCCAAACTTTCCGGATTGTCTTGTAAAAAAACAAACTGACGATCTGTTGTCTGGCCCTTGTCTTCTGTCGTTACAATATGTTCACTACATACTACTGGTGAAGAGTTCCAGAGCAGGACAGAACTGTTGTCCAACACTCCCTGCTATTTTCCAATGGTTTCCTGACTCCAACATCACCTCATGATTTAAACTCAAAACCAATCACAAATCCTTGAACAAATCAATATTGGAAAATTAATTATAGGTTCATTAAGGACTGGGGCTACGGAATGAAATTACACATAGTTTGAGGTGATTGAGGTGATGAAATTCTCTACCAGCACAGATCCCTTTCTGAAAAAGAGATTATTGAGATCTCACAGTGCATGCGATCTGCTTGATCCCATCAACGGTAATCAAGAAAGCAAGCGTAAATATGTAGGGCCACATTCAAGACTACGGCATGCAGTGCCCAAGTCTTTATCAACCTCATCCAACAGCTGGCTGTATGAAAATGCCACGTGTCAAGTGACTTACAACGGGAAACTCAGTGAGGCATCCGAAGTGAATACAGCAGTAAGACAGGGATGTCACAATTGTGGTGGACTGAATTATGCGTCAGACTGTGGGTTGGGAGCAAGAAGACAGCAATACGCTGAACCACCGAGAAGAAGACTCTAGAGATTCTGGATTTCGTTGATGACTTCTGTCTAATGTCCCACAAACTGGAAGACTTACAGGAAAAAACCAACAAACTTGGAGCAGTGGCTGGCAGGTAGCGAATACAGGACCCCAGGTGAACATAGAGAAGGTGGGGACGGAGGTGATGAAGAGATGATAACCAACGAACTAACCAACCACCACCAACAATGACTACAACAACAACTAGTACCAGTAACTATCAACAGAATAAATTTGAAAGAGATTATTTCCTTTATTTATTTAGGAAGCATTGTTTCAACTGCAGGCAGTCGGATGGCACGGATGAAGATGTCAAAGCCATCCATCCAGACATCTAGAATCTGAAAGGCAACATACGTCTTCATCAACCTATCTGAAACGAGTTTGGAAATCTTCTGCACTAACTCGGCCAGCATGAACAATAAGATTCGGATTCTGTTCAACACCAATGTCAAGTCAGTCCTTCTATACAAGTCAGAAACTTGGCCTGTGTGTCGCGAAAACGATTTGTAACAAGTCACAGACTTCTACCAACAGCTGTCACCTTCGCGATGGGTAAATACTGAAGATCAAATGGCCAGAAAGAATTAGCAAAAAGAAACTCTGGCTGGCTGGAAACAAACCAACAAGCGAAAGCCGATTGCTCAACAAATTTGTTAGGAGAAAATGGAGATGGATCGATGGGGCATACACTGAGGAAACCGTCGAACGACATCGCGCTCAATGCAGACCATCACTAGAGTGGAATCCTAATGGGAAGCGACGAGTGGGTCGTCCTAGGTTGATATGGAGAAGATAGTGTGGCGAGTTGGAGGAGATGAGAGATTATGCGCAATCGTGGGGCCGGCTGAAGAGAAGAGCAGAGAATAGACGAGAGTGGAGATGTGTTGTTGAAGCCCTATGTTCCATTAGGGAAACATCAAACAGTATTGATTGATAGACAACCAGCTAGTCAGATCAAAATGATCTAAACACCAAACGGTTGGTCTGAGTAGTGTCCAACTACTTATATCAGCCAGTTAGTCAGTAGTATATAGCACTGTGCAAAACATTATCGTCTATAATACACTCACCCTATAAGATATGAAAAAAGTGCGTAGACTTACTTGACAGGCTAAAAGATTTTGCTCCAGCGTGACACGATCTGTATTTTCATCAACCGATGACGATAGACTGTTCAGTTGAAAATCGATATTTTCAAGCCATTGAGTAATACGTGCAACATCTGAATCAAACTGTTCATGAATTTCAACGGAATTCTGCATTTGTTGTAATGCAGCCTACAATGACATAATGATAATAATAATAACAATAAAGGCTTAAGATTGGAACATTTCTGTCGAAAGTGTTGAAGTTGACGTTGATTTCTTTTGTTGGGGTAAGTGATAACGTGTACATAATAAGTATATCAAATACAAATGGTTTCGTATTCTCTACACTGAGTGATCGAATTGAAAAAGCTTACTTTGTCATGCAACTCACAAGTCAAAAGCAACTTGTTAACTCGCTCCATTCACCAGTTTATTTGTTATGCAACTGATTTCATGAGTTGGTAATACATGAATTCAGTGATGATGTCTTGTTTTGCCTTGTCTTGTCTTGTCCTTAGATGTAAAAGAAAGTTAAATGATGAAGCTGTTAATTCCCGATGACCGTTGCAAAATTGATGATAGTGAGGATATAGAAATCAAGTGTGAAGTATCTTGGATTAATTCTTTCTTCTAACCTATCCTGGTCTTCTCACGTCTTAGCGAAGAAGTTAAGGCACTCAGGCATAACTCAACCCCTCCTCCTCTTACCGTTTGTCAGCTCCAGCATCTTACATTTTCTTCTGTATTCTTCACTCTTGTTCTTTCCTAGTTTGTTTAAAAAAAGACTATGTCATACTCTGACGACTGTCAGTAGGCCGAGTGGTATTCCATTGGGCCATATCGTTGAAATCGTCATTGATAGGCACTTGGTTTCATGCAAAAAATTTACTGAAGGAATTTTTTCAGACTGTCAGTATCCACTTTATCCGCAGCTTTCATCTTGTGTCTTCTCAGGTAAAACAAGAAGTCATTTCAAAAGACTTTATGCACGCACGTCTAAGTATAAAAATTCCACAATACCATATTTGGCACGTACTCCATGTGATGAAAATATTGTTAGGCATGAATTAACTAACCTTCTTTTCACTGGTAAATAAACAAACAGAAGGTCCTGGGTTCCAACCCTGGTGGTGGGTGCGTACTGATGAAGAGTCCGAAAACTAGGACGAAACAGATGTCCAGTACTCCCAGTTGGATTTCCAATGATTCTCTAACCAATGTCAGCTCATGATGCGATTCAAGAAGTTATAATAAGCAAAGATGTGAAAAAAGATGAGGGTTTAGTGGATATCGCAGACCATAAAGAGAGAAGGCATCTTCACCGTTGACAGCGATTTCGAGCCATATTCATCAATTGTCTTGAGCCATTGGTTCTTAGAATCCAGAGAACTCCAATCAGGCAGTCTACATCTCCCTAGTACACACTGAATTCTCTCATCCTTCCAAATGACCAGTAAATATATCACACAGTAACATAGGTGCTCACACTAATAACAGTAGTAAATTTTAAAAATATATATATAATATATATATTAATAACAACTCTGTATAAACATTCAGATAAAACAAACTAGCAAAACTTACATAGGCTGTGTCTAATGTATTTTTATACTGTTCAAACAATTGTTCACTTTGATTGGGGAGATTACAATTCGGCGCTAAACTCTTCACATGATTCGCTTTCAGTAAACACAAATCGAAATCAGCCTTCTTACCAACACAGTCTTGATAGAATGCCTATGTTCAAAAGAGAGAAAGGCAGAGAGACAGGCTGAAATCAAAGACAATAAAATGACAAAAAGGTAATTATTGATTGCTTTCCTCCTTCCTTTGAGTTCCGAGTGGAGAATGGGGCACTTCAAGCTAGAGCTTTGAAGTTTCACAGTAGCGATAGGGTTCTCACTGTTCACGAGGTGGTGGTCCAACCTCCCCGCCTCTTCACACGCTTACTACCGGTTAGGCGAGGTTTAGCAATGCGTCGGCCGGGAATTGAACCCCGTCTACAGCACTGTGAGGTTGTTGGTGAACGATTCTACCATTAAGTCACTAAATAAGAGGACGATTTTGGATTTGTAGGAGTTTCAAGTTACTTCAATGTAGATTTCGTCACCAGTCAATATCAGTTTTCAATAATAAAAAAACACCACTGAAGAACCATGGAGCACTGGATAGCCGTTTCATCCTAGTTTTTGAGACATTTCAGTAGTCTACACCTAAAACCCACCTACCTACCTCACTAGGGGTCGAATTAAAGGTATTGTGGTTATAATACAAGTCCAAAAGACGTTCAATCACCAGGTTAGAATCCAACTCTTATTAATTCGTGATACAACGCCACAGATGACCAATGCCATTAATGATTATCCGCCTAACATCCGCAATGCTGAGTAGTTGAATATAACAACTAGAACAAAACAGATGTCCAGTACTGCTCCAGTTTTCAGTGATTCCTTATATGAACATCCAATTCATCTGAACTTACTATTTGTATTTTCGTTTTATTACGTAACTCTTCTTCAACAATCGTTTGTGGCAACTCATCACTTTTGTTGCCACCCTCTTATATCAATATCCAATTCATCTGAACTTACTAATTGTAATTTCGTTTGACAAATTTAATATACACACACATACAAAACAACCATATATATTTGCGATTGTACAGCTATGAAAATGAATTCGCCACCAAAAAGAAACTCTTCGCTGAACTACTGGTCTTCTGTCTATTAATGTTCGAATGGGATTTTTTCATCGATTCCTTAAATGATGTCATACCATCACGATAAAATAAGCATTTTGCATTTTCTATTATGGATAAGATTTTATTTTGATAAATCGCACAGTGGTGTTATACAGTAATATTAACTGATGCGACCACGTTTCGAGCAGAAACTACTGCCACTCATAATCATATCAAGTCACTCACTCACTCAACTTTTGAAATGAGTGAAATTGATTAGACATTTGAATAAAAATTAATATGAGATAATGTACATTCAGAAATAAGAATATGAGTGTTATTGATCAAATATAATCAGATGGGAAATAAGACGAATGTTTGTATAGTCAAAACAAGTGACTTGTTAAAATGTTGTGATGTGTTTGAATTGAAATAGAATTTTAGGATTATTTATTATCCTCCTCTGATTTGCATTTTTCACTCCGCAATTATTATAACTGAATAACAATAACAGAATATGAAAAATACACTCCACTGAAAGTTAAAGACTCTAACTGCTGAATGAAAGCATACTAATGGAAGTTTTTATCTGAGGTTGATAGGAGTGTGATTGATTTAGGTGCAGTTTTCTCCACTGAGTTGATGGGAGGTTCAAACAACAACAACAAAAAAACGCAACTCAATACTAACCAAAATCTTGAAGACAGGCAATTTTACACATCATTCATGAAGAATTCAAAGTAGGTTGACTTCAAAAATTCAAGTATGTGCTGAACTGATGTTGTATACACTTGAAGAGCCGCCTCTGGTGTTGCTATATTGATTAAAATGCCGGATAAAGATTAGAAGTGAGCATGTTTGTGTGTGTGCGTGTATGGAGAAAAAATTTTTCTTTTAACTCTAAAATCACGAAATGATCCATTTATTGTATGTAGCTCTAATCTACTGCTCGACTTCATTCTTCAGCTTGAATGTCTTTCAACTAAACAGTGCTAAAAAGAAGCAAACTGCTGGTAAATATGTTTCATAAAAACCGGGTGAATAAGAAGTGGACTTCTGTTAGACGCCATTCGACCTCTTCATAATCAACTATAGACACTTTAGTAGAGAATTTTTTCAGCATAACAGCCAACCAACTTATTTGTCAGAGAAGAGGAGGTTTCAAGTGAACATAAAGAAGATACAGAGGTGATGAAGATACCTACTGACCGCCAACAACAAACACACAAATCCCTATCAACGCGAGGAATTTGACGGTATTCCACCGTTTTCACTTATCTAGGAAGCATCCTTTCAACTACATGTAGCACGGATGAAGATGTCAAAGCCAGGCAGGATCAGATAGGTGAGAAAGATATTCAGTACTAGATATGATGGAGAAGATTTGTAGCTCAGGTGGATGATTTTGATGTGGTTGTGTTCTCTGAGCTAGCTGGATAGTGGTTTATTTGCGAAGCTTTCATCACCCTACTTACTAGGCAACATCTTCAGCGCATACTTCAATTTGAAGTGAGCTTTTAGATTCCTCCACGGGTTTATTAATCATCTCTCCTACACGGGACTTCATCAAAAGACATATACCCCGAAGCCAACCTATCAAACCAAAAGCCCCCAAGGAAAGCACATAGAAAATCGCCCTACCATATATAAAGGATATCTCAGAAATCACTGCAAGACTCTTCAAATCTTTAGGAATTGACGTCGCACACAAACCAACAAAGTGACTTCACTCAATCTTATGTCAACCAAAGGACTCAACAGCGAAAAAAGATAAAACCAACATCATCTACAAAATAAATTGTAACAACTGCGGAAAACACTACACTGACCAAAGTGGACGTCCTCTTCGTCTTCGTATCCATGATCATAAGTTAGCCGTCAAAAGACATGACATCCACTTCCTCATATCACTACATACAGACAACCACGAACATCAATTCGACTGGGACAATGTTCAAATATTAGACAGAGGAAACAACAAGAATGCTAGAGAACTTTTTAGAAGGCTGCCTGGTATTCCAGTGAATCTTCAATCAATAGACACATCGAGATAGACAAAATTTACCAACCGACTAGAAAGAAACCTCACACACAAAGGGTCAAAGTTCAGGTCAAAGAAACAATCAATTCCAATACAAGAAGGTGTGAAAACACACAAAAACAACCAAAGTCACGTCCAAGGTCACCCACCAGGAGAGATGATTAATAAACTCGTGGAGAAATCTAAAAGCTCACTTCAACGAATTGAAGTATGCGCTGAAGATGTTGCCTAGTAGGGTGATGAAAGCTTCGCAAATTAACTATCCAGCTAGCTCAGAGAACACAACCACATCAAAATATTCAGTACTCTCAGTATTCGTCGTGTAAAGAACACGATTCGGATTTTCAACACTAATGTCAAGTCGACCAGTGATTCTGCATGGTTCAGAGACTAGACGTGTGTGTGTGCGTCACCAAAAGCAATTCGAACAGGCTACTACTACTGCTACTGCAGACTTCCACCAACAACTTCCATCAATTACTCAATACTGAAGATCGGATGGCTGACCGACCGGCCGGACAGTCAGAGAGGATTATCAACAACAAGGAACTCCACAGTAAAATGAACCAAACAAGAACCTACTGCTCAATAAATATTTTGAAGAAAATGGTGATCGATCGGGCACACCCTGAGGAGACTGGTGAGTGACCTGAGGTTGACATGGAGGACATCGTATGAAGAGGAGATGAGAGATTGTGAGCAATACTGGGGTCAACTGAAGAAAACTAGAGACAACTGGACAAGGCAGAGAAGTTCTATTTGAAACCCTATTTTCCATTCGGAACCCAACAAAATAATAATAACACAATATACAACGCACAAACTTTACACAGTTGACCTACCTTTAAACTATTCGCCAATTGTTGTTTAGTAGACAATGAATCAAGTGAATGAAAAATCGGTCGTCTCAAATTAGTCGCTGTACCATTTAACCAATCAATTAATCGATCGAAACTATTCTTCCAATCTGTCCAACGGTCGACTAATTCAGTTAGATTTGTCGTAAAAACACTTTGAATTCTATCCAATCGTATTAAACGACATTGTAATTGATCAATATAATTTTGAATAATAACACTTAATCGATTCGATGAAGTCACTGATGCCGCACGATCTCCTGTAGTAGACTTCAACTGGACACCAGACTCTTCTAATATTTTCAGCCTACTTGTCAGCTGTTCACCTGATTCAATCAGCTGTTTATTCAACTGATGACCACGACTTTCAATGACGGAGTTGATCTCCTTAATAATCAATAACTTTTGTTTAGCTTCAGTCAATTGACAAATTAAACTTCGGCATGATTCATCTAATTGATGCATAATACGCTCATCAGCATCATCCCCATGATCATCCATATACTGTGTCAAACTATCTGAGTGAAAAAACACCGCCAATCGATTTGAATCACCACCACCTTCAGATAATCGAATAAATTTTGTCTCACAGTCAATAATCCAAGCAGAAAATATTTGTGCTTCATTGTGAAATTGATGAAATAATCTAAGAAGGGTTGATATTTCTTGATGAGTTGATTGAATCCCCTGAGCGGCTTGAGCGAAACGATTTCCTAATTGTGAATCAATAGTGAATTCTGAGTTTTTCATTTCTGCTTCATACTTTCTAGTATCTATTGCTAATTGTGTAATTGTTTCTGAAACACTGTGTAAATGATTTGTCACATTTTCAATCAATTTATCAAAATCATCGATTTTTGTTTCTGTTGACAAGGTGATAATTTTTGATAAATCATAGAGATTCACATGCGCGTTAATCAACTCTAGTTGATTTTCAGTTGTTTCAATTAAATTTGTAAATTTCTCCTGAGATAAATTACGCTGATTAACGGATTTTACAATTTTTTCATATCGATCACGTAATGATTGAACTATCGATTTCAATGAGTAATAATCCATATCAGTGTAAATTGAAACACTCATCGATTGATTATTATCATTCTCCAATTCTTGTATTGAATTCAATTGATCTAAATTACTGCTATCGTATTTAGTTAAACGTAGTAAAGTTTCAATTTCTGAACGATACTGATTACCTTGCATTATTGATTCTGTTGTATATTGATCTGTCCAACCTTTGATCACTTGAATTAAACTCTCACCAGATTCAATTCTACTTTCCATATCGACTATAGACATTCGAATCATGCTGGATTTATTATCTGAATCCCCTGACGTCACTGAACATGATTCATATGCAGTCAATTGAGGTTCTACATCAGATATCTTCATACGTAACTCACACGCCCATTGATCATAACTTTTACAAGAGGTTAACAGTTGTTCAATCATCTTTTGTAGTGTCTGTCCTGTTTCTAAGCGACGATCGCATACACTTAGCAAGGTTTGATACTGTTCCATTAGATGTGTGGCAGCATTCAAGGCGATGTTACCACCGACAGCTAGTGAGTGAGACTTAGCCGACTCGTCTGCTGCTGCTGATGATGACAGTGCTTTCAGTGCGTCATCGATTGTTCGCCCACCCCCACTCGATGAAATGATTCGTGATTTAATCAAACTTTGAGCAGTCATTACTAATGATTCTATGCATGGTTGACGTCCGATTAAATCGATTCTCAACTGACGACTTCTACTCACCCGATCAGTCAGGCGGTTGAATTCTTTTTCAATCATATCAGAACTTGTAATTTGTGATAATGTAGTCTTGATTTGAGGAGATGTACTACTACCAGTACCACTACTAGACTCAGCATACAATATCGATAGCAGCGATGAGCACTGTTCACTTAGCCATTGGCTTAATGTATTACAATCAAGGGAGAAATTTGACCACTGTTCACTCCATACACGAAAATACTCCAATCTCTGAGTAACATGATTAAAAAACTCGGTTACATCTCTTTTCAAATCAGCTACATACGTTTCAGCCGGTTCCATTCTTAACGGTGTCATCTGACCCAACTCTTCAATCAGTTTAATTAAATCACCCAAGCTCTCCTGATATGTCACTGAAAGGGATGTTTTGAAGTCTTCTAAATCGCAAGTGGTTTTATCAAACAGCTGACACAACTTGCTTACTTCAGTATTAGGCATTGATGAGATCTGTTTCGTCATCGCCTGTGATTGCACTGATGATGATGAATACGACTCAGTTTGATTCATTAACCGGTCTAATTCACGACGTTGGCTCAGTAACCATTGAAATATTTCACATCGTTTACGGACAAATTTCTCACATAAGTTCAGTATAACATGATTCAAGTGGATCAATGATTCTAAACGACCCTTTAACTGGTCGTATTTTTTAAAGATACAATTCAATCGATCTGTAGCATCTCTTCCCAACGATGAAGACGTCTTCCCCGATATTATATCACTATTATTATTATTGTTATCGCTATCGTTAGAAGAATGTTCTTTGAGCATTCGATCAATAGAACATTGTGCTTGTACTAGTTCCTCTAGTTGAATTAACTCAGTTTCACTATATCGACGTAGTTCATCTAGCAGATTTGTTAAAATGCATAATTTTGAATTACACCATGCATTTAATTGATGAATAGCAAAATGTTCATCGATTTTATGCATTGATATATCATTAATCAATATTGTTGATAATGAATTTGTCTCCATTTCCATTGTATTCAATTGTAGATCGATATTATGTAACCAACGATTCATTTGTTGTAAATTACTATCCAACTTTGACCAACATAAATATTTTTCACTAAGATTAGAATGAATTGTTTGTAGACTTAATTTATATTGATTATATCGATTGAAAAGATGTTCAACAACTATATTAATATAATCAATAATATCGGATTTATTATTATTTGTTTTATCGATAATAGATGAAGATTTAAATGAATTTGGAATAAGATTGAACAACAGCTGACGTGCTGACTGTTCAACATGTTCACGTAATTCTTTACCATGTTCTTTGAAATCAATTTCTAATTGTTCCAAACTTGTTAACTGTTTTGAAAGCAATTCTTTATCATCAACGGCTTTAACTACATGTTCATCAGAACTTTTATTATTATCATCATTATTCTCATCATCGTCTTCATTCTCAGAGATATCGATTGCAAATAGCACCTTTTTACTGCATAGTTCACTATTCGATAACCAACTGTCGGCTTTCTCTTCATTCGTTAAAAATTCTTGCCATGATTCATATTCTTTGGTAAGCTGATTTTTAAATTTCCGCATTTTATTCAAGGTGATTTCATGCTTCGATTTTAATTCATTAAAACAACGTGAAAATTTCAAATCTAATTTACCAATTTTCTGTTGATAATTATTTAAGGTTTGTTCAATGTTGAATAAATCATCCTTCCCTGTAGACGTCATCCAGTGTAGAGAATTTTCTAATTGAGCTATTCTGTCACCACAATCATCTGCGGTTTGTTTTAACCGACTCAAATACATGTTTATATTGTGATCAATATCAGTGGGTGTATTTAAACTTGAAGATTTCACTGGCAACACAGTATTTTCATTGTTATTCATATTATCGATTGAATTCAGTTCAAATGATTTTGATCGATATATTGATCGATTCGCTAGCTGATTCATTTCATCTTGATGCAGTTTCAACTGTTGATCGAAATGATTTAACATTGAATCTAATCTTAACTGATCTTCTGTTTCATTAGTGATTGTAATCAGTTTTTGTGACAGTGTTTCACGTAATTGTATTGATTCATAAATTAAACATCTTACAGCACGATAGGTAGGATGCGTTACTTCATCGCCATCTAAAGCATTTTGGTAGGCATCTATATCGTAGGCTTTCTTGAGAAGATTTCTTAATAGATAGACAAGAATTATTCGCTTCGACTGTTTATTTTCACCGTCTGCCACCTCATCTTTGACTTCGCCCTCTTCTGCTTTTTCGAAGGACTGATCAATCTTTTCATTCAATGTATCAATCAATAAATTGTTCAACTGTTGTCCATCGCCAATTTGATCGATTAAATTATTCAATGTCAGTGAACGTTCTTTAATTAACGATTTTACTCCCTCAACATCATCAACATTTTGTTTATCTGATTTCAATTGATCAATCTTTGGTATTGAACTTATCGATTGATCAAATTCTATTCGAATAGCATTCATAGAAGATACGAAAACCTTGTATTGTTTGATAAAACTATTGATTTTCACCTGGAAATCATTACCAATCGAGAATGTGGTATTTAGTGTCTCAATGAGTTGATTACTTAAATCGATAGATTGATTTAACTTGTTGCATAATTGATTATAAGCATCTGTTTGAATGTCAGTTAACTGACAGCTTTTTAATTCTGTTTGAAAATATGCTACTTTTGAATGTTGTGCGCGCGCTAAATTTAAATATGATTCAGTTTGTTTAATATATTTATTTGTTTCTTTTGAATATTGTTTAAATTCATTTAAAATTAGCGTTGTAGTAGATGATTTCATTGACTCTTGTAAAGTGTTAGATGAGGAAGCATCCAATTTGTCATTTAAGCTATGTACATTAAGCCATGGTCGAGACTGAAGCCATGTTTGAATACGATCATTGAATTCATTGAACCAATTGAATAGGTTTGCAACTTGTACGGTTAAATCAGTCCATAGTGTAGTTCTGTGTTCAAGATTCCGGTGTAAATTCATCAGACTATTGCCTAACTCCTCCCAATTCCTTTGTACTTCACCCATTCTATGCTGTTGACTATTATGCCCAACACGATCGATAAAAGTGGTCATATTACACAGACGGTTACGTAATTCAGTGAATTCAGCGCCAATCAGTTCACGGGCCTTCATAATATCATCAATCAGTGTTATATAGTCATCGATTGTTTTAACACCCTCAATATCGTTGTTGTCATCAATGTCAGTATTAGTTAGAAGTATCGTTACTCCTAGTGCTTCTTCTTCTTGTTCTTCTTCGCCGACAGAAGTAAATTTCTCTTTCACCTTTCTAGTACGTACGCACAGTCTGGCAAGAGATTCCTCTGTATTCTGTATTTTACAATTCCACTCGGTGAACAGTTTTACACGAATTTTCCAAAGATCGATAACTTCTCTTGTCACTTTCTGTAGATAACTCAATAGAACTGTAATGCCTTTGATGCGATTCATTGCTGAATCATAAGAATCGGACACTACCACCTCTGATGCGGTTGTTGACGTTGGTTTTGCCATCGCCTCCAGAGTGTCGTCGTCGTCGTTTACATTCTCAACAGTATCGTCGACAATTGCCACATCTCTAGAGTATAATTGATGTCGACGATTTGGAAGACGCTTTAAGGTAGAGTTTAACAGTCCCACGTGTAATGTTAATTCGTTGAGAAACTCAAGAACTTGTTCGTGTTGTCGTCCCACTTCACAGTTTGGCTGGCATGTGGCCGCAGCAGCACCACTGTTGTCAGACACTTCACTGTCTTCACAAGCGTCTACATTGAGCTTCACCTCTAATCTACTGCAGACAAACTGCAATAACTCCAACTTCTGTTCAATTTCCTCTGGTTTATTCACCAACGACATCGACTGTTCTTTCAGCCAATTTTCAATCCGACGACATGTCAACTGTGAGGTATCACAAGCGACTTCAAACACTTGCCATGTTTCTATAGCTTGTGATAATGACTTCAGTATGAATTCAATGCGTTCACAACAGTCGAACCATACCTTTAACAGGTGAACACAATTCATTGGAAGGTTTAAAAAATTCTCAAATATTTGACTAGCAGTTTTTTCCACGTCGATATTATCTACAGCCAATATGAAATCTTGATATTGCGGTGGGAGACAATGCACAAAACACTCCATGGCGTATTTGTTTACATCGGTGAATCGATTACACGCCTCATTGGTCAATAGGCTCAAATCCTATATTTGGATTGTTTTTAGATCAATAGAAATGAAAGTATACAATTATTAGTTATCAATATAAGAGTAGTATACATGTGAGAATACGAATAGAGTATAACTAGTGAACACAACACAACACAAGACAACACGATAACCAAACTATATAATATACTTGCACTGCCTATTCGTAGGATACCTGGGTTCTAGTGGGAAGTCGTGACCAGTAGGGTGCAGCAGGTCGGGTGTGAGGACAAATACTCGCTGAAGACATTGGCTAGCGGCCGCGCTATGTCGTGAATTGGCAGAAGTTAGAATGATGGGCCATTGGATCGGGTCCAGTGACTTAATGGTCTACGAGCTCGCCTTGTAACCAGAAGGTCCTGGGTTCGACCCCCGGGGGTGGGTGCATACTGATGAAGAGTCTCAAACTAGGACGAAACAGCCGTCCAGTACTCCCAGGTTTTCCAATGGTTCTCTAACCAATGTCAGCTCATGATGAAATCCTGCAACCAATCAACCAAATCCCTACAAACCGATACTTGAATAAAAATGAAATATTCGGGTGTTGATCTTCAGGAATTTGATTTGATTGGTTACAAGACTTCACCATGAACTGATATCAATTTGCAGACACATTGAAAAACAACCAACTAGGGATTACTGGACGGATGCTTCACCACCCTAGTTTGGGAATCTTCAGCAGTACGCACCCACCCCGCCAGGCTTCGAACCCAGAACTTTCCGGTTACAAGGTGGGCTCGTAGACAATTCAGTCACTGAAACCCCATCCAATGGTCAAGTCCATGAATTCCAACTTTTCAGCCAATTCACGACATAGCGCGACCACTAACCAACGTCTTCGGAGAGCATTTGTCCTCACATCCGACCTGCTGTAGTTAGTTAGTCAGTTAGGTAGTTACCTGGGTTCTAGTGGGAAGTCATGACCAGTAGGATACAGTAGGTTAGGTGGGAGGACAAATACATACTGCCTGTGGTTAAATTCCGATGTTTCGGTAATCCAACTGACACAGATGGAGTAAGCTAATCTCACAGTCATTACATGGTATCTAGTAAGTCCTATTATTTTTCTTAATTGGATCTGTTAGGTCCTCTGAGTGAGTTGGTTGATTGGTTTGAATTCCCCCCCCCCCGACTTCAGCCTCGCTGAGAATTCTACGCAAAGCCTTTGATGTTTATTCTTTAAACGGCAGTTCTACAGAGGCTTTGAGTACCTTATTATCTATGTTATTTTCATTCCTAATCTTATTTATTCTCTGGGTCCTCATACATTTCTGAGTAAATTCTGGTGGGTGGTGGGTAGTTACTCACTAGTAATACTTCCTTTATTTTTTTTGACTTCGTTATTTAAATCTTCTGGCCTACTAGTAGTTAGGCTCTTGGCCTGATTATTCAGACATTTAACTAAACCTATATTGACTGATTCTGGATGGGATGAATTAAAGTCCTAGTACTGATTAGAATGTGTCGGTTTCCTATAAATGCTAGTATCCACCCACCCACCCACCATCTCGTTTTCGTTTTATTCTACAATCTAGCATGTATCAACTCACCCTGCTCGATTTCTAACTCAGAAGTGAATTGGATTCCGTCTACTATTGAGTTTATATGTGTGAAAAACTGATAGATAGGTTCATATTCCAACAAAACGAATCTGTGTAATCCACATACCCCCCCCATTATAACCTAAGAGAAGCAGGATTAAACGTTCCGAGAGCCTTATGTTCCCAACTTTCCAAAAAAAGGTAAAAACAGAGGACAATATCCGCACTGTTATAGTCAGATAGTTAACGTTGGGATATATGGAGATGCCAGGTAAATATAAGCGTGATGCATGTAAAATCCAGATGGTCTACAACGCGCTAACATTTCCCATTTTAGAGCATAACAGACAGGTTGATACTCATCCATCTGATGAACAGGAGGTTTTCAGAAATACACTCTAATGACTATATACTGCAGTTCTACTAATCTTTTTTTTTCTGAACTATACAAATGTGACAAGGGACACTACGTAGCTGTTTCGTCCCAGTTCTGGAGTCTTCAGAAGTGCCCTCTCCACTCTACCCAACCGAGGAGTCGAACCCAGGACTTTCAGGTTACGAGGCTCATTGATCATCCAACCCACTTGAGCTGGAATTAAATGACTTATGTTTATATAATCTAAATTTATAATCTAATTTACCAGAGTATATGTTGTGTTTTTCTATTCCCCTGCGTTTCTAGTGTGGCATAAGGCATCAAACATGAGCTCTGAAGTCTCAGTGGAGGTAGTGGTGTTGATTACATACTGGGTGGGGGGTGGTTGCTGACCTAAGGCCCAACCCTACCACCTTCTCTGTGCCCAGCTAAGTGATGTTTGTGTTTGGAGTGCGTCGTCGGCCGGAAATCAAAAACCACAGAACAGATGGTGCGTGGGTGGTGGTGAGCATTGCAATAATTTGTTTAGAGGACAGACTATCTGAATGTGTTTTCCAGAATGTGATAAGGAAGTAAAAGAATCCTGTAGGCAAACAACAGCGACAATAAGAAAACTCGAAAAAGAAAATATACAACAATGCACTTGTCATACCAAAAGGTGAACAACACAAACACTCCGATGATGACAACAACGAATAGATAGACAGACAAACAAATAAACAAGCAGATGAATGACAAGAGTAATTTAACTATTTCCAATAATAGAACAAACAACAGACAATCAACTTACAAGTCGTTTCTTGAAAACAAAATTAAAAATTTAAAGTTTGAAAGAAAATTATTACCTAACTGATTGACGAAAGTTTACGACAAAAAGGATAAACAGTGGTTGCGGAATACACTAAACAATAAGACAGTCAAGTGGTGGGTGATGACTAGCAGTGCAATCCAATCGGACTCGTCATCTGAATGTACCTGCAGTCTCACCCAGTGAGTGATGGTGTCACCACCGAGGCTCAAACCTATTGTCCATTCACATCATCCTGGATTCCACTGCCAGTCACTGTCCACCAACTGACTTCATTTTACATGCCTAGACATCGTCGCAACATCTGTACAAGGAGCTGACATGTCAACTTGAGACCGAGCGCTTCGGTCAAATCAATTGACAAGAAAATCTAAATTGAATTGAATAAGACAGTGTCTACACAGGCAGCAAATAATTGTATAAATTAATGTTTGCAAATCTTATCATCATGAGAACGCTAATCATAGAGTTAAATCAATTGAATCCATAGGAATAGTTATTTCATTCATAAAGTCGGGTTCTTCAAGAATTTCAGAGTCATGGCATTAAAGAAATTCAAGTATTTCCCGCTCATAATGTCGTCTGTCTCTCTCCTGTCTCTTAGGAGTTCCACAGTAATGTCAAAATATTCAAGTGTTGGTGTTCAGCTGGAGGATTTGATTGATTTCAATTATGCTCACGAGCTGACATCAATCAGAGGACCATTGAAAAACCAGGTAATATTGGAAAGATGTTTCGTCCTGCTTTAGAATTCTTCATCAGTACGAAACCACCGGGGTTCCAACCCAGTACTTTCAGGTTACAATGCAAGGTCGCTGACCATTCAGCTACTGGAAGTAACATAGTCTGAAAGACCCTGGCTCCGATGCTTAGAGATAGGGTCATGGGTGAATCCCATTGAAGAGTCCCAAACAAGAGCGAAACAACTGTCCAGTATCCCCTAGTTTTTTTAAACTGATGTCAGCTCCTGATCGGACCTGTAATAAATCAAGTCCTTGCAAACTAAAGCTTGGGAAATATTGACTATTTGTCTATCCATTGGTCGATTCATGAGTATTCCCCATTCATGACATTAATGAAAACAAAGCACGTCGTTCAGTGAAGGGGCTCTTTTCGGCGAATTTATTTTCTTTAGCTGCACAATCGTGTTTACATACAATCTATTTTTCATGAAAGATAGTAGTAACAAAAGTGATGAGTTGTCACAATCATGGTTGTTAGTGTTAGTCAATGCAAAAATCAAGTCAGTAGAAATCAACACGTTTGTTACCATGATTGTGGAAGTGGTTGAATAATTTCCTCTTGTATGCATAGCTTCAATTTCGCTACATGGAATGGCTAAGGCTTCAGAGATGCAGAAGAGATGAAGGCGTATTCCCTTTAGTAGGTTATTCGTCAAGTTGTAGATTACTTTGACGAATTGTTTCTTTTCCTACTTCTTCTTGTATTTCTGTAGAACTCTTACATAACTCCATATTTTCCTTCGTTTCTATATGCATCCTGATTATAACTCATTCAGTAGATTATTCATCTTCTGCTTAACTCTTACACTTATTCAACTTCCTTTGTATATTGACTGACATTAACAACTAGGTTTGTGACAACTCATAACTTTTGTTTCAACCCTCTTTCACGAAAAAAATGTATACAAGAGCTGTTGCACAGCTGGAAAGAGCCTCCTCATTGAACTACGCGTTTTCTTTCCATTAATATCCATTGGTCAGACAAACAGCCAATCAGAATCCAGTATTTTGATAGACGCTCCACTAATCTATTTTATTTTTTAAAATTTTATTATAGCTTGATTCCACACCGTATTTGGTACAAGTATGGAATTGTCAGCATGTGATATCGGTAGCCCAAATTCAGCAGGCCGACTATTGATATCAGGTGTGCATCGGCCGGAAATCGAAAATTGGACCATGTGCATGGTCGGCGAGAGTCCTAACCACTGCACTACTGACACACAGTCTATGCTGATACATAAGTCATTTGTATGACACTGTTCTGAATATTTTTATTATTATTATTATTACCAACTCTCAGCCACTCTACTGAAATACGCTCTCCAATATCAATCGAGGTGAGTTGAAGCCATTCAAATCTAAGGGCCACGGGAAGTTTTCGACACATGCATTATTGCTAACCAGGGATTCATGGAAATGTCAATCAGTCGGAAACACAAAGCTTGGATTTATTTTAGTGGATGGTGGTGGAATGCAGGCTGCATGAACTTCGTCCTATTAAGGTCTCGTCCGCTGGATGTATCTGCATCCTTTCCAGCGAGTGGTGGTGTTGCTCCTAATGAGAGTGGAACCCAGTACCCACCGTTGTTTCAAACTCCAAAGCGTTATCCACTAGACCGCTTGAGTCAAGTGTGCCACCTCTTCTGTGAAGAAAATCAGTTATTATACGTGCATCTTGGCTTCCACGGTAAGTGTTAAGTATGCCTAGCCATCGCCTTCCTCGACAGGTTATGCTAGCTGACATAGCATCGATCAGGTTGGAAAAGAGTTGGTGGTGGTCAAATCAAAACATAGCACCAGTCAATGAAATTCACAACAGTTATTTTAAGCTAGCCACGTAGGAAGGTGTGGACTTCCTGACTGGTTGGGGTCCTCAGGATGGTAAACACCAATGAAAGCTGGAGACAATCGGTGATATGGCTCAAAATCGTTGTCAATGTCTGGCGCAGATGCATCCACTCCTAACCAATAAAATTATACTGTTCTTCGATATTACTATTCATTTTGCCTCATATCTCTGTTTACTGTCTCTATTTTGCATTCCTTTTTACTTTCTTCTCTTGCTTTGTGTGCTAAGTAAAGTGTGGCGACTATAAGTGTTGCACATCGGTGCATAGTTCTACGTTGAAACCAGTCAGTCAGTTAGTCTGTCCACGGTAAGTCAGCCTCGGACATCATCGAAGTGTCCATAGTCAGAGATGACATGTCACCAGGAGTCGAACATTTCAGTTCAATCAATCAAAGGGAAAAATCAGAATTGAATTATCAACAAGTAATAATAACAAATTGGGGGACTTACTTTGACTAATTCAAGTCTTGTTTGTAGTGTATGCCTATCACCTGAAAGATTAGCATAATTTGTAATATTCCGTTCAAGTTGTTTAATCCACTCTTCAAGAGAATTATACGTTTGTATAAGTTTATTGATTATCTCCCTATAAGAGTCAGCTCCTCTTACAATCAATTGAGTTCGTTTAACCAATTGGGAATAACGTGAGCTGGCAGTTTCTAATTCAATCAATTTGAATTGTTCTTGTCCCGTGGGAGACGACTGTTGGGAAGTCTGACTGATTAAAACTTTTAGCATACATGAAGATTTTTCTAAGGAATAGAGTTTTTCACTATTTGACTATTTAAAAAAAAGATAAATTAAACAGGAACATGTTATTATCAAGGTTAATCATCAATAGATAGATTAATGGAAATCAATTAATATCAATATCCTATCGACTCGTAAGTCGTGACTAAAGCGTCGGTCGTGAAGTAATTTGAAAACTGTTTCAGTATTATGGAGTGCGATGGTGTCTTAAACCTTTATCAACCTCATTTAACAGTTATATGATGATGGTGATGATGCCATATGGTCCGGGGTTCGATTCGCGGCCGACGCACACCTGATATCATCTATGGTTGGCCTGAAAAATTTGGGCTACCGATATCACATGCTGAAAATTCCATAATTGTACCAAAAATACTGTGTGGAATCAAGCTATAATAATAAAAAATAAAAAATGAAAAGGAATATGTCAGCTGATTTACAACAGAAAGCTTGACGAAGCGACGTTTTTGAGGCGAAGACAAGAGATTAAGACAAGGCTGACTACTACTATTGTGGTGAGAGCTGTCTGCTAGCCAAAATTGGTAGACAGGAATTCACGTCAATATTTACGTCCTAAATCTAAGTCATAAGAAAAAAAACAAGAACAAAGACTAACTCAACAGCCAATCACAGCAGACTTTGCGTGGGCGGATACGATTCGCAGATATGTGGTCTGACCTTCAAAGAAACGGCCACAAAGAGATGACAGAATAACTTCCAGTGAGAAAACAACCAATCAGAAGACGCTGTTTCTCTGCTAACAATAACGCTAATAATAATGTACATAAAAATCTATAAATATCTGTTGATTTTCTCAATAAACGATCTGTTGTCTGGCCCTTGTTTTCTGTCTTTACACTGTGACCGACGATGACATTCCTAATTTTGGTGGACTAGATCATGCAACATACCACGTGTAAGGAGCGAGAAGACAGGAATAGAGGTAGGACTATTAGAAGACTCTAGAAGATTTGGACTTCATAAGGGAATTATGCCTAATGTCACACAAACTCGAAGGTTTACAGTCAGTGAAAGCCGACAACGTGATAGAAGAGGCAGGCAGGTAGCGAAGACAGGACTTCAATTGAGCATAGAGTAGACAAGAGTAATGATGACGCCTAACTAACAACAACAAGCATCAATCACCATTCAAAGATCATAATGAATATGAGGCACATATACAGTCCAGTCAATGCTTCTAATTGATCCAAAGAATTAATGTGCCACTGAAATCATTTTGAAGAAGTTTTTGCAGACTGCCCCCCCCTTCGCTGCCTCCAGTCAGTCAGTCATTCAGTCAAAAAGAAAAACCAACAAGGAACTCTGAAATGCAACAAAACAAGCAAGAATCTATTACCACCCAACAAATATACCGAAGAAAATGGAGATGGATCGGACATACGCTGAGGAAACCATCGAGTTCAGTCCAACACTCGAGTGGAATCCGAGTGGGAAACGACGAGTCGGATGTTGGTCTTAGGGTGACATGGAGGACAGAGTGTGGGGAGGAGATGAAAGCCTATGGTCGAATCAGATAACACAGGGTGAAATCGAGGCGTGCTGCTCAAGCCCTATATTCCACTCAGACCAATAATATAATAAGTCAGTCGACTTGAATAGTTTGTAACAAACGCATCCGACTGCACGATACAAGTCTGGATGCCCAAGAGAAGGAGTATCGATTCAGTTGAGCTTTGAGGCCTTCATAATATTTCACTGAATCACTGCCTGTAAAAGCACAGGACGAAACGCACTTTGAGGATCTCCAATGCTAGGCATCATATTAAGGCAAATAACAAACATTGACATCAAACTCAACGGACCTGTCAAGAAGCTCTTATATTATACTTAACGGAAAGTGGTCAGCCTGGACACAGTCAAGTTTGTGTGAAAACAAAATAGGCTTACAACCTATCGTCACCAACGATAGGATAATACAGTATACTGAAAATTATGTGAACTTTTGATGTGTTTCAAACGAAATCAATAAATCGATAGGGCAGTTAAAATGTAATCATCTTCACTAAGAAGAGTAGCCAAACCTTATAATTAATCATAATCATTACATAATAGGGGTGAATGAAGGCCTACGAGTAGTTAGTTTGTGGAGATCTGATTTGTTTGATCACGTATTGAAATCAGTTAGAGAGAACTATTGAAGGTCGGGGAGTACTGGACAGCTGTTTCGTCCTAGTTTGGGGCTCTTCAGTGCAGTGTGCACCTAAAATCCAGTGCGGTCCAACAAGTCGGGTGTGAGAACAAATACTCAACAATCAAATTGGCTTGTGGTATTCGCGTTAGATTCACGAATTGGTAAAATTTGGAATTCATAGACTGACCGTTGAATCGGGTCCTGGTGGCTGAATGCTCTATGAGTTTGTCTTGCATCCGGTAGGCCCCAGGTCCGACCCCTGGTGGGATCATGGGTGCGCACTGATGAAGAGTCCCGAACTGGGGCGAAACAACTGTCTATAGCTCGCTGGTTTGTAATGAAGTCTAACAACTGATATATTAATCCGAATCTGCAATAGATATGCATATACATACGACCATATCTTACAACTTACCTGAGTCATTTTAGACAATAATTTAACTGACATTGTTAATTGATTTAAAAAATCAATACAAATTGATTCATTCCATCGAATTGATTGATTGCCATTACTCATAGATAGTAAATTTTCAAAATTGACTTCAAAATACTCCTTTGTCATTTCGCTAAAATCAATATTTAATAATTGTAACACCTGATAAGAATTCTCTTTTCTTTCATTTATAACTTGATTGCTGCTATTATTATTATTATCCCGCAGTTTAAAAAATATTTCCAACTTTTCAATCGATTTTTCATTATCATTAAGAATTTGAATGAATTGATTGTATTCATTTAAAAAATTATTGATTATTGTAATTTTACTACTTAACTGATCAATAGCTAAGGGTAAATCATCAAAAATCAATGAATATTGATGATTGGCCAGACGTATTAACCGTTGAATGAATACAATAGTCATTTGTAATGGTGTTGTTTGATATTGATTTAACTGATTTGGTAGAGGATATTGTTGTTGTTGTTGTTGATGGCTTTGTGAAATGATACAATTGATGATTGGATTTTTTAATTTTTCACTGAATACTTGAAGAAGATTCAATTTATCTGTTAAATCAATTAACTTCATCTTTCCTTGGGATTCATTTAATTCATTCAGATGTTTTAATTGTTCGTGTACAGTAATCAGCTCAGTTGTGTCAAGATTTTTTGCGTTGTTGAATGCAGTTGTACTGTTGACCAGATTGCACGGTCCACCACCACCGCCTTGTGTTAAAATATCACTGGCTTTACTTTCAACAGTCCACCAGTATTGCCATGTATGCCAAGACTTGATAATGTCATTCAAAGAGGTTAAACCTTCTTGATTTAGGTGGAGGAATTCCTAGTAGTGAGAAAGAATAATAATAATACGAAGAATGAGAAAAGGAACCGACTTTTACACAAGTATATGATTCATGCCGTAAAGTTACACAACCACACCCATCTGCTTATTAAGAACGAAGTTAGAAATGCATCCGACACACATTGCATGCGGTCATTGGCATTCGGGATTTGATGTGTGCTACGAAACCGTTGAGGACATATATCCATGACCGAGACGGAGCTAAGAATGAAAGTGGGACTCAATCCCAGTAAAATTGAGGTTAGGCATATAGAGAGTTCGGTAAGGAGGGAAAGTTAATCGATGAGTTTGTGAAGCTACATTTATCGAGATGGCTAGAACATGTGTTGCGCATTCCAAGCCACCGCCTTCCTCGACGGGTGATGTTAATCAACTGACATAGGATTAGGCTGGAATAGAGTTAATGGTGATCAATCGAAAACACTGAATCAGCCCGTAAAATCTTTGACAGTGTTGGTTTGAGCCAATCACATAGGGAACTGTAGGCCACCCGATTGGGGTCGTCCTAGAGAAGCTAGGAACCAATGGTTGGAGGTTATTGGAGATATGGCTTAAAATCGCTGTCAATGAGGTAGATGTATTCATCATTATCTGTGCTCACCCCCATATCTAACAAAACCCTATTAGTTACAGAATTTCATCATGAGCTGACATTGGTTAGAGAACCATTGGAAAAATGGCAGGGAGTACTGGACAGCTATTTCGTCCTAGTTTGGGACTCTTCATCAGTACGCAACCATCGGGGTTCGAACCCAGGACCTTCAGGTTACAAGGCGAGCTCGTAGACCACTGGCGACTGGCCCTATTCTGGTAGGCAGTTACCTGGGGTTCTAGTGGGAAGTCGTGACCAGTAGGGTGCAGCAGGTCGGTGTGAGGACAAATACTCGCTGAAGACATTGGCTAGCGGTCGCGCTATGTCGTGAATTGGCAGAACTTAGAATACATGGCCTGGCCATTGGATCGGGTCCCAGTGGTTTAATGGTCTACGAGCTCATTAACCTTGTAACCAGAAGGTCCTGGGTTCGAGCCTTGGCGGTGGTTGCGTACTGATGAAGAGACACTAACTAGGACGAAACAGCTGTCCAGTACTCCCAGTTGGTTTCCCAATGGTTCTCTAACCAATGTCAGCTCATGATGAAATCCTGTAACCAATCAATCAAATCCCTACGAACCAATACTTGAAAACTATTAATTTTCCATATTGCTATTCTCTGCCCCTCAAGTTTCCAGGATTCATCTATACTCGTTTGACTCCTATAGTCAGTCTTTCTTTATAAGAATCAAAAGCTTTCTGTAGAACCTCGGTCCTATCAATTTGGATCTTGTGTCCCGTTTCTATCGAGTGTAGTGCAATCCCCGATCTGTTTTCCAGCTTCTTCAAATCTGAAGAGACCTTTGAAACTACCTTCAGGAGATATTCACGCTCTTTTACTCTAACATTCACCTATCTGAAAGTTTCTCCTGCACAGTTTTTATCTGGTATACGTAATTCTGTTGATTATCTTCTTCTATTTTATCCCTAAGGTGTTCGTTGCACGAAAACAAACGCTTATGTCATGAGTGTTATGGATTCGCATTATTTCGACCGACGTTTTTCTATGCTATAAGGAATCATCACAGTACTAGCTGGTCTAATTCATAGCTCAGTGGGTTTTGATGCTTCCTTATTTTTATTGGATTCAAGAATAGACTGAACCAAAGTTTAATTTTCTGCTGGTCTCTTCTTCCCCCCAGTAACTAGATATTCGGTTCTGTTAGTCAGATTCTTAGCCACAATTACTTTGATGGTAGAGAGAGAGATGTACCGAAATGTAACCCAGATATCTGTTTGAATGTGTAGGCTTTCTCTTGTGTATTCTCAAAAACAAGAATACAAACCTCATTTTTACTAGATATTGACTTTTCCAGATCACTTGAGAATATTCATTTAGAAATGATACAGAAGATGAGGATGACAATTGGCGATATATTCATGTTACTCTGAGCTGGCTGGCTGGCTTAATTACGAAAGTTTGACTGTCTTTCTAGACAGCATCTTCAGTTCAGTATTATTTTTTTGAATTCTCTGCGAATGATAATTACTGTCTCCCTTGATGACCTTGCTATGTGATGTGTGGATCGATAGCCTGTCTGGAAAATGGACCAATCACATTTATCTCAGATGGGTAGATAGACAACCAATGGATTTCTTAAGCGTACGTCATTGGTCCATGTATGTATTATTATGATTGGTTGTTAATCAGATAATCTTAAAACTTAGTTGTTATTATTATCAGACCTGCCTCTATTTTCTTGCTCACAGTGAGGAGATACATTGTATTGTAATCTCCTTCAATAAAACGAGTTAACAAATAAACAAACAAACACATTTTTGTTTTATTGCTTACATGAGCTTTAACTGAAATCTCCTCCACACGTAATAATTGGTTTAAAAGTCCAGTTGGAGATGGGAAAGCCATTGTATTGATTGCTTTTATATCTTCTTTCACCTTGGGGATTTCCTCTTCCAGTTGTTTGGTAAACACCTGAATGCGGGAGGTTAATCAATCAAAATGTGTAAATATATAGTGGAAAAAACAAACATGGAAATAAGAACAAACAGTTAAATTAAGAGTCTCTTCACGGGTGAATTCATTCACTTAGCGATCAATACAATCGCAGACTATTGTGCATTTAACCATTTCTATGTGTATCTACCACCGATTCATTTGCTCCGGTGGAGCCAGATATATAAAGATCGTTTATTCAGTGTTTTATCCCGCTTAGCTACAGATAGGTAGCAGTGGATCACTAAAGAGTGCTATAATTTGAACATATATTCAACACTGACCACCCAGTATGTAGGGAGAGTTCATTCAAAGTTATCCTCGAAGTCGAAAGAAGCCCCCAAACAACGTTATGCGACCGTGTACTGTGCATTGCTGAGGCTTTAGCAATTCGGATGGTTAACCCTGATGTATGTCTCATTATTATTATTATTGTTTCCTTTAATTCCTAGAGGAACATAGGGCTTCAGCCGTGCGTCTCCATTGCGTTCGGTTCTCTGCTAGAGTCTTCACCTGGCTCCAAGTCTGATGTATGTACACAGAAGAAATCCCTCTATCCCCTCCTTCTAACATGTTTAATGATGTAAACACTACTCCAAATTAATTTTTATCTCTATATAAATGTGTAAAAATGTATACTACTGATTTATCGATTTAAGTAGATGGATGCCACTCACAACAAGCAGTATTACTTGTTAGCTAGATCAAAGTGATCTAAACACCGTTTGACGGCCATTTTGCCTGTTTGGGAGGGGGGCGAGTGATATGGCGGTCGGATGTTTAGATCAGTTAGACCTGTCTGTCAAGAACCACTGGTTGGTTTGATGTGAGTAGTGTATGTGATTTTAAATATTTGTATTTTCCACTTTCTCTGATTGCCGTCTGAAATCTTACTACTAATCGCAATTGTATAATGCAATTCATTACAGCCAGCCATCTATATTTTAATGTAAATGACTTGAAATTATAAAGGATAGTTCAGGTGGCTGGAATCTGGATGCGTGAATTCGCACCATCCAATGCCAACTGACTGCTATTGAAGTAATAAACTTTACTAGCAGGCTATATTTCATCCGAAAATGATATCAGTTAGAATAATACTGAAGACCAGGGAATACTGGATAGCTGTTTCGTCCAGTCTCTGAGTTTGAGACTCTTCAGCAGCACCCAATCATGGGCCTTCACAAGAGATCGAACTCAGGATCTTCAGGTTGCAAGACTAGCCCGTTGAACACACTGAGGTGACAGGTGGTGGAATCCAGTGGCCAATGAATCCTGACTTCTGCCTCTTCGCAATACGATTCAGTATTGCTGTAGAGTCTGATCAAAGTATCCACCACAGTCCTACAGGAGGTCATTCGCGAGCCCAAATAGCTCAATGGTAACGTCTCTGACTGCAGCACTGGGTGATTTGGGTCGGAATAGGCACACCTTGCCAACTGGTAATGAGTGCCAAATGCACAATCAGCTAACAACACAATTATAATGATTTCTATGAAAGAACTCCACTTCGAGTCTAAACACATAACCTACCTCCCACCAATCGATAATATTCTTTTGAGCTGTTATAAGCTTCTCAAAGGTTTCGGCAACAATTGCATCCTCTTGAACAAGCTCTCCATCATTAGTAGACTGTTGAAATGATGAGTAAGTCATTGTAGCACTTTCTTTCTCTAAAGCAATCAATTCTGTCATTATGGAAGAATCAGGTCCCATCAGTGCTTTCTGTTCAAGCTCTGTAAGCAATTTACGTATAGTTGATTGTTTAACTTCAATTTCTTCCACCTGCTCTAAATACTGATGTGTAGCTTTGTGAGTACTGTCCACTTGATCATTCAGTGTCTTCCATTCAGTCAGATACTTTTCAAGATCTTCTTCTAACTTACATATCAATGTAGTTTGATTCAATTTTAAACTATCCGTCACGTGAACATCAAATTGATTTTTCAGTATATCATATAGGCTATTGATTTTAGTGTCTAATGATTGAATAGTCTTCAGGGCATCACGATATTCATCAAAATGAAGCGGGTGACTTTGATTCAGTTCTGCTTGAAACTCCTAAGAAATGATTATAATAATGATAATAATAAGTATATTTAGTCAAGGTCAACTTCTGATTACAATTTCAAGGTTAAAGAACATTCACAACAATTATAATGATCCCGTATTAATTTGTTTGTTACATATATATCACACAGTCAGTGAAACAGTATTATTTACTGGATGAAAAAGTCCCGAACACAATGAATTGTTGTTTATAATCATATCATCAATTTCAACTACGCAACTTTGAGACTTGAGTTTTATAGTTTCCTCTATCCCTTCCCACTTATCGTAAGGGCAGTAGAATTTTTCAAATGTCCGTCTGGGACAGGTATTGAATCATTCCTATTACTCTTGTTTACAGTTGATTCGATAAATAGAGCATCCGTTATTAATCTCTCCCTCCACTCTGTTGCCACATTCGATTTTAAGACTGTCAACTAATCCCATCCTACTGTATGGTTGTGTAGTTGGACTTAATGCTACACCTGAGCTATTTTCTAGATTTCTCATCTTATTAGGGTCAACTAATCTAGATTTTGCTAGGTTATTGTGCTCCGCTAGTCTGATTAACCTCGGCCTACTCCTCTGAGTTCACAGTCATTGCACAGTGTTAGATAAACTGAAGCATTTTGTTTAATAGCCTTCACAGGATCTTTTATTCGACAAAGCTTGTTTCTGAAATAATAGAGAAGATAAAAAGGAAAACCAATGGGATTGCCCATATCAGGATTAATAGCTGAAGCCGTTATGCAAAGATTAGAATTAATAGTTCTACCTATGATTAAACCAAAAGTCTGGGTACGTTATGTTGATGATGAATTTGTAATAATTAAAAGAAATGTGATTTGGAATGTACCTATAAATTAATAAACAACATATTTGAAGACATCAAATTCATAAGAGAAGAATTAAATGACAGAGTCCCATTTTTAGATTACTTAATCAGGAGAACTAACACAGGAAATTTAGAAACACAAGTATATAGAAAATCAACGCACACAGATTAAAAATACTCAACTATAGTAGCAATAACCCAAATACTCACAAAAGAAACTGTGTGCAGACGTTGTTTAAAAAAGAATTCAAACACACTGTAGCACTCCAGCGTTGAAAAGAATGGATATCCTCACAATTTCATCAAAAAGTGTTTAAAATCGAATCACAACACCAACAAGGAACCATCATCAAAGACTACAAGATAATTCATTCCACCATATATAAAAAATATCTCCGAAATAACAGCTAGAATATTAAGACCGTTTGAAGTAGATATAGCACACAAGCCATCCAGCACAATCACTTCATTCGATACTGTGCAAACCGAAAGATCCAACAGAAAAAGGAGATAAAATTAATAACGTTTACAAAATAAATTGTATGAACTGTAACGGACATTACATCGGTCAAAGTGGGCGCAGTTGAATTGGTGGATACAATTAGAAGTGGCTAGTCTAGGAACTTCATCTTTCAGTCAGTCGTGTAGAGAATGAGACGTGTAGTTGACCAGCATTACCAACATCTGTCTCCACTGGTTCCATCCTAAAGATCACACGACTAACCAGAAAAGATTTGGATCAAGGAACTCCAAGGTGCAACGAACTAAGCAACAATCCTGATGCCCAGCAGATGTGAAGACGGAAACGAAGATGGATAGGATACACGCTGAGAAGACTTTCGAATGAAGCTATGCGCCGAACAGGCCATCGATCGAGTGGAACCTGAGTGGGAAACGAACAGTTTGGAAGAGATTGCGCAAGAAGAGGCGATAAGAGCTAATGGGCAATCGTGAAGCCAGCTGAAGATGGCAGAAAATAGCATGAAATCAAGATGTCCCGTTGCATATTTATTTTCCATTCGTTACCATAAAGAATAATAATGATTTTGAGTATGAATAAAGCAAGAACGAAAGTGGTTTGTGCAGAATAATATGGTACCATCATTTATTTCGTAGGCTTCTCATCAGCTGCTTACAGCCTAAATACATAATGAGGTTTGCGTACAGAGTGACTCTGTATCTGACTCATATTTCGTCTTTATTACGTAACTCCTTTACCATTGTATGCATACATCTATTTTGTTTAAACTTGAACTGCATGTGTAAAAACTATATAAGCGCAATTTTCTGAGCACTGTTCACTTACTGTGGAACTTTTTGTCAACTGGCAACATGTAAAAATTTGCAAGTATGTTAAAACTTTTCTGTACGCAAACCTCATTATGTATTTAGGCTGTAAGCAGCTGATGAGAAGCCTACGAAATAAATGATGGTACCATATTATTCTCCACAAACCACTTTCGTTCTTGCTTTATTCAAATTCATCAAGGGGAATAAATGCATGAAGATTTTGAGTATATCTAACTTAATGGCGTATATCTTCTTCTGTAATCTGAAGGATGGCAATTATTGAACCTAAAAAAAACAGACTTACCAATAAGAGTGAAAGACGTGTCTGAGCTGTATAATGATCCAATTGACCTACAACGCAGTTAGAAGTCGGCGATACCGATGAAGGTGATACATCAACATTCATCATCACCTCTGATCTTGTCTCATTATTATCTACACTGACGCTTTGACTTTGAGCTATTTGTACAAATTTCTTTGTTAGTCCATTTAGCCATGCACGGCATTGAGTAAACTTTTGTTCAGCTTTACACCATGCAGTACTGATTGTTTCGATTATACTTATAATTGTCTATTGCATAATGAAAAGTAAAAATAATGATATAAGGTAAATATGCATATATCAGTATTCTGTAAGGGTAAACGTAATTCAAAATCAGACATCAAAACAAAAGAAACCCAAAGAAGTACCCATTAGAAACTTTAGTAATCAGTCTTTGGAAATTTCTAGAAGCCTGGCGGTACTCAGACGAATCTGCAATCAACAGGTACATTTTGCATTAAGTAATTTTTTGTAGGAATCTGAATGAATTGCAATGTATATGTCATCAGGAACCATCATCAGTTAGAGTGAGATCTTTAAGAACTGCCAGGGATCACTGAACAGCTGTTTCGTCCTAGTCTGGGACTCTCCAGACGCCCACACCTACCACCCTACCAGGGATAAAAGCCAGGAACTTCAAGTGACGAGACAAAGATTGTTGATCATTCAACCATTTGGCCTGGAATTCAACGACTGGTGAATTCTAACCTTGTCAACTTGTGACATAGAGCTACTCTCAGCCAATGTCTCCGATTAGTATCCACTTTAACTTGACACGGTAGACCCAAATGCCCACAACTTCTCACTAGAGATTTAGGTCATCCATCCGGTAGCTGTTGGCTGTACGCACTCGGGAACACTGTTCACTCTGGATAGCAAAGGGAGGATGTGGGTGCGTTTTTAAACCTCAGTGATCATGACAAATAGCCAATTCTTTCAGTAATGATTATTCGTTTACATATCTTATCCAAACTTCCTGTTTATTGTTATTATTGTTATTACTGTATACATATATTAATGTACAGCCTAGCTGATGACTTCATCGAAAAGGAAATTTTCTTCTTCGCTGCAACCGTCTTTTTAATTCCTTTTTCTGGAGTCGATATTATAAATTGGACTTTTAACTGCAAACACCTCGAAAAATGTGTACGAGATTGCCATATCATGGAGTATATTTATTATAACACAGGATGTGGATATTGTGAACTGGAGAAGAGATCAAATAACTGTATAACTGCTATCATCACCATTCCCCTAATGACCAGAGTATCATTGAAAGGTTACAGATTTGATCATCACTTGATATCAATGAGAAAACCCCCAAAAAACCAGAAAGGAAGTATTAGACAGTCGCTTCGCCCTAGTTAGCGACTCTTCAGAAATACGCGCTCGCGGGGACTGAAATTCAGAACCATCCGGTTACCAGGACCATTCAGTCACTGGGTCCCAATCCGATGGCCAGCCTATAAATTCCAACTTCTGTCAATTGGTGACATATATAAATACCGTCCAGAATAAACATATTATTATTATTAAACAATAATATACATAAGGAAATTAGTCATTTGATAAGTGAGGGACGATATCCAGGGAGCGAATACGCATCCTTGTCTCGAGGTTTCAAAGGAGATGGTTATTTACCTCCCTATTTTACTATATAACGCAACTGCCAACCAATGTCATCGGTGAGCAATTGTTCTCTTACCTGACGACCTTGATGAACCCTGGTGTTCACTTTTCGTTGAAAGCACATTCTATAGACTAAACCTGAGCTGGTAACACCTCATCAACTCAACCAGTAATGTGACTATTATGTTAAGGAGAATGATGAACAATCCATTTGATTAAATGCTATAAAAATGTGGAACTGAGTTCAAAAACTATCACACTGCCTGACAAACGAAAGCCTCTAAGTCAGTGAATCAAGTGTTGGAATCTTAAAGCAATAACACCAGCCAAAAATTTTAATCATGTGTTGATCAAGAACTCAAATCAGTTAGAGAACCATTCGAAAATCAGCAGAGAGTGCTGGACGGCCGTTTCGTCCCGGTCTGAAACTCATCATCAGTGGCCGGATGGTCTACGAGCTCACCTCATAACCGAAAGGTCGTAGGTTTGAACCCTGGCGGTGGGTGTGTACTACTGAATAACAGTCCTAAACAAGGACAACACAGCTGTTCACTACTCCATGCTGATGTCAAATCGTGATCAAATCTGTAACCAAATCAAATCCCTATCCTGGAGAACCTCATGTTGCCTACCAAAAAATTACAGACTTTCACTGTCGGTCCTTGATATAAAAACAGGTCTCAGTATCAATGAATTCCTAAAGTTACTCAACGACAATAACAATTTATAAATATTTTTCACAATAAAAGTATATTGAAAACTTACATCAATAAAACTAACGATTTCCGATAACTTTTCGCTTCGTTGATTGAATGTTGATTGGACTGTGATGAATTCAATTGTAGACAGCTGTTCCTGTAAATATTCATCTTCGTTGTCAACACATGAAAGTGTAAAGTTCTTTCTGTACACCTCTAAGAACTGTGAATGTTCCGTTTTCAACTGTTGAAATTCTTCAATTAAAGGTGTCATTTCCTCTGCATAAGATTGACGCATCTGTTTAGCTCTCTCCCTGATCCCATGCCAGCTGTTAATGTATCTTTTAATCTCTTGTACAGAAGTGGAGCATAAATTTACACCCTCAGATTGAATACGATCAATAATATTTGAAAGCCGTTCATTCGTAGTTTTCTCAAGTGTATGAAATAATTCAAGCCTGTCATTTAAATTCGCTAGAAACGATTGTAATGTGTGCAGTTGATGCTCCAAACTTGTCAATTGCCTCTGACTACCTCTCACTTGAACTTTGAAGCTATTCATACTTTCTGCACAAGTGTCTACAAGAATACTGTCATAAGTCAGATTAATATCATCTAATAATCGATTAACTTCCATCAGCCTTGGATCGATATAGGTTTTTAAAATATTTATGCATTTTATGAGTATACTACTTGCAGGGAATTTAAGTAGTTCAACGTCATTTGCCTCATTTTCTTGGCATAAAATGCGTTGAGCACAATAGTAAATATTATGCGCCGATTGAATCAATACTGTTTCAACAGTTTTTATTGATTGTATAAAATTCTCATGACGAATTACAGCACATTTCCATCTACTTATCTGTAGATTTACTTTTTCAAATGTTTGATTCAATTCATGATCAAATGTTTTCAAACGTTTCACTAAATGAATATCAGCGGGATATATTTTAATCACAGGAGGATCTGATGTTGTACCTTCAGTTGGCTCAGTTAATTCAACAGCTTTCGGAGGTGTAACTGATGAAGATATTGTGTTGTTAGTACAGTTCCTCAGTATTTCATTGATTTCTGTTCTGTGATCAGTAACTTCGGATAGAATGGTCTGGAAAAACAGTAAAAATATTGTAAAAAAAGCATGTAAAACACTAATCACACTCTCCAGTGGACGGCTAGTGTGCATTAAAGATTAGATAATGATTTCGACAATCTGAATGTGCACTCGTCAGTTTACTTGTTCTTGTGGAGCAAAGTACATCACCCGTACACAATAACAAGTCCGTAAACATATTCTGGAACAATATCCAGTTTAGATAGGTAGAGTTTTATCCTAGAGCAACTTGTCAACACTCTAGGCATCGGTTGGGTACTCCTGAATGATTGTCTCACAATGCTACACAGAGTTCCTCAATATGGCACGAAAGGACTTAGAATACGTCACGCGGGGGAGGTTTGAATGGTTTCAAGTTCCTTCACTAACCGATGTCATTCTGAGAACCAATAAAAGCCAGCTGTGAGCAGTGGACAGTTGTTTCGCAATTTTCCGGGACTCTTCAGCAGTGTAAATTGACAGAATTTAGAATTGATGGACCATGGAAATTCGTCGGTGGCATAGCGGTTAGGACGCTCGCCGACCATGCACATGGTCCGGGGTTCGATCCCCCGCCGACGCACTCCTTTACCTCACTAATCCAGAAATAATGCTGGTAAAGAGGAAAGGTTGGGCATGAGGCTAGCAACCCCATCCTGTAAAATAAGCACTGCTACAGAAACTTCAAGCCACTAGCTTGAAGCCCTATGTTCCACTGGGGAACGTGAAGGAAATAAAAAAAAAGTGGAAATTCGTCCCAGTGACTGAATGGTCTAGGGTCTAGCATCGTAATCCGAAAGTCCTGGATTCGATCTCTAGAGGTGGGGTCATGGGTGCGTATTGATCAGGAGTCCCAAATTAGGACAAAACAGATATGCAGTAACCCCTTGGTTTCCAAAGACTACCAAACTGGATTCAGTTCGCAATCAATGTAAATAACCAGAAGACAACATTAGTCTATACTACCTAAATATATAATTTTGTAAGTAGTACACATCACACTGGCTATATATCACAGTTTCACTCACACTGTGGAAGAACAATAAAGTTTCTTGTCTATGATTTCATTACACATACATCAACAACACAAATCAACACGGTAACGATATGGTTCAAGTCCTACGGGTCAGTGGCGGGCCTGAATGGCTCAGTGGTCATACCATTGACTGAAGCACTGGATGACATAAGTTCGAATTTCTAAGTATGATGGACATTAGTTCTCTCTAAAGATTGTAGATATACACCTTGCTGAAGAGTGTTAATTACGACGAAACTTATGTGAAGAAGAACTACTTCCTACCCGATTACCTCCAATTATCACCTAACATCGATTTAAAGTGTGCTGCGAAGACAAGCCATCTAACTTGAGAACCCTACACACAGGTAAACACTTGACAGACTGACAGAAGTCAGTCAGACTCCTCTCCTCACACTAAGTTACTAGATACATGAAACTCTGGGTACACAGAAGTCACCGATCAACATCAAAATAAGCATTAGGTTCTCATAATCAAATCATCACTGACATGAATATTCAATATATATGTCTGATGAAGACAGCCCGGAACATCATGATGATAGGATGAAAATCCTCCACCACCACCCATGACCATATTCGGAGTGAAACGTTCAGATTCCCAGATGAAAGCACCCAATACTACTCAACTAACATTTTAAAAAATAGGATTTTAAGATCCAAGTTTGATCACCACTGGAAAACTGGACAGCGATTTTGTCCTAGTTTAGGACTCTTCATCAGTACGCATCCACTGGGGTTCGAATACAAGACGTTGAAAATCTTGAGATGAACATTTCTAAAATCGAGCCTACTTTCTTGAAAATATCTAATATCGAAGTACAATGCAACACATCATAATGAGATACAGTGTTGTGCTAGTTGGTGGAACAGTCCGACGCTGCACACTCGACGGGTAGGTACAGCCAACACATGCGCAGGCACACACATACACACAGATTTCGGAATGAGACAATCGCATTAGTTATCACCAGAAAACTAATTTGAGTTCATAGGAAAATAAGGAATAATGAATCTATTAAGCACTTTATTATCGTCTCCAGTAGTTGTTACCCCCCTACCCACCCCTCCCTCAACCAACTTTCTAAAAATAAATCTTCCGATTTCGATACACAAAGAAACTTAAAACAATTAGTCCCTTTGATAAATTTGAATAAGGCGCAGTGGTTAGGACTCTCGCCGTCCATGCACATGGTTCGGGGTTCGATCCCCTGACGACGCACACCTGATATCTATAGTCGGCCTGCAAAATTTGGGCTACCGATATCACATGCTGAAAATTCCATACTTGTACCAAAAAAAAGGCGTGGAATCAAGCTGTAATAAAAAAAATAGATAGTTAAGTTTCTCTAAACAGAAAGAGAAACCTCAAAGATATTCTCTTTTCCCGGGGATACAGAAAATATGTTGACGAAGAAATGCATAATCTCCGAAAAATCTTGATAGAAAATGGTTTCCCACCCAGATTCATAAAAAAGAATCTAAAACCAGAGATGACTTCTGAACACTTTCAAGTCGATGCGTAACAGATACTCCTGCCTAGTCATGAATTCAAAAGTCATCCTGAAGGAGAAATTCTGCGCGAATGGGTTTCAGAATCTCTCGTTTCCAGCCTACGGGTGTGTGAGACAAAATTCAACATGCATATCCCAGTTCATCTGTTCTTGTAGTGCTGAGTACATTGGCCCTACCATGCGTCCACTTGTAAAACACGCTCGGGAACATTATCCAGCCTGGCTAGTTAAAGTTAAATGTACGCGTGTTTATAATTGGTTGGCAACAGAACATCTGGTGAACTCAGAACATTCAGCTTCATTTGATAAGTTTTTTAAAGTCATTTACAAGATCCGATCAAACCTTCTAAATAGGAATGAGATTAGAGCATTTGAGTATAGCTTGAGACACTAACGATCCAAAAATTCAAGCACACTCAATAAAAATGCAGAAGAAATACAACGTTCAAGAGTTGTTGTCTCAACCAGAGCCATCATAAACAACTAATTCTCTCAATGACTATTATCCGATTATCTTTCTTACCTAAATTTCCTGTTTATTTCGTTATTAAAACAATTAGTCCCTTTGATAAATTTGAATAAGGCATTTAGAAGATAAATTTCGCGAGGTGACGGCATCATTTCGTAGTTTCTTTACAACCGCTTTACAACTAACACGGTTAACAATAATAAAATAAAGTTCATGACAATTACTCAGTTATATAAAAAAAACAAAAGTACACACTAATGACCAATCATATTTAGATAGGTCAAGTAGTCAGTTCATGGTAGGCGAAGGTTGAAGTCTATTGACTTTTGTACACATAGTTTAGGATGTGTGTGATTAATCCCCAAAGTGCTTCCCTTCAATAACCTTGAATTAGAGTTATGTGAAATAATTGTGAAACAGTCATTAATATTGATTTTGTGACCTGACATTAATAAGTGTTTTGCAATGGATGATGCTGGATTTCTATTCAGATTACTCGAATTGGGATTTTCTGTATGATTTAGTAGCCATTTTGGAACATGTTCTTTTCGACGACACTGGAACATTCTATTGGTTCTACCTATATAAGTGTCACTGCAACTGCAGGTGAAATTGTAGGTACAGTTTGAAGTAAAGTCCACAGAATTTCGTCCTTTAATTGTAGGTACAGGAATCGAAAATGTTCGGTGTGTGACAAAAAGAGATGCGGCGTAGAATATGCGTTTGATGGCTGACCGAAGTCTTTGAGCTGTCAAATGCATAATCTGGTCACCCTTGAATGATAAGTTAATGAAGACAGCTTCCTTTGGTACAGAAGCTGTTTTTTCAAGATGTGATCTATCCTTACTGTGACAATTGATAAAGCTTTCTGGATAACCATTAGCTAATAAAACTGAATGTATATGTCGAAACTCATCCATCAATGGGTAGCTTGTACATATTTTCCGGGCCCTTGAAAATAAAAATTTCACTGGGGAACGTTTATACTGGAGAGGAAGAAAACTGGTGAAATGAAGATATTGTCCACTCCATGTTTGCCTACGAAATATAGATCGCTGAACCATTCCATCATCTCTCCTGGTCATAGTAATATCCAGGAAACCGAGTTTGTTATTCGATTCGAGTTCGGAAGTCACTCGGATATTTGGATGAATATGATTAAATAGAGTAATACAGTTTTCAATAGATTTACTATTATTACCAATAATGAGTGTATCATCTACAACCTTCGCCTACCATGGACAACTTGACCTATTTAAATGTGATTGATCATTAGTATGTACTTTTTTTATTTAACTGAGTAATTGTCATGATCTTTATTTTATTTTTGTTAACCATGTTGGTTGTAAAGCGGTTGTAAAGAAACCACGAAATGACGATATCATCTCGCGAAATTTGTCTTCTAAATGGCTTATCCAAACAAAGAAACATCAAATTTACAACATAAAAATGCTGTCATTATTCTATTTCACAGGTTTTCATCAACTGAGAATAAAAGCAGCAATAAAAATATGTTTCTCTGTAGTTAAGCTTGTAACACTTGCCCAGCACCACATGCTCAATAAGTCAATCTAAACTGGATAAGTACTGATGTCACCAGCAACTGCGTTTAACACTTGTGGTAGAAAGTAAATTGGAAGGACAGAAAGAAGGGCTTCTTTCTATCCGGTGTTTTCTGAGCACATTCCAAGAAACTCATGCAGATATTCGTCGCAAAGTACCAGACACCAGACACCTCGTAGATGGATGGACAGGGTATTTCGTCGAAATTTCCAAATCCTTCAAAATATTTAATATTACAGTGGACAGGAGTTTTACTACAAATTACTGCTCTTCAGCAGTTGCAATCATCAAACGTTTCAAATCAAACTTATGCATACACAGAAAGACAGTGTAATCAATCTCTTTCAATCGCCTGGCAACTATATTTTGTGATTACATCGGCTAGCCATCATCCATATTAATGATTTCAGCTCACTGAGAAAGTTTTCAATCTTGAGTTGCTATGTGCACTTACAGGTTAACACTGTTTCTGTTCGATTTTTCTGGCTTCCCCTTCTCCCAACCTCGTTTTCTAATTTGAAAGGCATATAAATTGATGGAAACTTAAACTAAAAATTGAAATGATTACATTTCGAATGCGTCAATTTTTTCTAACATTTCCTCTACTACTGCCATTCAAACACTGAGGTAGATCATTTTCATTCATGCTTACATAACTATTGTAATTTGAGATAGTAGTTTGTGAAGCGCGCGTTCGTGGCACAGAGGTAGAATGCCCGCCAACCACGCCTCATGTGGTCTGGGGTTCGACTCCTGGATACAGCAGAAGCACTCCTTTACCTCACTAAGCTAGTTTTGTAAGACTGGTAAAGAGGCAAGGTTGGACATGAGGCTAGCAACCCCATCTCGTAAAAATAAACACACCACTGTTACTGAAACTTCAAGTCTCTAGCTTGAAGCCCTATGTTCCACTAGGAAGGTAAAGGAATAAAATAAAAATGTTTCCAGCAGCTGATGAGAACCTGTGAAACAGAATGATGACATCATTTTATCCTGAAAATTAGGTCTTTCTTTCTTTCTTTCTTGAAATTTATCAAGGGGACCAAGTGTATGAATACTTTTTTTTAATAATTTTATCTTACCTGATACTGTTTTACTAACGCCTTCTTAGCCTCTAAATCAATCGGCAACTGTGAACTGTATAACTCTATCTTGTTTACCACCTGTTTATGCCATTCTTCTTGACATTGAATCGCCTTCAGCATATCTTGCATTTGACTCAATATCAAATGGTATAAAGCAATGAGTTGGTCGATTCTCTCTTCTGATTGGCTAATTTGCGTCTTCAGTAAATCGACTATTTCATTAGCCATATTCTTTTCAGGTTCTATACAATTAGATGATGATGATATTTCTTGTAAATCTTTTAATTTTTCATGAATACTCTTCATTAGACAAACACCTTTCATCTGTTGATTTAATTCATTGATCTTATTCTGTACTAATTCACGTGTCCATAATTCTTGGGAGTTGATTAGTCCACCATCGTTGACAAACAGCAACGGAGGTTTCATTTCACCTAAACTCTTTTCATAAACATTAAGATTATCCGATAGACTGTTGATATCTGATGATAGGGAAATAGTGAAATCATAAAATTTTGTGTCTAGTTCAATGATCTTCTCCAGTTGAGCAATGATCTCTTTATTACGATTTATCAGGCTGGTATAATCTTCATTTAATAAATTAGTAATGTTTTTAAGAGCTACAATTGCTGATGACGACGTATCAGAACTACCACCGCCATCAGCATCATCGCCACTGGTTTTTACACGATCAATAAGATAAGTTTTAAAGTTTAAAACAGCCAGCGATTGACGTTCTTCGAAGGATCGTAATTGTTGACTACGTGAAGATAAATTCTGAAGAATTCTCTGTAGGAATACACAAAAAAAGAGGAAAGACAAGAAAAAATTATAGGATATTTCAACAACGAAAAAAAGCAAACAGCAGAAGATACCTTCAATAAAAATCAATTTATTGATTCTAAGTGAATGTATGGGAAATCTTAGTGTCATGAAATATCCACTTATTTCCCCCTCCTCTTTATGCTGTAGGGTATTCTATCGAATTGAAACTGTGCAGATCCATAGTGCACATTAGTAGTAGGCGTTTAAATTCCGGCACTGGGAAAAGGGGAGCACTCTTCGGAATGCTGACAGGTAATATCGACAAGTTTCATGAATATGGAATCCTTGTGAATAGACAGGTTACGTAATGATAATAATTTGCTTTATTCTAAAACAGTCCTTATGATACATACAGTGTGGAATTTTCAGAATTTTGTGCAATATTGCGTCTAATTTACTCGACAGCAACAAAAACAGAAAAAGTACATTACAGGGTACACTTAACCAAAATTGATTGATAACAGCAACCTTTGGCATTAGCAGAAACAGTAGGGTCAAAATGATGTATAAATGCCCAAATGATAAGTATAATAATATTAGTATTAATAACACGAAATTATAACTTCACAGCAGCGCATCTGCATTGTATTTGCTTGTCTGCTTCCAAAGCTTTCATTCACTGTCCTCGCTTACATGCTGTACTCCATATCACCCTCTGACGCCTAATCTGTAACTTAATACTCAGGTTCCAGAGTTAAGTATGGCGTGTCATGCCACAGTTGAAGGTCTCCCTCAGTGCTTACATCCAGCCCTATCTGCACTTACTTCTGTTATACATATATATATATATTTGGGTAACAGGTTCTGGTTACAGAGGTCAATCGTGGGCCCGAATGCTTCAGTGGTAACGTCTCTGACTGCAGCGCTGGATGTTCCGGGTCTGAGTCTCAGGAGAAGAATGACTCCCCTCAAGATTGCAGATACGCCTTAGTTTACCAGGCGATGGTAGTGTGGTGAGAGCTGTCTACTAGCCAAATTGGTAGACAGTAATTTACGTCAATATTTACGTTCCCAAGATTTGTCGTGAGAAACAACCAATCGGAAGATTGTGTTTGTTTGTTTACATATCCATAGTAATGTACATGAAAACATATATAAATATGCGTTGATTTCCTTAATAAATAATCTGTTGCCTGACTCTTGCCTTCTGTCGTTACAGTAGGCCTGGAGGAAAGGGAAGGTCGGGTGTGAGGCCAGCGACCCACCAACCTGAAGCTTGAAGCCCTAATGTACCAGTCAGAACCGAAAGAGTGAAGAAATCAATAACTCTGATATATATATATATATATCCAAACAGCAGAGGCTACTGCAATTCGCCTCAAACAACCAGCGCTCTGTGTCCAAAAGAAACAAGTCCAGCTCCTACTACTGCCCTGGCCCTCAGTAGAGACTATAAACTCATGAATTTGTACTATTACCTTTCCTAATTCTTCTGACATTCAGTTTATTTTATGTTGATGCTGTTCAGCTGTCATTTATCAATATTATTGATTTGATGTTATTTAAACAGCATTAATGTCGTTCATAAGACTAACTCATTCATTCATTATAATGTATATATAATTGTAGAACCTGATGATGAATTTATCGAAAAGAGTACTCTTTGTTCCGTGTCTATTCTTTTGAAAATTTTAATGGGCATTTTTAATCTATATATATATATATATATATATATATATATATAAGGCGAGCTCGTACACCATTGAGCCAGTCACTAGTGAGCATCAGATTAATTTTCAAGTATTGCGAAATGGTCGCGCTATGTCGTGAATTGGCAGAAGTTAGAATTCAAGGACCATTGGATAGAGCCCCAGTGAGTGGCTCAATGGTCTACGAGCTCGCCTTGTAACCAGAAGGTCCTGGGTTAGAATCCTGGTGGGCGCGTACTCAAGAAGAGTCCTAAACTAGGACGAAACAGTTGTCCAGTACTCCCAGGTTTTCCAGTGGTTCTCTAACTGATGTCAGTTCATGATGAAATCCTCCATGCAATCAAACAAAATCTTTACAAAACCAATACTTGTATATATATATATATATACATATACATATATATATATATATATATATATATCATTACTCACTTTTAAGCTTTGTAGAATTGACTGTCTCTCACTTATTACATGAGACCATGAAGATAAGTGAACATTCAATGAATTTATGAAGGACGTTGATGATGCTGATGCTGATAAGGCTGATATACCACCACCACCACCACCCAAAGATGTCATGGTCAGTGGCTTACTCATCAATTCATCGATCTTCTGTTTTTCTTCAGTTAACCAACTTTCAAGTTCACGTTTCTCTTCAACAATTCTTAAGTGTGCGCTCATAGCCGATTCAATTCGATGATAATATGTATTGATTTCATTGGATAATTGATTTGCTGATTGTTTCAATTGTATCAATTGTTCATTCAACGAATCATATCCTTTCATGCTAGTTGATTGAGAAGTTGCCTGTAACAATTCTATACATGACTGATATGATATAACACTGAATCGATCCAGTCTATGTGTTAAATCTGTTAACCATACTAACTGACGTGTATACAATTGGTCACCTCTACTCCAACAATTATCAACAACAACTGTCATACTCTGATCCACATCTGAGTAACCTTGTGTGAAAGTTGTTCGAATTGTGGTAAGCTCTATTTGACAGGATTTGTAGGCTTCTACAAATTTCTTATGATTATCAACAGCTAATTGCCAATGTTTTAATAAATCTCCACATTGATTTTTTAAACGTGTTAAATATTGATTAATGTAATTTAAATACTTGTCTAATCGATCACTACTTATTACAATACTCCGTGGATGAGGTGACGACGATGATGAACTTATCAACTGTCGAATGATATTTAATAAAGATATTAAACGGTCACGTGAATCATTTAGCGTTTCAATTAATCTTGAACACTCCAGGCTATTTAAATCCGTAGATATTTGATTCAATGTTTCAATATGCCTTATTTTCTCCTCTTGACTATCAGGTAAAGGTGTCATCCTGGTCGATACAGCTGACAATTTTGACGACTCATCGCCAACTTGTCCGACGGTAGGAGAGAATTTTAACAATCTCTTCTCTTGATCAGTTAAATATTTTTGTATACTTGATAAGTTATTGAAAAATTCTTCACCGATGCGTTGATATTCTTTCAACTTTTCAATGAGATCATCGATTTTCTGTTGTAATGTAACATATAAATGATCTTTACGTGTATTGATTTTCGTTTCAAGGTCAACAGGGTTTTGAATCTCTTCACGTATCGATTGAAACAATGTGTCAATAGTGTGCAACTGATCCTCTGAATTTGTTAGGATAGATAACCATAATTTATTAATTTCATCAATATATGAGGATAATTTAACACTTCTCTTTATAGAATTACTGTTCTCAACTGAAAAATCAATATCCATTTTATCCAGCATATCAGGCAATAAATAATCAATATTTTCAGCTAAATCTTCTATAATGTAGATGATTCTATTCTCAGCATTTGATAGCCATTCATCAAATTTTTCATATTGTTCTAAAAATTTACGATATCTTTTTAAACGATCTTCATGCCGATTGAGACGTGAATTTGTAAATTCTTTAAGGGTTTCAAAACGTTTTCGAAATGCAAGAATTTCTTCAGTTGGAAGGAATAATTCTTCATTGCTATCTGTATTTTTATGCGTAAATTGATTGCCACGATCAATAACAGTGTTTAAAAGATTTTCATGCGAATGGATATCTTGTAGACGTTGCTGTAAGAAAGAGAGGAAAACAAAGAATACAACATTGGAGAATGTCATTTAAAAATCCCTGAGTACAGAGGTCACAAACCAAAACACACACACATTTCTAGATGAGCAGGAGGGCTTTGCGTGCTTTTGCAAGTGTGTGTGGTGTGGAAGTTGACCTTTCCTTGGGATACCTGAAATAGAAAGAGGGTAAGTGTTGCGTGACCGCAGAGTCCAAAGGACAAAGGCTTGAGGCCGGTCACATACAGCCCGTCTGAACTGACTTTTTCGTTTGGTTCCGTATTAGTAACTTACCACCAGATATGGACCACCGTAGGGTATGCCGGGATGTACAATTTTTGGGGTTGACCTTTTCCAACCACCTCTCTCCAGAGTGGAGGGACAGCATAGTTGACATGCTGTTCATCTTGGGGAGAACACCCTACTGCTGTTATATTCCTGTTCCCCAGCTGCACGACTTTGCCCACAGACCCCCAGAATAGTGTAAAAAAACTGACTTCATTAAGAGAATCACTGAAAGCCAAGATACAGTGCAAAGATATTTCGTCCTAGTTTGAGATTCTTCATCAGTACCCATAGACTGGGATTCTGACCCAGGACCTTCAGGTGAGCTTGTAGACCATCCAACCACTGGGGCCCGATCCAATGACCAGTCCATGAATTCCAACTTCCGCCAATTCGTGATATATATATATATATGTCTGAAGAAGACATTTCCAACAGCCACCTTTCGTATCACATTCTCCTGAAGACAGTTGATCCAGTCTAACGCTAAGGATAAGATACCGCTTTTGGCCACTTCAATGTGTATTTACCAATTTACTTGCTCGTATGGAGCAAAGTATATCGGCCGTACGCAACGTCAAGTCCACAAACGTATTCTGGAACACTGTCCAGCTTGGTTAGCCAGAGGAGAAAGGAAGAATAGCAGCAGCTCTATCCTCGAACACCTTGTCAACTCCGGATATCGAGCACCCCCGTTGCATGAATGCTTCACAGTGCTACACAGAGTCCCTCAATATCGTACAAAGGGACTTCGCATACTCTATCTGTACATAGCTGAAGCATTAGTTATTCGAGATCTGAAACCGGACCTCTGCATTCAAAAGCGATACATACACTCTCTCACCCTACCGTCGCCAGAGTAAAGTTCTTGCTATAATTTCGCTTCTTTCTTTTTGTTAGTTCACTATTATTATTATTATTATTGGTATTATTGCTATTATTTTATTGTCATTATTATTCCCATCATCCACATTTTATTACCACTCTATTACTTTTTATTAATAACATTGCTTTTTCATACAGATTTTATATAAAAACACTCCATCGCCTCTCCACTAGTTCCTGTGCATTCTACACGAGCTTATTGATTAGTCATTATCTCACACTTATTACGTCATGCCAATGTCTGCCTCTTTTCTAACTTACAATTAGTCATCCCTTCTTACACCTTACATTATGTAATACAGTTTTTCAAGGACAAAGTTTACCAGTATCTGATTGGTCTAAAGATTTCTTTGTTTAATATAATTACGATTGTACAGCTCGTCGAAAAGAAAATTTTCTTCGCTGTTTGTGCCTTTTTCTTATGACTCAATATGGGAATATTTCGTTCATATATATATATATATATATGCCGTAACAGCCAGCCAGTGTCACAGGCAAGGAACTGTCCTCTTGCCTTACTTGACAGACCCTTCTGGTTACAACTTCTCACTAGAAATCCAGTATACAGGGGGGCAGACAAAACAGCTGTCCAGTATTCCCAGGTTACCCAATGCTACCTCTAACTGATGGCAGCTTGTGATCAATCCTATAAAACAATAATAACAATAATAATGATGATTTAAATCAATATATTGATTGTTAAATAATAAAAAAAAGTCCTTTTGCTAATAATAATAATACCTTGTACAGCGTGATGTAATACATTCTCTTTGTTGAATCATCTTCAACAATTATTTCATCTGATTCTTCATCAGTTGTTAACTGATCCACTTTCCAGGCTACTTCAACATCGCTCAACCATTGTTCAAGACGTGATTTCGAATCAGTGTACGATGTCCATTGACCCAGATCTAATTCTATTTCACTCAGATGTACTGCAATCTCATCCAAATAGGTGTCGAGACGATTACGAAGTGATTGAGAGCAATTACACAGATGACTGTGTAATTCAGTGATAAATTTTGATCGATATGAATGAGAAATGCTTGTAAAGGATGATTGATCGGCAATAATTAGTGATGCTGTTTGATGATCGGATTTTTCATCTGTCATCAATTTTGCATTATCGCCAGCATTATCATCGTCAATAGGAGATAAAGTGATGTCAGCGGCAGGTTTAGGAAGGAAAGATTCTGATGTCAGCAGTAAACAGCAGGCCTGTTCAATAGCACTTTGAGCTGACTGGACTTTAGACTGTCCAGCAGACGAATTTTCATTGAGTTTCTATACAAAAGAAGGAAATAGAAAAAATAGAGTATTATTCACAAAGAAATGATTATAGTATATTAAAAAGTATTTTGATTTGACACTAGTAACTAGTGTGATGCGTCTAGTCCTCTCTTTGGTGCAGACTGAATTCTATCAGTCAGGTTGTAATGTGGCCACCATTCTAGGTAGCTCACCATCACGGTGTACATTGTTTGTGATGATATTAGATGGTTGGAGGCAATCAGTAGGAAGCCTTGGACCTAGGTTTCGTGCCAGTTGGCACTCGTCAGCAAGGCGTATCTGAAAAGGTTAATTTAAAAACCTATTCGTGTATCGGTGGCACAGAGGTAGAATGCTCGCCGACCACGCCTCATGTGGTCTGGGGTTCGATCCCCGGCCACAGCAGACGCACTCCTTTACCTCACTAAGCTAGTTTTGTAAGACTGGTAAGGAGGCAAGGTTGGGCATGAGGCTAGCAACCCCATCTCGTAAAAATAAACGCATCACTGCTACCGAAACTTCAAGCCTCTAGCTTGAAGACCTTTGTTTCACTGGGAAGGTACACGAATAAAATTTTAAAGAACACACCGATTTTGTTGAACACATCAACAACAAGGTTTGGAGGCATGAAACTTCGCTACATACTATTTACCAATCATTGTGAAGAGGGCAAAGTTCAACATCATGCGTAATAAGGTATAGTCTTTCTTCAGTAGCCCTGGAAAAACTAAGGGGGAACAATAAAGAATAATAGGCCGAATGCGAGAGTTGACGAATTCTAGGAGTAAGGGTTGGCTTATACCAGAATGTTTTAACTTCTTGATGTAGAAGGTAAGACGGAATATTTTCTTAGAAATCGTCAAGATATGAGACGACCAGGAGAGATCAGCAGATAGAATCACGCCTAGGTACTTAATTTCCGACTTGGTTTCTATTTCAGTGCCATCTATGTTGCACACCTCGTGAGAGCTAACCAGTTTGTTTAGGTCGGATTTATGCCTAAAGGTGAAATTGACTGTTTGGCATTTGGAGGGGTTTAAGGTAAGACCGTTTTCCTTTGACCACAGGCTGATGTCGAAACCAATGACTTTTCTCCAAAAACGAAATTTGCATATCATCGTGTATACATCAAAACTCTACCCGCAGTTCGTGAGCGAAGATGTTATTACTATTATTATTCTCTTAGGTTCCGAAAAGGGACACATAGAGCTTCAACTTCCACTTCAACCTCTTATCTGTGATCCTCTTTAACGAATTCTGCGATCACCTACAAGCTCTCATCTCCTCAATTTCACACTCGGATCAATGCCGTTATCCTTTTTGGTTTCACTCAAAGTACTGCTGCTAGGCAGATGATGTCACTTATTTGGGTAGGATCGTTTCAACTACAGGTGACAGTACAAATGAGAATGCAAAGGACAGGATCGATAAAACGAGACAAATAGACCATTACTGTAAAATCACTTTAGAAATCTAATTCACTCAGAATAAAGAACAAGACTCGGATTTCCAACAGTAATGTCAGCCAAATCAGTGCTTCTCTATATGGTTCAGAGATTTTGCGTGTCATAAAAAGCACTTTAAACAGGCCACTGAAGACTTTTATCAACAGTTGACTCCTTCGCTGAAGATCAGATAGCCCATCGACCAGAAAGGATTAGGAACAAGGCACTCTGCAGTGAAACAAATCCACCAACAACCTATTGTCTAGCAACTATGCAGAATGAAATGAAGATAGGTGACTTCATCGTGAACTGAGGTCGGTTAGAGGACCATTGGAAAACCAGCAAGGAGTACTCGACAGCGGTTTCGCCCTAGTGCTTGGGACCCTTCATCAGCACGCACCCACCGCCAGGGGTCAAACCCACGAACTACCGACTACTAAGCGAGCTAGCTCGTAGACCATAAAGCCACTACTGGGACCCGATCCAATAACCAGTCCATGAATTCCAACTTCAGCCAATTCCTAATATGGCGCAACCACTAAATAATGTCATCAGCGGCAAGTATTTGTCCTCACTCCCAACCTGCTTTACCCCACTGGTCACAAGTTCCCACTAAATAGGACGACATTCAGGACTGGTTATTGACTCAGGTCCCAGTGGCCTAATGGTCCACGAGCTAACTCGCCTTGTAACCAGAAGGTTCTGGGTTCGAACCTCAGTGGATGCGTATTGTTGAATAAGAGTCTCAAAGTAGGATGAAACGGCTTTCCAATATTCTCAGGTTTTCCAGTAGTCCTCTAACCAATGTCAGCTCATAATGAAATCCCAAAATCAATCAAATCCCTGCAAACCAACGCTTGAAGAGTGATGAGCCCGAATCAGAAACGACGACGACAAGATGGGCATGGGTCGGACAGTGACATATGGAGGAGATCGTGTGCGGAAGAGGAAATGAAAGCTTGTTGGGAATCGTGGAGTTAGCTAAAGACGACTGCAAAGAACAGGATGAAAAGGGGGATGAACTGTTGAAAGCCCTATGTTCCACAATCAAACCAATCTACTTTCGTTTTAAAAATAGTGATAAACTGAGAGGAAGAAAGAGGGAGAAAGAAACAATTAATGCACTCTGACAAAAAGAAAACTTACCTGAAATAAATCAAGATATTTTTTAGCCTTATCATGACTTGCTGACGTTTTCTGTTTCTCTGTTATAATATTCTCCAGTTGACTTATAGCCTCTGACAACCAGTCATCTGCATCCTTGTATAAGCGTTGTTGACTTTCAAGAGCAGATATCAACTCAGTGGTATGATGAATTGCTTTTCTCAGGCATACAATTAAATCGGTTAATCTTAATTCAATATCCAATAGGATAGCAGATTTATAAACAACAGATTTACTTGACTTAATGTTGTTGACAACATCAGTAGTCTCCTGAGTGGACTCTTCAAAGGCAGTAGGAGTATCAGAGAGTTGAAAGGCTGATGATTCAGGGTTTGATGATGATGATGATGTATCACACAGTTTGACTAATTGATGAAATGTTTCATGAGCTTGTTTTAATTCACTTCTTGTTCCCTCTGAATCAGTAAGTAATTGCTGTGTAAGAATAAAAAACACAAAAACAAATAATGAAAGTTGAACAGTTCAATGAGAATAATTATTCAACACAATATAAGTGAGATTATTCATGCTTTTATCAGCAAAAGACGGATGGAAATTCTCGATTACGGAAAATGACAATAATGACTACTTGGTAATATGCTATTATAACTTTGATTGGACACTAGTAACGTGACGTGTCTAGTCTTTCTTTGATGCAGACTGAATTCTATCAGTCAGGTTTGATAGTATAAGCTTGGTACCCCTAACTTGTTGCCTTGCGCTGCGGGTTGGCCACCCCTCCCCACACCTCTTGAAATGCTCCCATATGACCGGGCGTCTTACATAGCCTCTCCTGAGGAAGTCCTACTCACTGCCTTCACGTGGCGGAGGTGTTTTTCACCAAAGTGGGAGGGCGAAAGCGGATGCCCGTCGCTCTTCACCGGGTTGACTGTCCATTGGATGACAGTCTAGGGGAGATGGCTAAACCCTGATTCCAAACCTCCAACGACTGGCGTATGAAGCTCACTGGAGCTCACCGGCAGACGTATGGACAAAGGGCTTGTTGGATGTCCTGGATGTCTGGCCCCATTCAAAAAGGCGTATGAACCGAACTCCGGTCACCGGCTGCCAATGGATAGTGCACTCCCTACTCCACTCCTACTGCCTTGTAGGTCACACTTGGGGTTGTGTAAAGGCTAGAGCTGCACTCTCAAACAAAAGGCCGAGCGATTCTGGGAACATCACGTCGCCTTCGGTGGTTTGGCCATGTTCTGCGCCGACCAGATGACGATCTGGTCAAATCAGTTCTAAATCACTCGCCATTACCATCTTGGTGATGTAGCAGGGGTGAACAGCTGAAAACATGGCTTGGTACAGTCAAGGCTGATATGGAGTGCCTGGGGCTACAAACCGTCTACGGACTCCGTCTGTGGAACAAGAATTGGATAACCCTGTCGCAAAACCTTGCATCAGATCGTCGCGTCTGGGCAGCGATGATTCGTGATGTTCATGAAGCCGGCTCATCCTCCCGTAGGAGATAGCCGAAGTAAAGTAAAGTAAGTAAGTACCCCTAACTTGTCACAATACCTCTTATTTATGTTAATCATACATATATCTGTCTTCGGGTACCTGAAACACAAATACAGAGTTAGTGTTGCATGACCGCAGAGCTCAGGAGACAACTACTTGAGACCGGTCACACACGGCCTGTATGAATTGGTTTCTTGGTTTGGTTCCGCATGAGTAAACTTACTACCGGTTACGGACTACTGTAGGGTAAGTCGGGATGTACAGTTGTTGAGGTCGACCTTTTCTAACCCCCTCTCTCCTGAGTGGAGAGACAGCATACCTGGCTGGCATGCTGGTCATCTGAGGGAAACACCTCACTGCTGTTACATTCCTGTTCCCTAGCAGTACGACTTCACCCACAGACCTCCAGCATAGTGTAAAAAAACCTTACACTAAGCAGGTAACTGCATTTAGTCTAATCGCTATCCTAACAACCTTCCTCGCATGGTAGGACCTCCAGGAACATTGGTTCCAGCCAGTGTAGCTTGTTGGTTCATCGCGATGTGCAAGCCCGACCACCACGTCAAGGTAGCAGCTATCGGTCGGGATCATACATACAATATATCCCAACACTTATCAAGGACCGACGTTGAAGGTAAAAGATACCTGAATGTGAAACATGACCAGTGAAAGTGGAAGATATGAGAAAGGGTTATCTGTCTTTATCTTTGACCACAGATGTTTGCGTTCTATCTCTTCCTGAGTTAAGTGGTATCCTATAATGAGTAATATTAAGGTTAGGTATAGAGTGTAAGGTAAGGAAAGGAAAGGAAGGTTGTGTGAAGCTGCATCGATTGAGATAGTTAGGTCATAATATGTTGCGCGTTCCGAGTCATCAACTTCTTCAATCGGCAATCTCAGCCGACGTAGGAATCGATTGGAAAAGGGTTCAGGCGGAGGGGGCAAATCAAAACTTAGAATCAACCTGTATCTGTTAACAAGAAACCTCTATATACGAGACTACAATTCAAAAATGATGTACCAAGTGAAATAATAACAGTAACCAACAAGTTGATAGAATAGGCTCAAAGAACTTCTAATTCTGGTAAGCTACAACTCATATTTTCTATACAACCAGTTGTGATTCTGAAATTGAAAGACGAAGTACTTACCTAGGCTAACCACCTCTTATTGCATCTATCAATTCAACTGCTCCTGCAAAGCCACAGTTACATTGACCGTTTCTCTAGAAACTTAGCTGTTCGTGCTCGGTAACACGGTGTAGTTAAAGCGATCAACAGTTCGACATTAGAACATCTAGTCCAAACAGGTCACAAAGCTAGTTAGCATTGAAGAGACTTTTACCATCATTTGCCGGGTATCGAATAAATTACCAAATGCCTCTAGATACCGAAGACTCTAAACAGTTGAGGCCATAGCAATTCGGTTGTAAAAGAATCGTAACTCTGTGTACTAAATAAACAGATCTAGCCACTAATGCTACCTTGACCTGCTGTGGAATTCATAAATTGGATGGAGGATTTCATCATGAGCTGACATCAGTTAGAGAACCACTGGAAAACCTGAGAGTACTGGACAGCTGTTTTGTTCTAGTTTGGGACTCTTCGGCAGTACGCACCCAGCACATATTCACTTCTCTATTATTTTCCTTGTATCGGTGTCACAGAGGTAGAATGCTCGCCAACCATGCCTCATGTAGTCCGGGGTTCGAACCCCCGGCCACAGCAGACGCACTCCTTTACCTCGCTAACCGAGTAATGAGACCAGTAAAGAGAGGAAGGTTGGGCATAAGGCTAGCAACCCTATCTCATAAAAATAAGTGCCTGTGTTACTGAAACTTCAAGCCCCTAGCCTGAAGTCTTATGTTCCAATGGGAACATTAATGTTGTTAATAACAATAATTCTTTCATCATTATGAATGCATATAACTGTAGAACCTGATGAAGAGGAATTTTGTCGACAAGAATCTTCTTTTATTCCTTAATCAATCTTTTAAATATTTTATTTGATGGACATCTATTAATCAAGAAAACACCCGGGAAAAAAGTTTTCCGCCTACCTGTAATTCATTAAGACGACTTTTACACAAATCAATAGTGATTTTCTTTGACCAAAAAAGTGATCGTTTCGATTGACTTTCATAATTTTTTAGCGTTTTTGTTAATGAATTTTCATACTGTCGAGATTGTACAATTATCTGACGTGCTGTATTCACTCTTGATTCAAATTGTTTCAATTGACTACACAATTGAATTAATTGACCTTCCCATAATCGAATCAATTGATTTGCTGAATTCGATTGAGTAAATGATAAGGTATCTGAGTTGAGATTTGTCAACATAACTGACGGATCACTATTAGCGACGTCTGTATTTGAGATAATTACAGTGAGTTGTTCATCAACTTGATCTTCAATAGATTTTAAAAGAGATTCAGTTGTTGGTGTTGTTTGATGAATCGCCTCAAGATCTGTTGGGGGGGATGGTTGTAGTTGATTTGTGTCTTTTGTAGAATGATGATCGGCTTCCGGTTGATTGTTGACGGTTGGATCAATATCGATGAATTGTGAACGTAGCATAATTTTAGCTAATTCTTTTAAATAATCCAGTTTAGAATCACATTCTTGAGTTTTCTCTTCTAAATTCTAAAATAATATGTAATAATAATGATCGTGTATAAGTGAATGAATGAATGCAATACACTTTACAATATAAATATATTATAAACGCATGGTTAAAATAGTGCGTCGGTGGCATAGCGGTTAGAACGCTCGCCGACCATGCACATAGTCCGGGGTTCGATTCCCGGCCACAGACGCACTCCTTTACCTCGCCAAGCCAGAACTAAAGCTGGTGAAGAGGAAAGATTGGGCATGGGGCTAGTGACCAAATCCTGTAAAAATAAACACTGCTACAGAAACTTCAAGCCTCTAGCCTTGAAGCCCTATGTTCCACTGGGGAACGTGAAGGAATTTTTTAAAACTGGTTAAAATAATGTTGAAACAATAGTCGCGCTAAGTTCGACTCTCCATGAGTGCATCTTCATTAACTGCATATCGCCAACCAACCCCATGTGGCACAGGTTTCATTCTAGGTGAACGCACTCCTAATCCTTCTTTGCTTAGCCAGTAGCAAGCCTGATAAGGAGGGAAGGTTAGGCGTGTGACTAGCGACTTCAGCGCACAGACATAAAACCAATGGCTGCGGAAAATTCAAAACCCCAGCTTGAAGAATTATGTTCGACTAGGAATGCCCAACAAGGAAGAAACCAAAATGAGATACAAGTACTTCCACCAGTAGGTGTGAGTCCCCAAAACAAGGCAAACTAAATTATGAGGCGATTCCATATTAGTTTGTTTATTAGATATATCACATAGTGAAAGTATTATTTACTGGATGACGTTTCGAACAAAATTTATTGTTCACAATTGATGTGATTATGAACAATAAATTTTGTTCGAAACGTCATCCAGTAAATAATACTGATTCACTGTGTGATATATCTAATAAACAAACTAATGCGGAATTACTTACTACCACAGTGCCCAAGTTTTACACATATATTAAATTATGAGGCATCGATTAGACCGCTGACTACCACCGAATAATAATAATAATAATAATAATGGTTTTATTCCAAACAGTACTTCTGATACAATGTGAAATTCTCAGCACGCAGTACAATAATCTATCTAATCTGTTCTTTATTATTATTACTATTATTATTGTTTCCTTTAGTTCCTAGAGGAACATTGGGCTTCAGTCAAACGTCTCCATTGCGTTCGGTTCTCTGCCAACCTTTTCACCTGACTCCATGTCTTCCCACATGCTTTCATCTCCCTTTCTCATGACTTCCTCCTACATGTCACCCCACCCTTGCACTGATGACCAACTCGCTGCTTCCTATTCGGTCGGGTTTCACTCGAACGATGGCCTGGCGTGTAATGTCTTTCACTTGGTGGTTTGTTTTCTCAGAGTATGACCAATCCACCTCTATTTTTTCCTGTTTATCTGTTGCACAATTGGTTCCTGCTGAGTTGGTTGACTCGCTCATTGCCAGAGATCCCTCCCTGGTGTTGACCTTTTCTGGTCGGCCATATGATCTTGAGCGGAGTATTGAGCGAAAACAGCTGTTGATAAAGGTCTGTAGTTTGTTTGAAGTACCCTTCGTGACGCGGTGCCAAGTCTCTGATTCGTGGAGTAAGTAGCACTGACTTCACATTGGAGTTGAAAATCCGGATCTTATTTTCATTTTCATGCTGAGTGATGTTGACCTCCACACAGACTTGAGAGTAATAAAAGCTTGTCTTGCTTTCCCGATCCTTTCTTCGATATCCTCGTCAGTTCCGCCTGTAGTTGAAACGATGCTTCCCAATTAGGTAAAGGAGGTTGTTTCTTTCAGATTTCTCCAATTTAAGCTGATTGTTGTCTCTTGCTGTTGACCAGGAATCTTTATCACCTCTGTTTTCTCTATGTTTACTTGGAGTCCTATCTTCTCTGGATACTTCTTCTGCCAACTTGCTGCTTTTCACTTGCATATCTTCCAGTTTTGTGGGAATTCAGATATATATCATCGACGAAGTCCAGATCCTCTACGTTTTTTGTGGGTTAATTTTATGCCAGTTTCCTCGCTGCTGGCCACTGTCTGTCGTAATATCCCGTCTACCGCCCTTAATCAGGAAAATCATTGGAGATAGTAGGCAGTCAGCCTTGTCTTACTCTAATCTGTTCTTTACATTTACATATTACGAGGGGAAGGCATAATTAACACGGCATTTAAATTGATAATAATGTCAATCAAGAATATAATGAAAGTAAAAATTAAGCATTAACAGAAACAGTGACAAGAATATGTTAATGATTGAGAGAATAAAAATGGCCGTTTACTCACTATCTCGCAGTAGCTTTAGTAGTTTCATGCCTTACACTTTTCTCATCATATAAAATGCATCTCAAATAAAGCATCGTCGAGTTGCTGATACTTACATCGTCTGAGCACAAAGTGTCCTACAAACTGCCTCTGTCTGTCTGTTTTCGACATAGAACTTTGCATCGATGTGCAGAAGTTCAAGTCGCCACACTCCCTCCATGTAGCACACAAAGCAACAGAAGAAAGTAGAAGAAATGCAAAATAGGGACAGTAGACAGGGATATGAGACAAAAGGAATAGTAATAACGAAGAACAATATAGTTTCATTGGAAATTATAAGTCACAAGGAGCGGATGCATCTGCGCCACCCATCCAGAACGATTTTGAGCCATATCACTGATTGTCTCCACCCACTGGTGTTTACCGTGTCAAGGACCCCAAACAGAAAGTCTACATCTTCCTACGTGGCTTAGACTAACTGTTGTGGATTTCATTGATTGTTGAAGGTATGTTTTTGTTTGAGCGCTACCAATAGCTCTTTTCTAGCCTGACCCTATATCAGCTAACATTGCCCATCGAGGAAGGCAATGGCTAGGCATGCGTAACACATGTCCTAACCACCTCAGTCGATGTTGCTCCACAGCCTCGTCGATTCATTTCCCCTCCCACCCACCTAGCACTCGACCGACGCCTAACCTCAATATTGCTCATCCTATTATACCACTTCACACGGGAGAGAGAATGCAGGTATCTATGATCAAAGACAGTTAGTCTTTTCATGTATTCCACTGTCTCTCTCTCTCTCTCACTCTCAACTGCCTCGAATCCTACCTGATGAGACGATGCCAGCAGAAAAAGGATGCTCAGAGAATGATGATGATGAAAACTAACTTCAAAATAGCTAGAAGACATATTATCTATCAGTTCGCATAAATACTCAGATTAACAGGGGGATTTGTGTATGCGGCAATAGGCAATAAGGTAACAAGTACAATAGCTTAATCAATAGAAAATCAATAGCAAATTTCACAAAAATATCAGTGAGGTTTATTTAAAGTAAAAGAGACTCAGAAAATTTGATGTACCATCCTTTTTCTTGTATTTATACAAAGTCTTTATCTTCCACCAATAAAGTAATCTTGCGACTCCATACACAGACAATAATGATGATGATGACAATATCAACTTCCTGTCTATTTTGTTAGGTATCTATTGAAACACTTCCGGTGGGATAAAAACGTAATGTCTTGTTTCACGTGGAAACAGATTCGCTTTATGTTATGTGATGTATATATTTTGAAGTAAAAAAAAACGACACAATTTAATCAAATATAGAAAAGAGGTTGACAACTGTGATAAATTATGCCCCTGGGTAACCAGCAATTAGCAACAATAGATGGATATTTGTGTGTTCCTTACATGGAAAAATTCTCTTTAAAGTTTCTTCTTTCCCAATACTGCTTTCTTTACAGACTATCCACCCTAGTAAAACTATGAAATTTCTCTGACTTTATACAACAACAAATACTCATACGTATTTCCCCAGGTAACACACCCTGAAATAATAGAGAAAATTTGGAGTTCAGTTGGGTATTATTGATTTAGTTGTGTTCCTTGAGCTGATTGTTTACGTCGTCCTTCTTCTGGAGACAACATAGTTGCAACGCAGACTAAAAGAAAGGGCATACCTACGATTTTCTGAACATGTACCAAAAAACCTATATTTCAAGGGAACAAATGCTTTAAACAGTGCAATCGCCAGGCATCTCCTTGACACGGGCCATGAGGTGGACATAGCACGATCGTTCAAAATTATCAATAGACAAAAGAGTTCAATTCTCCTCAAGTTTTCTGAAGCAATCTCCATCAAGCGCCTGAAACTTGATTTATGTGTTCAGAAAGAAGCGGTTATCAGTCTTTCCTTGCCCTCGTAGCAGAATATTTCCATCCTCTTTTTCATCTGAATACGTAAGGTCGATAGTTTCCATTGTGTATGATCACTATTGTTCGGAATAGTGTTTGATATGACATATATATATGTATATATTATTACCGTATGCATATATTGATTGTTGTTTAAAATAAACTCTGTACAAGTATGTTAAAATTGTTTCTGTTGATATGCTTAATAATGACTGTGGCCTGTAAGCAGCTGATGAGAAGCCAACGAAATAACCGATGATGGTACCATTTTATTCTGCAAAAACTGTTGTTCTTGCCTTATTGAACTTATTTGAATTCTCCATGTTATTGATCTCCTAGGGACTTTATTCGTCATTTTCTTTTGTCATATGATTTATCTATTATTATTATTAATCGATATATTTGATCTACGCTAAGTGATGTGTCTGTTAATCACTGATTCATCTGAGACTAGGCTTCTAGGAATTCCCTAGCATTTGTTTGGTGTTTCCAATGTTTAAAATTCCTCCTACATTTTCTCAAACAAATTTATGACCATGTTTCTTGTCTACATGTATCGAAATGAAAGAATGAATGTCGTGTTTTTCGTAAGTTAATTTATGTTCTCGGATTCTGAGTTGAAGGGGGCGCCATCTACTACTAAATAAACTGCATAAACTGTGATTAACACACTATACTGGTCAAAGTCGGCGCGGGCCCTTTGACTCCAACTACTCCAAGAATATAAACTACCTGTGAAAAGACATAACGTATATTCTTTCATATCGATGCAGATATTTTCAAGACCGTCCTAGATTTCAGTACTAACCACCGTCAATCAACCATACCACAACCTTAAGGTATCATCGAAGCATCTGTACTACACATCATGGAGTCTTATTTCCACTGTTTCGAATCATCATCATTTGTCTGCTAGCCAAATTTGGTAGACAGCAATTCACGTCAATGTCTACGTCCCATATCTTGGTCATGAGAAAAAAAACAAGAACAAAGACTTTGTGTGGGCGGATACGATTCGCAGAAATATGGTGTGACCTTGAAAGAAACGGCCACAAAGAGATGAAAGATTACCTTTCAGTGAGAAACAACCAATCAGAAGACGCTGTTTCTCTGCTAATAATAACGAATAATAATGTACATAAAAATCTATAAATATCTGCTGATTTTCTCAATAAACGATCTGCTGGCTGGTCCTTGTCTTCTGTCGTTACACTACTACTCACTAGTCGACATGAGTAGTTGTATACCACTCACATCAACCAGCCAGATGGAAGTGATCTAACCACTGGAAGGCCATTTCGCCCGATTTCGGTTGAACTCATTAGCGGTGTACCCAGTTTGGCTCAGTTCAGACAGCCAGATCAACTGGCACCATCTGATTTCTACCTATCGCTACATGGGTGAAGTTGTGATGCCATATAAAAATTCACAATTTACACAGTCGGAGGAGGTGGAAATTTCCCCCAATAGTGTCCTTTGTAAACCAAAATTATTCAGGTGAAAACAATGTGATCTTCTTCATACCAAAAATGATAATAAAGAAACTAGGCATGAATGCATAAAACTATACATATATACTACTGATTGACTGACTTATTGAGATGAGTAGTTGAGTACCAACTAGATCAACCAGTAGTATAAATCTATGTAATCCCTAGCTAGAAATACTGTAGAACTATTCAAATTTTTAAATAGATGAAAACTAAATTCGGGTTCATGACTAAGTGAATGCAGCTGAAGTGCAGACGACGGTGACAACGAGTCGCAGCTAAAATACATCACCTAATTAGTTGTACAGTTGGTCAGTCAGAGTGAGCAGAAGTTAGAATTCATGGACCACTGGATTCCGTCCCAAATGGCCGAACGGTGGCTACAAATTCACCTTGTAACCAAAGAGTCCTGAGGTGTGTACTGCCGAAGAGTCCCAAACAAGGACAAAACAGTAATCCAGGAGATTGGTTCCCTAACTAAAGTCAAATCTTAACCAAAATTGACAAAAGCTGCTTGTAAGCTGTCATTTGAATTACCTTTCTTCCACAAATGCACAAGTATACTCTAAAACAAACTAAAGAATTGATTATAACACTCGACTTTGGTACTCAACTACTTTAGGCACAAAACTAACTTAACCTATTGCGGCACAAATGTCTAAATACAATATATCATAGGAAACTTTTGTGTGTTGTAGAAGTGTATGGCCTGTTATTGGTTCCCGGTTGTCCATACCATGGAAGTTGAATTCTTCTTCGACTACCTGAACAAAAGAAGGTGGAGCTGCGTGATGGCACAGTCCAAGGGACAACTGTTTGAGGCCGGTCACACACGGTCTGTTTCATCAAGCGGTATTTGGAGTTTTGTCCTGACTACAGACCGTTGTCAGAAGGTAAGTCGAGATATACAATTCTCGCAGTCGACATATTCTAACCCTCCGCCCCCCCCCCACTAGAACGCAGAGGCGGCATAGCTGGGAGACTAATCATTTGAAGGAAACACCCTACTTCTGCCAGGTGCATGACTTCGTCAACAGAAACCAACCCCACCCCCAACATAGTGTAAACAACTCACACCATAAAAGTAACCGCTTCTAATCTAACCACTGTCCAAGCGACCTTCCAGGTATAAGTAAGGGATCTGCAGGAACATTATTTTATTGGGCTATTGCAATATGCAAGCCCGACCACCATTAAAAGTCAAAGTACCAGCTATCGGTTGGGACACATCATCATCACATAAATCAATGATTAACAGATTCACCTGTCAAAAGCCCAAGGTCCTGACTTCTACACTGACACTGACACTGCCTTACTCAGTTATACATTATATTTTCAAAATGACAAACATTCAAAGATATTATACTCACTTGTATCGTTGTATATAATACCTCCAAATTAGATGATATACTTTCCATGAATAAAATTTGAACTGATGAAGATTGATCACTTTTATTATCAATTGACGATACATTTGCCTGAGTTGTATTCATCATAGTTGCTTTAGACATCAATCGATTTTCCGATAATAATGATGACGATGATGATAATAATAATAGAATAGTTGATTGACACTCAACACTTCTCGACTGTAAATCATTAAACCATAAATGAAAATTTTGTGCAATATCAAAAAATAAATGATTAACTTTCAGATGTAAAATATGCACACATTTTGTTGACCTTGATATTAAACCGGACAGACGATGATTTAACGACACTGATTCACTCTCCATAAGTACACCTGCTGTAGTTGTAGACGTGACTTTGTCACATTCATTATTGGACACATTGAATGATTCTTGTTGTTGTGGTTGTTGTTTTAAGGAATACAATGAACGATGATGATAACGGCTTGGTCCTATAGCTAATAAATGTGCTCTATCGTGTAGCCAAAGTGAATGCTCCCGTAGACGTGTTAATCGATAACGAATACATTGAGCTTTACATAATTGCAATAGATAATTATTTGCTTGTGTTGCGATCACTTTTATACTACTTAAATCAGTAGTACCTGATTGTTGTGATAAGCGATTGTTTAATTCGTCAGAAGCAGAAGCAGATGATGAATCAAAGGAAGCAGTTAACTCTTTGCCAATCGATTCCAGTAGGGAATCAAATTTACGCATATCAACTTGTAGTTGTTCGCATCTTTCACCTTCTTCATTCCATTGATGCGTTAAATGATCAGCTGATTTTTGTAATCTATGCAATCGCCATTCCAGGGCATCGAATGTCTTTTTCACTGTAATCCGATCAGCTAAATCAGCACCGATACGCTCAGAAATACTATTTAATAAACTTGAATAGTAGACAACTTCAGTAGTATATGTATCAAGTAATACTTGAGGATTTTCCGAGAACTCCAACTCTTCATCGGATGGCAGTTGTGAACGCGTCATATTATTTAAAGGGAGAAGGATAGCAAAAGCTGCAGAACTAGCAGCCAACTGTGAACTACACGTCTCCAGAGTTAACTCAGTCCCGCCTAACCATGATTCTAATTCACTGAAACCATCTTCAATGTATTTGAAAGCGCCACGTCGAATAGATAATTGTTGAATTGCTGTCTCCATGAGAAATTGTAATCGACGCCAACGATTCATGATTGCATCACGAAATGGATCTGAAGATCTACTACTAGTAGTAGACTGTTCTTCCGTTTGGTTGTCCTCAACATCTGACGTCGGTTTCTGACGTTTACACACTTCTGTATGAAAGCTATGATATGTTTGTAAGGCTAAGGAGCATAACTGATGCAACTGAAGAAACATACTGTCTTGTTTACTTAAAAGGGAGTCTAAAGCCGCGCGTATCGGCAAGAGTCTCTGATCCACTTCTTTTGTACTATCAACACTTAATAACCTGCAAACATCCATACATTCATAACTTGTTAATTGTGATATAATTTCTTCGGGAATAGGTTGTTTCACCATGGTGGTTTCATCCTCCTGTTGCTGATCGCCCACTTGTCCTTTAGCAGTTTCCTGTTGAGGTAACTCATCACCGAAAAAGCTTGAATAATCACTCACTGGTATCAGACCACTTTGTTTCTCGACATCATTAATAAATTCTGTCAGTTGATTCAAGCATTCTTCACGTTTTGATAAAACATCAGAAAGGAGAATACTATGTCTGCCAAGTTCACCTAAATGAATAGCGCACAGACGTATGCATTGAATTGTAGTATTGTATAGACTGTCAACATTCGGTCCACGGGCTGGTGTTGAACTGACAATCCGATCACCAGCCCGCCGAAGATCCCCTAACCGTTGAATAATAACAACAGCTTCACTTGGTAGATTTGTTTTATCCACGAGTGTCTCCTTCTCAGCTTGTTGTTCATTCTTGTTCACCTCTTCCGTATCATTACCAGCGGAATTCAATTCTGTCTGCCAATCTAATAATTGATTACCTAGCCGTGTAAGTCTTATACCAACAGCTTTATCTGTTTTCAATGGATCACCCATAGAACTAACTGTATAACATGCATCTGTTGAGCGTGTTTGTAAATCTTTCACTTGTTCAACAAGTCGATCTCTACCTTCAACTAATTGTTGCCAATTCTCACAAACACTAATCACTTGAAAGAGATTTGCTTTCAGCTTTGCATGGAGTTTATCACATTCTGATGAAAGTCTAGCAATATCCACGAAAAAACTGAATGGCTCTACTTGTAATGTTGTTGTTGTTGTTGTCGATTGATCTGATAGAGTAGAGGTATTACCACCGCCAGGTAGAGAAGCACCAGTAGACACTGCACCGAATGACCAGTTCGAATCGACATGTGTAACGAACATTAGACCAGTTGAAACAGCGGCTACATCAACCTGTTTTGGTCCGCATAAATTAGAGCCGCTAGTCAAGGTTTCATCAAATCCATTTTCAATAGTGTCATTAGTGTTATCGTTGTCAGATCGGGAGAAATCCAGTGTCACCTGCCATTTATTGATTGATTCTTTTAATTTACCAACTTCTAACTTTAAATTATTATATTCTGATTGATAAGCGATACCAGATGGTGTTGTCTGTTCACGGGCTAGAATATGTTCAGCATCGTCTGCAGCTACCTTCAGGGTATCCAAAACTGGTGCTGGTTGACTTGACTTCTCTTCATTCTCATTTTCTTCTCTAGAAGCAATATCTTCTTTACTTTCTTCATTGACACCTTCGTTTCCTTCTTCGTCTTTCATAACTGGTTCCTTTGCTGATGAAGGTTTACTCGTCGTAGGTGTCTGCCGTTTATTCTTTTTGTCAACATTTAGTTCAACAACAACTGATGTATTAGTAAATGATTTCAAACGTGAATTCAATGCATTAATCTCTTGTATCCAACCTTGACGAGAAAATTCATAATCCATAGTTAAACGACATAGGACAGTACGTTGGTCAAGACGACTGATTAGTCGATTCAGCTTACTTAATAAGCGTATTAAACGATCATGCAGTTGACGATTTAATTCATCTGTAGTTGAATCAAAACTGCCTTCTTTACCTAATAGATCAAAGGATACAGAACGTCGACTACGTGATCGACCGCTAGTTGGTCTACCACTGGCGCCAGTGCCAGCGCCAGGCCCACCAGCACTACTACTGCTACTATCTGGTCGATTACTACCTGGCCGGCTGCTACTTGCTTTACTCGACAATTCAGCAAGATCGACTTCTTCACCCTCTATTTGACAGGCTAATTCTTTTAAAGCCAACATTCGGGGACCACGTGCTTCTGTTAGTAATGCTTTTAATTGTTCATAGGCTTCTGGTAAATCTACACCCAATAAGTGTTGTTTATCCGATTCCACTTGATCTATAATAATGAATGAATAAAAGAAAAGTATAAAACTTCGTGAATTAGAGATAGTTTAAAATGAAGAGATAAGTATTTAGATAAATCACCAAAACCTGTGGGTACTGGACAGCCGTTTCGTCCTCGTTTAGGACTCTTCATCAGAAGTTAGAATTCATGGGATGGCCATAAGATCGGGTCCCATTGGCTCAATGTTCACCTTGTAACCAGAAGGTCCTAGGTTCGAACGCTGGTGGTGGGTGCGTACTGATGAAGAGTCCTAAACTGGGACGAAACAGTTGTCCAGTGGTTCTGTAAGTGACATCAGCTCATGAGGAAATCATCCATCCAAACAAACAAAATCCCTACAAAACCAATACTTGAAAAATCACCAAAAGTACTTCCAACAACCTGCTGGAGCCTTTCATCATTTAACAACTGCCTCCTCTTTCTACTGAAGACTGGAAGGTCTAATGGCCAGAAAGGATAAGCGCCCAATAAGGAAGGAACTCTGTGTTAATGAACTGATTAAGAAACTTTCGCCCAACAAAAATGGACAAAACAAAACACGGAGAAGACAGTTGCCTGATATCACGTTAAGATCAATGAAATTACAGTTCAATGTAATAGCAAATAGAATATCAAATAAAATTCAGGATCATTAGAACCTTGATGTCCAGAGGAGTAAGGACAGTGTCTCAACCAGCTTTGTGCCTTTGAAGTACAAACGCAATCTGATAAAGTGTTTGATCCATAGAGCAAGAGCAATCTGCTCTGATGAATGTCTTAATGAAGAGCTTAATATTATTAAACAGTTGCTGAGTGAGAATGGTTACCCAGAAAAATTCATCGACAAGAATATGAATCAAAAGTCAAGGCAGGTTAAAAGTACCAACAGTTCCGAAAAAAGCCTTATTCTTATAACTTCAGTTCCTCGGGGATAACATCAGTAAGACATATAACACAACGCCTAGGGAATGCGGTTAAAAAGAGCGTTCCCTGCTGCCGAATTACGCTGTGTCTTCAAAATAATCATCCCTATTTTGCATTCGGAAGTAAAAGATAAACTGCCTAATTTCGCCTCTTCCATGTGTATCTACCAATTTAACTGCTCCTGTGGAGTGAGCCAGTTACATAGGCCGTACAATTAGGCGTGTTTCTCGTCGGATTTCCGAACATCATCCTGCATAGTGGTTAAGTAAAGTACAAAAAAATCTATTCGTAGCGCAATTCTATCTCATCTTGTGGATACACAACACAAGATTGATGTTAACGAGGCGGCTTTCAGAGTCATTTACCGCATACCAACATATCTTAACTTCGCCTTAAGAGTTCGATTACTACATATTGCTGAGGCCGTTGGCGTCCACATTAAGAAGCGTCCAAAAGAAGAAGTTGGTTCAGACGCTTTCCTTACATTGGCCGTCAAGGTTTTAATGATTCTCAATTTGTTGCAGAAATTTCCTTAATTTTAGTTGATATTCTATTTGCTATTACATTTTTATGCTTATTATAATTTAAGCATCTTCAATGAACTGTAATTCCACTGATCTTATCTAACAAATCGATAGTATGATTCCCTTTTATAAATTTGAACAAAGAAAGAAGAAACATTTGGGCAGAATAATCTGGATCCATTTTATTTCGTTGGTCCTCATCAGATGCGTACAACCCGAATTTTTTAATAAAATAAAAATACAAAGTGTACAATTTTAACAAACCTTAGATAAGAGAAGATCAAAATTTTACATAACTATTACTAATTGTCTTTTGTTACCACTCCAACAACACAACTGTTAGTTAATTTTTTTCTCAAGAAACTTCTCTCTAACAAGATATATATATATATTAGAGAGAAGTTTCTTGAAAAAAATTAAAATAACAGTTGTGTTGTTGGGGTGGTAACTAAAGAAAATTAGTAATAGTTACGTATATAAGAGAAGATCAAAATTTCGGTGCACATGAAGTCAGATGAGAAGTTGATGGTGTAATACAGTGAGCAGAACTCAGAAAATCAAGAAAAATTATCTCTTATCAGAACCAGGCGAAAAATAAACGGGGGGAGTGAAAAGATAAGTTAACAAAATTACAAAACAAAGAGTTACTAAGATGTGAGTCACCAGGGTACCTGAAGTCCAACGATGGATTCCTTTTGGGCACATAAGTCAGGCTTCAATCGTCTCTTATCTAACTACGTAACTATTACTAATTTTCTTTTGTTACCATCTCAACAACACAACTGTTAATTTTAATTTTTTATATATATATATGCCGAAACACTTTAGACACCCTGTAAATCGCAACACCTTATTTTACTATGACACTGTGACAATATGCTTGCTAATGGACAAAAGTTTGTTAAAATTGTACACTTTTTATTTTATTTTATTAAAGAATTCAGGTTGTGTGCAGCTGATGAGAACCAACGAAATAAAATGGATCCAGATTATTCTGCGCCAATGTTTCTTCTTTCTTTGTTCAAATCGATAGTATTTAAAAAAACACTAATATTTGTTAATGACGACTGTTCTAGAATATTCTATGTATATAAACATGCAATTATAATTGTAGAGCCAGAAGAGGGAATTATCGCAATTTTTCGTCTTCTCTTTTTAATCATTTTCAGTTTAAGAAGAAAAAAACAACACAACACTACTCACCATTTTTCTGCTTCATAATAGACGATGGTTTATTCAGCATACCATAGGATTTATTCCCTATTATCGGTGGTCTTGCAGCTACCCATACACGTGTCAACTTGGCTAAACGCTTTTCAGCTGACATTACCCATTGAGCAAGTCTATCCGTGTCACGGAATAGACGATCACGAGCATCCAATTGATTTTCTAATTCATTATTCAACTTTTCACACTGCAGTTTAGCCCGTTTCAAGCGTTCTTCAATTTCTCTATACTTGGCTGCAACAGAATGTGGACTGATGACAATATTTGTGAATTGTGAACCGCTGCTAGTAGATAATTGATCTGAAGAAGACTTTGTCTCATCCATTACTGCAGCAGCAAGTGGTAATGACCGACAGTGTATTTGATTCTGGCCTACAAGTTGTTTTAATAGCTTCTCGGTTTTAAAACTGTATGCTTTCCAATAAGACTCTGAGTCGAGTAAACGATCTTGAAAGAGATTCACTTTATTCACCTTGGAATCCAGGTCTAAATTAGTAGTTGATTGAGTTGTTGGTGGTGGTGGACTGCTGCTGGTGCTGATGTTGCTATGGCTGTTGGATCTGTTGTGGATACAAATGGCTCTTTAACTTTTTGACTAACTTTTTCATTGAGAATATTAATCAACTCTTGATCGATTTCTTTTTCTATCCCAGTTAATTGATTAGTGAATTGTTCTGATTCTTTATTCCATGTTGTCCATAAATTGTATAAATCTTCAAGATATTGAGATTCTTCAATTAACCAATAATTAACACTTTCCCAACGTGTTTGTAAGGCTTCATTCGCCTCCTTTAATTCGTATATAAGAAGTTTCAGTTAATTGGGGGGCGGAGCAGGGATGGGAAGGAAAATAAAAGCAAAAATATACGATTGATTTATGATGAATAGTCATATAGACAATTTACAACAACACAAATGATCAAATGATATCAAAAGGCGTCGGTGGTTCGTTCAATGGTAGAATACTCACCAACCTACGCGCACAAACATGGCCCTGGGGTGTGATTCCCGACCGATGCATCCCTTAAACCACACTTAGCCCGAGGAAGATAGAAGGTTGGAGGTAAGGCTACCCATTCTGCTACAGAAACTTCAAAGCTCAAGCTTGAACCCCTGTGTTCCACTATGAACACAAAAAGGAATAAATGTATATGTACAGAGAGAGGTTAGATGTAGTATTAGTTGGAGAGGATAGATCAGTCGATATGGTTGTGAAGCTGCCTTCAACTGAGTTGGCTGTTACGTGCTTTACGGGTGCCAAGCCAACACATTTCTCTTCCAGCAATGTTACTTGACATATATCTGGGTTAAAAAAAACTTAGGAGTGGTCAAATCAAAAACCTGGCATCAATCCATGAAGTCTTTGACTGTTGATTTGAGTAATGCAGGGATGTTCAAGAAGATAATTCGATTTACAGACATGGGACCAGTGACCCAACACTCACTTCATCTACAAAGACAATATCATTACCACAAGTTAACCTATCATAGATGGTATTTCGCACAAACTAGAGGACTTACAGGCGAAAACCAACAAACTGGCAGAAGAGGCAGGCAGACAGAGAAGAAAGGACATAGAGAAGATGGAGGTGATGAAGATAACCAACCAACATTGACAACAACAACAACAACAACCAGTACCAATCACCATCAACGGGAGAGATTTGATACAGGTTACTTCTTGCCTTCACTTATCTAGGAAGTATCGTTTCAACCACAGGTAGTCGGATCACGGATGAAGATCTCAAAGTCAGCCAGCTAGAATCGGAAAAGCGAGATACGCCTTCATCAACCTGAAACTAGTTTGGAAATCTTCTGCACGTACTCAGCCATCATAAACAACAAGATTCGGATTTTCAACACAAATGTGAAGTCAGCCAATCACAACTTGATCGGCGTATCACGAAAAGGATTTCCAACAGGCTACTGCAGACTTTTATCAATAGCTGCCCACTTCGTTGGCTGGCTCCATACTGAAGATCAAATGGCTAGGCGACCAGCCAACCGGCCAGAAAGAATAAGCACTAAGAAACTCTGGCTGGCTGGCTGGGAACAAACCAACAAGCAAGAGCTGATTGCTCAACAAATATTTCGGAGAAAATGGAGATGGATCGGTGGGGCATACGTTAAGGAGGCTGTTGAATGACATCACGCTCAATGCAGGCCATCCCCCGAGTGGAATCCCAATGGTAAGCAACGAGTGGGTCGTCAGTGTGAGGTGACAAGGAGGAGATCGTGTGGCGAGTTGGAGGAGATGAAACATTATGCGGAGTCGTGGACCTAGCTGAAGTGGAGAGCAGAGAATAGAAGAAAGTGGAGATGTGCTGTTGAAGCCCTCCCTCTATGTTCCACTCGGAAGTCAAGGGAATAAAAATAATGCATGGCTGATTATATGTTGTACAACCCTGTCTCTGCCTAACGAATTCCATGCAGAAGGGGAATATCAAGACTATTTCAATTGATTAAATCAAAGTATTAACACACAAATATGATAAATATACGACTCAAAATCATCATTATATCGATAAAAAGGAAATAAAATTGCAGATAAGGAAATAGAGATCCTACAAACCGAGGAGTTGTATAAGGTTCTAAAGACCAGTAAAGTAAAGACAGATACAGTGAATAAACGAACGTGATATTATGATCAAAATGAAGATGAGCAATCATGATATCCATGTGTAGTTGAAATCAACTGTCTTCACAAGTACAGATTCTAGGAGTCACATGGAACACAGTTTAGGGATCTGTATTTTCCTGAAAGGGACTCAGACCAACAGTCAGTAAATTCGTGGGTTGATGCTATTTGTCTTGACCTTGTCACCTCCCCTATGATGCTTTATTCTTTACCAATTCTACTTTCTCTAACACAATATATTAACAGCAAATTCAGACAGAAGATGGGTGAGCCATATTTCATATTCACTACATCCCAACGGAGTTCACAACCGCTAAGATGTCATGAAATAAGCACAAAACTGATTAAGCTACGCACACTACTGACTAGCCGATATGAGTAATTGGACATCATTCACACTAACCAGTAGTACTTGTTACCCTTACCGAAGTGATCTGAAAACCTGACAGCCATTTCACCCATTTGAGGTCGAGCTCATAGGTGATGTCTTCGATGCCACTCAGCTCAGAAAGGTGAATTAGTTCAAAACACCATCGAATTCTGATTTGCCACTTAGGCAAGTTGGTCATATACGCTTAGTGGAATTCGCAATTTCTCCTCAAAACGAGTAAAACAGCTGTCCGGCGTTTAGAGCACTTTAGATCTGTCTGGTTAACTAACAATTACTACTGTGTTATCTAACTACTCATTTCACTCAACCAGTAGTACATAACATTAAAACGAATGTACTTCATTACTTTTTATTATATATATATATATATATATATATATATATATATATATATATATATATATATATATATATATGACATACCTTTAAGTGTGTCCAACCGGTTAGACTAGCTGCCAACCAAAGCAGTTGATTCCGATCTTCAGTAAACTTCGAGTTATGCGCAGTTCGACGTGCAATATGTGCATCACGAATTGCTTGTAAATCAGTGATTGATTCAATCGGTGGTGCACGTGACATTGATTCAGCAATACTTTCAATCTCTGTGATATGTTCATCAATTCCGGGGACAAGATTTAAATATTGAGCTAAATAGTCTTTCAGTGTTGTCAATGATTCAGAATGTGTATTAAAAGCTGTTTGTAAGGCTTTTTGTCGTCTACATAAACTAATTATTTTATTTTGAGCTTTAAATATTTCTGGACTAATTGATGCATCAGAAGCGGCTTCACCAGAAGGGATTAAATTCCCCTGTTCATTTGATGTTGTTGATGATTGTAATGGTGAAAAGTGAGTAAGTTCCTGGAATATTGAATTAATACTGGTTAATCGTTGAGCAGATGTTTGTAATTCTGTTAAATGATTATTTACAGTTGCTTGCCATAAGGATAATTCAGCGGCAGCAGCTTTAGCTGCTGATTCTGCTGAGCCTAATTCATTCGCCTGAAGATTCCCTTTAGCCAATGGTTGTACACTCGTGACATTAGATAAATTTAATTCCGCATTATCAAGGAGTTTGTCAACTTCACGTGTACTTGTATAGAATACTTCCCATCTAGCATTGGCAGCACGTAGACTAGCTAATTTTGTGCTCAGCTCTTGTTTCGCTGTGGACAGTTGAGCTTCAAGACGTTCAATGGTTATATCAAGTTCTGAAGCTCTTTCGGGCGTTGATCGCATTTTCATAGTTTCAGCTGCAGCTTTTAACGCTTTCAAGTCTACCTCAGCTTTATTCAACGCGTCTAATTGAGCTGCGACGGCATCAGCTTGAACACGGACAGCTTCCTGGCCAGCTTTAGTGGCTTCTTCAACACTTGCAGCAACAACACCAGCAATCCCACAGGCTAACGATTCATTAGCCCATTGTTTTGTTTCATCATCAATATGCAGTGTACTGGCGACATTGTCAATATCGACAGTACCATCCTGTTTACTTGTTGTCAATGCCATTGCAAAAGCAGCCGCTGTCACTGCACTTGCATGTCCATCAATCAAATGTTTTGTACCTGTCAACAGGTTAGTTAAACGTTGTTTATGCTCTTCAAAGGCTTCAAATGCTTCAGCTGTTTGACGTAAACTTTTCAGTCCAGTCTCAGCGACTTTATCTACTTCAGCCCATGTAGCTTTCAGTTCAGTTTGTGATGGTTCTATCCAATCCAACATTTCACCAGTTTTAACACTCATTCCACGTTGAATCATTGCCAACAGGCTAGCATCTCTTTCTTCAGCTATTCGGGCGACCATTGCTTCACGTTCAGCAAGTAGACGTTTCAATGCGTCTAAATCATTCGGTAGCATTTCAGCATCTTCTTGTACAGCTTGTTCAAAAGCTTCACGTACAACCATCGCCTTCTTACGCTCTGTAACTGCATTAGCCCGGAATTCCAGTGTTTCGGCGATTAATGGAGCTGTAAATTAATATTGAAAATAGTAGAAGTTTATAATATTGTACAAATGTGAAAGCAGTTTATTGAAATATCATTTAACCCGCTTTTATCTAACAAAAAAATTCCTTAGAAAAACCTTATATAAACCAGTCAATAACTAAAAATAAAGAGCTACGCAGTTAAATACTCATTCAAGTATAACTTTCAATTGAAAAACGGAGAAATAGACATAAACTGACACAACAAGTGATGAAAGTATCTTATTTTATTCCCGTGATACCTAAACTAAAATAAAGTTAGCTATATGAGAGAGAAACGAATTCATCAATAGGCGATTTCTCACACTTTTCCTATTCTTTAGGTTATAATTGCGTCACATCTACCCTGCTCTTTGTCTTCATTCATGTTAAAGGGCAATGTATTATCGATTCATCTTCTTGTAAGTCACATGAGTCACGTGGGCATTTCTGCCCTTTCAAATTTTATACGCGGACACATAGCGAGATGACCTTGAAACTTGAGAATGCTATAATTTCTTCCGCCCCCGCTTTATGGTGTACAGAAAAATATGATTGGTTGTTTCCAATCCGATACTGAAAAGGCATAGTAAAATATGATTGGTTGTGTCTAGATAATAATTATAATATCTTTATTCTGGACAATATTTATAAAATGTACAGAATTTACAGAGGAGTTTATTGCATGATATTTTCCCTTCGTACAATACCTTCAAGTAAAATATTAATTGACACTAGTATATCCTGTGACACAGTGGTTTCTGAGCTGAAGCACAAACCATTCCATTATGACATATCTACTTTGTCTCCTTCAATAAATCCACGATATGTAGTTGAAAACCAATTGTAAGATGTCCAAAAACATATTTTGAGACCCAAGGACATAACTGAAGAACAGTTATTCCATGTATTGGAACAGGTTGCCATCCACAGTCATGCCTTTCCTGAAGTTTAGTAGGAACTTGCGAATCAGAAGCTTGTAAACATTTTAAATACACACAAGAGTAGATAGTACCGTTAGAGGTCATATCTTAATCGAGAGAAAATATATGCAATAGAGAGATGTAAGCTTTTGGTAGACAACGCGTTTTTAAACAGGCCGCAAAAGTATAAAGGTGAATAAATAGCACAGCTAGCTGTCACTGCCACAACAACCTAGTTACCTTCAACATTTATTCCCCTTCATGAATTTGAATAAATCAAGCATAGTTTGTGCAGAATAAAATGATACCATCGTTTATTTTATCGGCTTCTCATCACCTGCTTAAAGCCTAAAGATATCATTATTCAGTCTATGTACAGAAACAATTTTAACACTAACATACTGAAGATCAGATGGCCGGAAAGAATCACCAACAAGAAACTATGGGAACAAACAAAACAAGAACCAATCGCCCAACAAATATGCAGGAGAAAGTGGAGATGGATTGGACACTCGTGGCTGAGGAGGCCGCTGGGTGACATCACGCGTCAGGCCATAGCTCGAGTGGAACCCGAAAGGGAAGCAGCGAGTGGGACATGGTGGAGACATGGTGGGTGACATGGAAAAGATCATGTGAAGAGGAGTTGAGACAGTATGGACAAACATGGATGCAGGTGAAAAGTACAGCAGAAGACAGAAGCAAGCGGAGACGTGTAGTTGAAGCCCTATGTTCCACTACGAACCCAAGGGAACAATAATAATATAATGATAACACTGAGAGTTCGTTTTTAAACAAAAAATCAGTATCTGCATATCATGGTAATAATAATAATAATAACTTTATTCCAAATAATAATAATACAAATGGGACTTTCAGCATTCCTTAGTCAAACGAAAGAGAGAATGAAAACATCCTCTTTCTGATCACATAAATCGGAGATTACTTCGGTAAACTTGATGAGAATTAAACTTTTTTGTCCATAGATAGTTTTGAACGGTCTTGCGATGTCCACCGCATCACCCGTGTCAAGGATATGTCTGATAATCGCACTGTTGAAAGCATTTGTTCCCTGGAGACATAGGCTTTTTGGTACATGTTCAGGAAATCGGATGTACGCCCTTCTTTCTGTTCTCCCAATGTAACTGCTCCCGCAGATACACGTAGATTTGCATACACAGTTAGAGTTAACATCTGTCGACATTTGACTGTACCAAAGAGCATGTTATCCGAGATAAACGGGAACTGAATTAACTGAAGGATAGACTCTGGTTAGTGAAGTACTCAATCCTCTTTTGACCATTACTGCAATAGTATCACCTTTAAAATCGGGTTGAATGAAGGTAGGCTTCGTTTTTACTGTGATTTGTTTGGCACATTAGAGCCTTCACATCTTTAATATTTGTTAGTGAATTTCTGAGGGGATCTGTTGCTTTTCAACATCTTTTCGAGAATCAGGAATTCTTTGTCTAATTCTTCTGTAGTGCATATTCTCATGACTCTATGGAATGGAGTTTTTACTAGTGCTCGTTTACAGCTATTTGGACTCTATTCCTGTATATTGACCTCTGAAGACTACTATGTTCCAGGCGTTGCATGACAATGTCAAGGAAATGTATACACTGATTTTTTCGCTTAAATAAAGAACTCTCTGTGTAAGTATGTTAAAACGGTTTCTGTGCAAAAACTTAACGTCTTTAGGCTGTAAGCAGCTGATAAGAAGCCAACGAAATAAACAAATCACTGTTGTTCTTGATTTATTCAAATCCAGTTATCATTGTCAGCGTAACTTTACAGAAAGCTCTGCTTTTAGTGATAGTGACACACCTTCCAGGGAAACTGTTTTTAGATGAAACAGTTGTTAATTTTCTATTTCCCTTGCGGAAATGTAAACAAAATGTGTGAATACTTACAAAGGACCGAATTAAATTCATGAATGACCATTAAAAGCAAAGAAGTGAACGCGGCCAAACTGTGGATAGATAATTTTGCTTGAATAACACTAATCAATCAAGAACTCTAGAATAGAGCTCCTTGCACCCTTTTGTTAAAACTTACTCTTGTGGAGCAAGGTACCCCGTAAACCGTAACCACAGAACGGCTTGCATACGGATTCGAGAGCATATTATTCTACAGCATAGTTTTACGAGAGAAAAGCGGAAGGTTGTGAGAAGTGCTATTGTAGAATGCTTAGCCGTCGACTTGTGTCACTCAGCCCAACCCTGACCAAATTATTTTAAGATCATCTATAGAATTCATGTTGACTCGCCACTCTTTCTTCGTTTTAAACTTCAACAGAAAACGTGGGTCTAGGCTATTTATCAATTCAAGCTAAACACCTCTGTAAGTATTGACAGTTTTCGCTCAAATTTCCACACCCATTTATTTATTTATTATTGTTTCCTTTAATTCCTAGAGGAACATAGGGCTTAAGCCGTGCGTCTCCATTGCGTTCGGTTCTCTGCTAAAGTTTTCGCCTGGCTCCAAGTCTGCACACACATTTTCATCTCCTCTTCACATCACCTCCTCCAAGTCACCCACCCTCGCACTGACGACCAACTCACCGCTTCCCTTTCGGGTTCCACTCGAGCAATGGTCTGTCGTGTGATGTCACTTGATGGTTTCCTCAGAGTATGGCCAATCCATCTCCATTTCTTCCTGCTTATTTGTTTCACCATCGGTTCCTGGTTGGTTCGCTCATTGCCAGAGATCACTGTTGCTGATCTTTTCTGGCCATCTGATCTTGAGTGTTGAGCGAAGACAACTGTTTGAGATGCTCTTTATGACGCGCTGGCCAAGTCTCTGATCCGTATAGTAGCCCTGACTTCACATTTTATATATACATATATTTTATACGAACTGTGATCAAGATTTGACCGGATAGTTCCACAAAAATTAAAACGCCGAGTAAAAAGTAGTCAAAATAGGTAAAGTCGAGATTCGATCAACTTGAAATGAAATCGAGTATTCCCACAAACAAAGAGAATAAACATTAGAGAAAAAAGTAATGAAGAGGGGTTCAAGAGTAAGGTTCATTTTTTCAGCGATGATGGATGCTTCGATATCGCTATGAAGAGTAACTCTTCTCTAAATGCATCTTATTTTTTCGTATAAATTAATGGGGATTTTCAAACTAGGAAAAAAATATCGCCAAGATAAAATGAGCTAAATTTTACGACACACTAATCACATGATGAAAGATGCCAACCAATAATCCCTATATCATTGCCCTACACGCCCACTCCTCCCCTTAAACTAGGAGGGTTCTGCACAACTTTTCCTGTCCATGTATGGATTTCGTTCTTAGTGAAAATGAGCTGGAAATAATGTTTATTGGTGAAGCTCAACTGAGCAGAACAAATTTATCATGTATAAGGCTAAAAGCCACACACACACACACACTCAACTACCCAGTTTCCCAGAATGAAGTGGGATGGATGAGACACACAAGTCAATTACGACGGCGCAACGCAACACCCTCAAAACCTGAGATACCTCTAGATCTCCTACTTGATACATTTAAACTACCTCCAGTTGATACGAAAGTAAACAAACGGAAATCGCGGAACAAGAAAGAATCTCAACCCAGAAGGAAATCCAGTCGCAAGAAACCCCATACAGTACGATTCCAAGTTGACTCAAAGAAGATGAGGTACTTATTTTATCGTACACGTTCATTTGTTTTCCTTTGACACGGGAGGTGTTACATGGACCTACAAATACTACAGTTACCTCTTCATTGATGACTGTATTTCCCTCCTCAATTTATGACCTTGAAACCCTATTGGTTGCTGACTGTTTTAACTTATCAATGTAATGTGCCTCTCAAGGTTACCCGAAGCATATATATATACGCAAATGCTGTCAACCATTTTCGCTGTTGATACGTGACAGTAAAAGCTCTTTACATCTTGTCTTCTTGCGCCGAGATTTTGGTGGTATCCTATCTTGTTGTTGTTGTTGCCAACAGTAATTAGGAGAGTAGGCTCGAGAATCTAATAAGTGGGAAATTCGTTAGCGCAAGTTATCAAATGTATTAATGATCATATAACATGCTCCATCAGTTGAAAACCTAGGTGCTGAAGCCAGCTTAGCCATATCTCACTTGCGCAAGAGAAGAGAGTAAAGAGAGATTCAAAAGAGAGATAATAAACTCAAACGTAAGGTGAAAAGAATAGTAATATGGAAGAACAATAGAATTTTATTGGATATGATAAATCAAAAAGAGTGAATGCATCTGCGTCACACATTGTGAACGATTTTGAGCGATATCACCAGTTGTCTCCAGCCTTCACTGCTTCTTACCATCCCGAGGCCCCTAACCATACAGGAAGTCTACACCTCTCTACGTGACTGGTTGACTGACTGGCTTAAACTAACTGTTGTGGATTTCATTGACTGATGAAGCCATGTTTTGGTTTGACCATCACTATCTGATTTCCAACCTGATTCTATGTCAGTCAGCTAACATTGGCGGTCGAGGAAGGCGATTGATGGCTAGACAAGCATACGTAACACACATGTCCTAACCATCTCAATCGATACAACTGCCTCACAACCTTGTCGATTGATTTTCCCTCCCAACTGCCTAGCACTCAACCGATGTCTAACCTCAATATCACCCACCTTATCATACCACTTAACACAGGAGAGAGAGAGAACGCAGGCACCCGTCGATGATCAATAACAGCTAGCCAGGCTTTTCATATCTTCCACTTTTAATGGCCATGTCTCGATCACAGCTATAAAGGACAGCAGAGTGGACTGCTGAGCAGTATACACGCTCTTTGGTCGACAGTCAGCTGTAAATATCATGTCTACTAAGCCAGAGATGGCGTAAGTCGGAAGGAGTATGCCAAACGAGCCTTCTGTATCCGTGTTGAGATTTCGCCAGCGATCAACTCGTTAGCGTTGGCTGATGCAACTCTCCAAATAAGTGAAGTGGTCAACACACTCCAGCAACCACTTCACTCCCTCCCTATCTTCAAGCTAGGAGTGAGTCGATGTACTCCAGTCCATTCCTGTAGCATCATCTTACAGCCCAAATGATGAAAATGTAGGAGCTTAATAATAAACAATAAATCTATTATAGTATGTCCAAAATTTTACTTGAAAAATATATAAACCATTAAACAGTTCACAACTTACCACGAACCAGTAGGGTATCCATTTCACCGCTCAACTCTCTCAATGCACCTAAGGCGGCTGCCAGTGCAGCTCGTTTCGCTGCCAACTCTACATGCGAAACACCTCCATCCATGGATAATTCAGTTAGCATTAAATTCAGTTTATCCGCTAATGCATTCTGTTCACTAACCATACCAGTCATTTCTTCAAATCGTGATAGCATAGCACGATATCGTGTAGCTAATTCAACAGCTGTCTTTTCATCAGAATTCTTTTTATCCGATGGATCACTTTGTAAATGGCTGAACAATTTTTCAACTTCATTTGTCCAATCTAATAGATGATGTAATCTAGATTTGAATTAGAGAACAGAAGAAAAATAAAACAAGGTGTTTTAAGTACAACCTATGGGAGACAGAGTACATGTATTACTATAAGTATAGAACTTGGGTATTGTGGTAGAGTATAATCCCATCATACAGTAAATTTATTTGATAAAATCACACAGTTATACAGTGTACTTGATGATAACGTTTCGAGTACAATTTATTTGTTCATACAAGCATATCACATATCGGCGAAGCCTTTAAATTGAAGACAGGAAGTAAGACAAGACTGCCTCCTACACCATCATCAATGATATTCCTAATTGTGGTGGACTGGAGACTGGATCACACGGTGCAGTATGCGCGTGGGGAGCAAGAAATCAGGAATAGACTGGACCGATAAGAAGACTCTAGAAAATCTGGATTTCTCGGATGAATTGTGTGTAATATCATATCACTTGGAAGACTTATAGGCGAAAACCAACAAGTTGGGAGAAGAGGCAGGCAGGTGGTCAGTTGGCGAACACAGGACTTCAAGTGAACACAGAGAGTCTGAATGGTCCTGCTAGCTAGTCTTGTAACCGGAAGGTCCTGAGTTCGAACCCTGGCGTTGGGCGGTTACTGATGAACGAACCCTCCCCCCTATTGAACCAATTACACAAAATAATGTAATCTAAAAAATACCTTGCAATGACTGTGGGGTCACCTACATGGGTCAAACCAGTAGATTGGGAGTGGTGAAATTATCTGAACATAAGAATTTAGCTGATTGTAGAATTACTGCCCCCACGAAAATGAGTAATTTAGAAGAAACTCAGATAACGTCTCTAACTGAAGCACTGTAATGCGTCTACGAATCTCCAAGGAGACATCGTTTGATTAGAGCTTTCCATACACCTGTCAATCGGTGGTGGTAGATAATTCACTAGCCAATCAGGAGGTTAGGGTCAGATTAGCAGCTGACGCACCCCACTAAACCTAGCATTCTCACTTCAAGACTCGAAACCCAATATCCTAACTCGGAACTCAAAAACTGAAGATAAAAGAAAAGTGACTGAAAAAGAACGAGAATAGGTTATCTCTAAGGTGTCCCTCCTCCCCCCCCAGTCATCAACAAATAATGACGAGGGTAGTAAAAAGCATTTAAGAACACATTATTAACTGAATTCATTAGAAAACCTACTTATCATCAAAATCAGCCCATTGTTCAGGTAGATTACGTAATCTAATTGCCATTTTACCGACACGTTCAGACAACAGATTATACTCTTGCTGTAGTTGTGTTGTTCGTTTACCATAGACATTTGAATCCGTATGAAATAGATAAGACATTTGTTCGTCCAATTCACGCATTTCACGTAACAAATCTTCACAGACAGTATTAAACTGAGAATTATTAAACGCCAACTATCAGCAGAAAAACAATGGAACATAAACAAAGTAAACAATTAAAGTAATGATTATAATTTGTTTGATAAAACTAATTCATTACGGGTTTGATCATGGGCCGACAACAGTTAGAGAACCACTGGAAAACCAATAGAAAGTAGTGAATGGAGGTTTCATCCTAGTCTGGGACTCTTCAGCACTACGCACCCACCCAGGACCCACGAGTGACAAGACCAGCTCATCGACCATTCAACCACTGAGACACGATCCAATGACTAGCCCATGAATTCCAAATCCTGTTAATTCTCGATGCAAGTAACGAAAGCGCCAGCGAATTTTATCGGCGAGTAACTGTCCGCTTACCTGAGACTCGATGAACCTTGCTGGTCTTAACTTCTGACTTGTGACTGAGCATCAGATTGTTTTCAAGTGTTGCTCCACTGTAACCAATCAAATCACTGCGGAACAACACTTGAAAAATAACTCATAACAATTCATGTTTTATAAGGAATCGAAGAAAACCAGTCATTCAGTGAATGTTCCACTGGAAACTAAGCACCAAACAGTAGACAATCATAGCCAACCAATTCACTATACTTATGAGGCGGTAACTATTTGTAATTGCTAATAAATGTGATCCGAAACAAACTTGGACTCTTCATCGAGTGTGGGAAGTATGCGATCAAATAGATTTGTCAGCTGCAGTGCCAATACCAGAGGGTCTCTATTTGATCTCAACTTCGTGGTACGGAACCACTGCATTGCTCGCTGCTTGTCGGTTGGTCTGCCGAACTCCGCCACTAATTGTTGTAGCAATAACTTTCACGTCACCCACCCATTCGCCTACTTCACTTTGTCCAATGCCGCCTGCGCCTGACGTCTCAGAAGCATCCCCAGCACAACTGTTGTCGTCGTTGTATCCTGAACGCCCAGTAACTCAGTAATGGATTCGAAGTCTCGCTTCAAGTCTCTGCATGTCTCCCAGTTCAAAAGCTGCAAACCATGCTATCTTTATTTGTCCGTAAGCAGAGACACCAAATGTAACAGCAGAACACAACAGTACTCAGTAGCCGCCATTAAATCCATCCCTCCTCCAATCAATATACTTACAGACGATATATATATACTACTTACAAAATCTTGTCAGTAGAATACGCCACACTAGAAGTGATGTCACATAATCAACAAAGACACTTAGCAAGTTTAACATGAAATTTCATCCAAGATTACATCAATTCACATATGTCACAATCCAACGTATAAATGGCTTGTATGACACTCGCCAAATTACAACATCTGTAGTGTAGATATGATATTTGGTCATCGATTAGTGTGTTTACTGCTCAACAGTCCCTTCCCACCATCTTAATGGCTGTCAAACGTTGGCGTTGAAAGTGGAAGATTATGAAGAGGTTAGCTGTCTTTGACCATAGTCGTTTGTGTTTGGACTCCTGTGTTGGGTGGTATTAGTAGGGTGAGTAAGTAATATTGAGGTTAGTCATACAGCGTAAGGTAACGAGGAAAAACCAGTTCAGTGAGGTTGTGAAGCTAAATCGATCCAGATGGCAAGAACACATGCCCAGCCATCAAATACCTCGATGAGAAAAGTGAGATGACATAAGATTACGATATTATCGAATAAACTCACATAATGTGGAATTATTATTATTCTCTGACCTAAAACAGTATCAAGGTTCTACTGTTTCGTCAAGTAAGTAGTGATGAAAGCATTGTACGAACATCAGTCAGCGATCAAACTTCAAACACAATCGAACCCTTAGGAACTAACACACTTAAAAATTAATCTACAGCCTATTAGGGATTGACTCTGATGAAGATAAAGTTCTCTGGAATGCTGGTGAGAAGTCGTAAACAGTAGGATTGGGGTCCACCGATTCAATCAGGTGTGAGGATAGAAGTCAGAATTCATGGACTGTTGGCATCCATCCCAGAGCATGAATCGTCAACTTGGCCAGCTTGGCTCCGTGTCCTGAAGGTCATGGCTTCGTAGTGCTCAAGAGTCCTAAAAACTAGGACCAAGTAACAGCTGTCCAGTACTCGCTGGTTCTGACATGAATCCGTGATAAAACTCGAGACTACACTCATACACTAACGCTTGAGAAAGAATATTTCTTGACAGAACTGTAAGAGATAGATAGAACCAGAAGGAATGTAGGCGGTGGTAAATGCAAAACTCCTCTAAGAGGGTCTTCGTCAAGTAGCTTACACTTCCTTATGTATTCCTCCTTTATAATTATACTGATCATCAATAAATAGTTGTTCATTCTCACACTTTTTATCTTGCTTCCTATCATTGTTCAGTTTCTTGAAACTATTGTTATTATTATTATTATTGTTATTATTATTATTATTATTAAAGAATTCTATGATTACTTAGATTAGTGCACTAATTATGCAGATGACCTCTCAACGTTTTCAAACACACAAACCGGAACATACACTGACCTCATCAACAGTTTAGATAAGATTGGATATTATCTTGAATGACAGCCAATGTATTGTATGTACGTATGTATGTGTGTATGTGTGTGAAAGAGTGGGAGCGACAGAGGATGACTTATGTGTGAGCGCATAAGAAAAGGAGTGGCCCGGAAGTGACCCCTTTCCAGCAAAAAAATGGTAATAAGATGTGTTTAGAAATGGCTGAATGGTCAAACAGGTTTTCATATATGTGTAAAACTTGCGCAATGTGGCAGTAAGTAATTCCATATTAGTATGTTTATTAGATGTATCACACAACAGTGAAACAGTATTATTTACTGGATGAAACAGTTCCGAACACAATTTATTGTTCATAATCATATCTTCAATTATAATCATACGACTTCGACACTTGACTTTTGTAGATTTACATGTATCTCTCATCAAAATGGGATACATGTGAAGAGGAAGAACAGAAGAAGAAGGCAAAGACGAAGAAGAAGCGGAAATGTCATCAAACATTCGTGATGATATTAGGTGGTTGGAGGCAATCGGCCACAGGAAGCCTTGGACCTAGGTTTCGTGCTAGTTGGCACTCGTCAGTAAGGCGTATCTGCAACCTTGAAGGAACTCATGTCCCTTCTGAGATTCGAACCCGCGTCACCCAGTGCTGCAGTCAGAGACGTTACCACTGAGCTATTCGGGCTCGCGATTGACCTCCTGTAGGACTGTAGTGGATATTTTGATTTGACACTAGTAACTAGTGTGATGCGTCTAGTCCTCTCTTTGGTGCAGACTGAATTCTATCAGTCAGGTTGTAATGGTGCTGACGAGTGCCAACTAGCACGAAACCTAGGTCCAAGGCTTCCTGCCGATTGCCTCCAACCACCTAATATCATCACAAACTATGTACACCGTGATGGCGAGCTACCTAGAATGGTGGCCACATTACAACCTGACTGATAGAATTCAGTCTGCACCAAAGAGAGGACTAGACGCATCACACTAGTTACTAGTGTCAAATCAAAATCATCAAACATTCGTTGATAAACGGCCATTCTAATGTCAACACTATCTATCTGATACGATGAATGCTCAACAGCTTCGATAGATGAACAAGAGATAAGCGAAGGAAGCATATGGTACATAGAATGTCATGTATCTCCTCCTGATGACGTCGGATTGATCATATGTGAGACTTCCAACAAAGTAAACACGTGTAATAGGAATGATTCAACACCTGTCCCAGACGGATATCTGGAAAATTCTACTACCTCTACGACGACAAATAGGAGAGAACAAAGAAAATTATAAAACCAAGCACCTACTACCGAAAGTAGGTATAAACACACAACGAACTTTGCAGTCTCATAGTAATCTTGCAACCTCATTACGCGATGTAAATAGTTCAACTTTTCGGACAATTTTTCACATAAAGCCGTGACACGCTCGGCAACTTTTTCTTCTGGTAAAGTGATGTTCAATTCAAACCAATACTTAAATGGGTCTTTCGATGAATTTGATTTGAATGGAAGCGTAATAGCATTATAAAGCTTCCAAGCCGTAGTGCAGCACATTAACGAAATTCCGGCAGAAGCGATAAAAGAAATCAGGGACATACATGACAGACTCTTTTATCGCTTACGCTGGAATTACTACTGATGATTAAGAACAATAAATTTTGTTCGAAACTGTGTCATCCAGTAAATAATACTGTTTCACTGACTGTGTGATACATCTTATAAACAAATTAATATCAAACAGGTTTTTTTTCAATCCTCAATAGTGTCGTTTGTGGCATACAGCTGAATAGTGCCAAACTAGAACGAAACAGGTTTCCACTACTAATCTCTGCTGCTTTTCAATGGTGCTCTAACTGACATCAATCCGCAATCAAACTTGAAAGCAGTCGTCAAATCCCTACACACCAACTTCAGAAAATTAATAATTTTTTGTGAAACTATGGCGGTTATTGTTATTAACTAGCGGTAGTCTTATTCACATTTTGCATTCCCAGTGGAATATAGGATGGGCATCGTAGTACATCTCCAGTGTACATCTCAGTCCACTACCATCAGCTGGTTGCACGCACGCATGATCTTCTCCATGACAACCCAGGATACTCAACTAGTCGCTTTCCCATGCGACGATCTGACGATATAAGACAACTGACGCAGCTGAAATTAGATTGTTTATATAAGTAATACACAAGTCCAAAGAAATCAAAGGTTAAACAAGTATGGAAAAACTTAAACATTTTTTTACCTCATGATCAGCCAAGATACTAGCCAAACTTTCACCGGATGACATACGTAATTCTTCATCATTCAATAGTCTACTTGTATTCTCCAAGTGTTCACGTAAACGAGCTTCTAATAAGGCATATTTCAGTTCATACTGACGTCGGGTAGCTTTAGACATAAGTTCCTAAAAATAAATAAATGGGGGGAAAGGGAGAGGGAGATGTGAAATCATGCTAAGATGGATGTGTAGTGTGAAAACTCAAAAATTCAATGAAGTGGGTGGGGGGGGGACAAAGGCAATATACTCAATATCTCTCACACTCAAAACTACTTTTACAAAAACATGATAACACTTAAGATAGAAGACGAAACACAAAATTGTTCCACTTTACAACTTTTCAGTGATGAGTATTCTAAAATTCTTACAAGACTACACACAGTTAAACATCATTTATTGTAGTAATGCACTGTTTGGTGACCACCTTAGATACAACTATCATTTAGTTCAATATAAATAACGAAAGGAGATATTGAAGGTGACAATAATAATTTTCAAATGAATATAAAAGTTCGAAGATGTCACATGATGAAAGATGAATGCAGATCATAAAGGGTACCAGCAACAAGATTACATTAACACTAGTTGCGTAATAATTGTCATCCTTAAATTGAATTAGAAAATGAATCAAAGATCCCATTTCTGGGTGTAGAATTGAAAATAAAAACAGTTACTGATGAGACTCTGAAGATTATCTATGCGCACAGAAAACCATTATGGAATGACCAACTAACAAACTTTAATAGCTGGATACCTGTGTGACGTAAAAAAAACCCAGAATGTTTTGCGGAGAAGAACATGAAATCGAAGTCAAAAAGAGACGATTACAGTTCAGTTGAAAGGAAAATACTTCATGGGAGACTCAGCTACAGATATCCAAAAGAGAAGAACCTGTAGTCCCTTAAAGAAGACCTCTGCTGCAGCAATTCGAAGAGTTGATATTCTCTACCCACCTACTGCTTCTAAGCAACATGAAGGAACAACTCCCGCATATCACAGCTCTAATGTGTATATCAATTCATCTACTCCTGTGGATCTAGGTACATAAGTTCATTCTGTGTGCGTACTTTCAAAACGTGTTAAAGAACTCTTCACATTATGGCTGCAAAGAGGCCGGACTGGTTCAGTCAGAACCACTATAATTGAACACCTAGTTAACACACCTGTCACTCACAGAATCTCAAATGACTCATCGAATTTAGAGTCATTTACAAAGTGAACAAAAAAAAATCTGTCAAAAGCAATGCATTTCCAACTTCTTTGTACTGCACAAGCCCTCGCCATATGCATTGAAAAGCCAGAGCCATGTGTTCAAAAATGTCTAGTCCAACCTTTACATTTACCATGGATCTAGTTAATTCTAACTCCTTAGTTTTCGTTCAAATGTTTTTTTTATTTCCCTCATCTTTGGTTATAAAAACTATTATTTCAATTCTTTTCCATGCACACCCTGTCCGTACCAGTCTTCGTTAAAAACTATTTCACACATAACACAACTATCTGGTTAAGCAAGGGACAAACAAAGGCGAAGTTAAAGTATCAAAGCCACAGGCAAGGTCTTTCAAGGTTGATCCTGAAGGACCAATCAGATTCGTCGAACGCTCGTGAAGGTCATTCCAAGCAGAAAATATGCCTGCAAATTATGTGGAGATGGAGCATTTATTTATTGTGTTAATAATATATTAATTGGAGTGACTAAGAGTTGTGTTTGTGCAGATATTATGACGCTAAAGCAATGCAACCTTGTTGGAGATAAATACTGCTATAGATGTAATTCATGTCATAAGAGAAAATCTGTTAGTGAGGGTAACTGCAGTATTTTACTTATTCCTCAAGTACTTTTTTCTCCAAATTTAGGATGCCTTATATACTGTTGGATTTCACAAAGACCTATAAGGTCAGTGGCAGCTGATACAGAAAATAGCCAGGCCTCGATGGCGCAATGGTATCAGCACTGTAGAGACATAGCGTCATGGAAGTTACAAGGGACTACTGGTTGTCTTGGAGTAGCAGTTGTTCACATCGATGAAACTGCTCATTAGGAAGAAGTATAACTGGGGAAGGAGAAGGGCAAATCAAGTGCGGATACTTGGAATCTATGACTTCGTTTCGCGAAGGTTTCGCTGAAACAATGCGAAATAGAAGTGCAGCAACTTTAATTCCAATCATTCAGCGCTTGGTATTGCCAGAAACAACCATACATTTTGATGAATGAAGGGTATATAACCAACTGTCATCGTTGGGTTACATTCACTATCGTGTCAACCATTCCTCCAACCTCGGGTAGGCATACTAATTGTATCATAGGATTCTGGGGGAGATTGAAGAAAAAAATCAGGAATGTCAATGGATCGCAAAATACCATGGTATTTAGCCACATCGATGGATACATGTATCGAGTATGGTATGGTTTCTCTGGTGATCATCCTTGGAGAAACTGGTAGACATTTTTAGAACATATTAGGGACCACTCTCCAGTTTAATAACATTTTTCTAACGCTTTTAATACATATTTTTAACGATTTTAAGGGTTTTTTTGGCATCTCGGTTCTGACTGGTTGTTCAAGGTCACTTCAGTTTGTCTATGATAGTTTAACTTCGCCCGAACAGGATCCCTTCGTAGCTCTGCTTTAGCACACCTTGTTGACAGTGAGCATAAAGTTGACTTTAATACTGCATTTAAAGTTATTTACCACATTTCAACTAATCTTAGTTTTGCTCCAGGAGTTCATCTTCTACATACAAAGCTGAATGAAGTCATAAGAATCCACCTGAAGAAGCCAAACCTCTGTATATATATGTGTGTGTGTTCGGAAGCCACTTTCCTAACCATTGGCCATCGTTACATGAGTGCATAAACTTGACTAACTTCCCCCACCGCAGTAAGCCTTTTGAAAAGTAAATACTTCTTTACTCAGTCTTTTTGTCTTCTATATGTCTAAATGGGGACTTTCTTCTTCTTCCTCTATATTTTCTAATTCTAGGTAATTTTGTTCACATGCCTGTTGTGATCTGTTAATCCAGACCTTGTAGCTTAAAGGAAACTTATGAAGAGAATTAGTCAAGCATTGTATAAGTACAGTTTTATCCTCTCATCTTTCTTGGTCCCTTCATATCCTGTCTGTTTCTAAGAAAATGTTCCGTCTAACCAAATACACTGAAAACTCAAGACAGTTCGGAATTACACAACCTCTACTTTTAAAATATTTTAACTCTTCAGTCCCATCAATTATTCTTTGTCGCTCCACCTTAGTCTTTCCTGGGCCACTCAAAAATATTGCGAAGGGCATTAAAGGTTGTTAGTGGGGTAAGTTGTGTGCCACCACTAAGTCAGTTCGTTTCTATCATAGCCGACAGAGACCTAAACTCATGTGAGAAATGGGTCTAAATCCATATTGTCTAACTCTCAATACCCTCTCTTTGCATCTCATCTGGTACGACCAGAATTCATTATAGAAGACTATATGCTCTCACAACCAAGTATAAGAACTCAACCATACCCTATTTGGCCTGCTCGTGTTCTATGTCATAGAGATAGTGTCAAACGTGAAACCCACGACTTACTGTGTATTTAGCATAAAAAATGGCTCAGTTATTCTCCCATATTTGTAATCATCTATGGTGACACTCACTATCCCCACGATCTTATAATTTCGTGTTATTAATACTAATATTACTATTCTTATCATTTGGGCATTTGTACATCACTTTGCCCCTATTGTTTCTGCTAATGCCAAATGTTGCTGTTATCCATCAGTTTTGGTCAAGTGTACCTTGTAATGGACTTTTTCTGTTGTTGTTGTTGTTGTTACTGTCGAGTAAATTAGATGCAGTATTGTACAAGATGCTGAAAACTGCACACTGCATGTATCATAAGTACTGTTTTTAGAATAAATCATCATTATTACTATTATTACATTCACAGAGAGAATGGGTAAAAGTTGCTCGCAGCATCATAAAGAACAGTTGTGAGCCATCGTTTGGCAATTTGAGCTTATTTTTCTTCAAGAAGCAGTCAGATATCATCACTGACACTAGGTATAGGCTGCTGATTAGTGGACATTCCACTGGAAGAAACAGTAAAGACATCAATGTCTCTACGAAGAAGAACTCTAATCCAGATTCTGGATATGGATTGTTTGTTGCCCAGCTTTCAGGAGTGTAACGTTGAAAGGCCGACTAATGATCCTAAGAAGGAGTCACGTCTATTCAAATCCACTCCGTATATCGTGTGCGGGAGAACATTTTTCAGATTAATGTGTGAGGTTTAACGATAGAGACCTCAAAGAACGTTCAGACTTCGATTCCAAGAGAAAACTATGCAACATTCGTTTAAAGGCAAACCATATGACAAAGAGCTGTTGGTCTTCGAGAGCTGTACGATTGCAGGTTGTGGTTGGAGACAGCACACATTGCTACATAGAGGATAAGGATTATCCGAGGATATGAAAACCGATGTGCACATCCACCCCCTACAGTGTAGTGATACGAACTTGTACATGACTATGACGAGTGATGTAGCGTTCGCTATAAGTACCCCTTTTAGCTAGATTATAACGGTAAAGTTGTTCAAACCGGTGCATTTTTGGATAGTGAGTCAGATGCAACACTCGTTGCAGAGTATCTGGCAAGGGAATTAGGTTTAGAAGGAACAACTAAGAAAGTATTTTTTCTGTTGTTATTGTTTTTGTTCAGTGAATTGGATGCGATATTGCATAAGATGCTTAAAATTCAACACTGTATGTATGAAGAGTACTGTTTTAGAATAAAGCAAGTTATTATCATTACGTAACCTCTCTTTTGACAAGGATTCCGATTCATGAAATTTGTCGATATTGCCTGTCAGCATTCCGAACAGTGCTCCCCTTTTCCCGATGTCGGAATTTAAACGCCTACTACTAATGTGCACTATGGATCTGTACAGTTTCAATTCGATAAAATACCCTACTGTATAGACATTAAATTATTATTAAAAAATTATATATTCACACCTTTCATATCAAGTTGAAAATTACTATCACATTTAACCTCTCTTTGTTATTACATTCAATTAATTATAATAATTATAACTAATGTGAACTTATGTATATAAATGCGATTGCACAGATGCTTTTGAGCATGTAATCGCAGAAAAAGATATCATCTTTACTCTGAACTTCTTGTTCTTTTCTCTCTTCAATGACTTGATGAATATTTTCCACGATTTGATGACTTACTAACAAAACTTTTTTGAATTAAGACGTAAAAATGACGATAATATGCTTACATAGATGATTAGTTTGAACTGTCAGTAAAATAAACTACTGAGTAGTTCTCCTTTACCATCGATTTCAGAACTTTCTAACAAGGATGAATATATATCTGCTGAGAATATAACTACTGAAAAGTGTAATTAAGTAGTTTAACTTGTTTAATGCAATTAGTAGACATGTAGCATTGTATACGAGTTAAAGGTGAGGGGTTCACGACGCCTCAGTTCAGTTATGATTAGTTAGATCACATGTGTACAATCTTAGGGAATTTATGCAGCACATTATTTTTCCTTCTATTCTTTGAACTCGGAGCGCACTTCAAGTTACAAAGTTTCATTGGCGGTGTTGTTGTTGCTGTTAGTGGAGGAGGGTTGGTAGTCTCTCACGCATAACCCCGCCTCTCTTACCCAAATTCACTACCGGCGAGTAAACTAGATAAGGTTATGGCAGAGGACGCCCGTCGGGAATCGAACGTGGACGATATACATGGTTGATGATCATTCGAACCATTGAACTACCAAAGCATTCTTGATATTGAAAAAAATGCTCAAGAAAACGAGTCGTTCGGCCTGTACAAATGACTCCACAAGAGAGATTAAATTGAAAATATATATACATTGAAGTAGCCAGAATTCACAGATTATTATTATTCACTTGCATTCAAATTATACATGTTTCAATAAAAAGCGTTTCTTCAAGTGTTGGTTTTCAAGGACTTGACTGGTTTCAGGATTTCATCATGAGCTGACATCGGTTAGAGAACCATTTAGAAACCAACTAGGAGTACTGGACAGCTATTTGTTCCTGGTGCTTGGGACTCTTCAGTAGTACACACCCACCACCATGGTCCGAACCCAGATCCTACCGGTTACAAGGTGAGCTCGCAGACTATTTACTCACTGGGACCCGATTGAATGGTCAGCTCATGAATTCCAACTTCTGTCAATTCACGATATAGCGTGACCACTAGCCACTGTTATCGGTGTCAAGTATTTGTCTATACGCTCAACCTGCTGTACTCCACTAGTCAGGATTTCCCACTAGAACCCATGTAACCACCTACCTGAATAGGGTGACATTCGCTAGTGTTCGTGCCATGTCATGAATTGGCAGAAGTTGGAATTCATGGACTGGCCATTGAATCGAGTCCCAGTGGTTTAATGCTCTACGAGCTAGTTCGCCTCGTAACCAGAAGGTTGTGGGTTCGAACCTCAGTGGGTGCATGTCGCTGAAGAGCTCCAAGCACTAGGACGAAACAACTGTCCAGTACTCCTTGCTGGTTTTCCAATGGTCATCTAACCGATATCAGTTCATGATGAAGTGCTGAAGAAAATTTTCAACTATTGATTTTCTAAGTCGCAATGCCGTAAAACTGTGACGTCAAATACTAACGTTTGCCTTTGCCTCTCTAGCCAGATGAACTTGACATGTGAATGACGCTGATAGCGGTTGCGGGATACTGCACTCAGTAGTGTGGAATCACATTGCAAATCACTTCACAGTTCAACGACGTCGAAGGCTTCTTCAAAGTCGATGACATGTGAACTAATAATAATAATGCCATATACGCACCTAATGTTTAGTTATAAAAATCAGTTACACAACCAAAAAGGAAATAGTAAAAACAAGATTGACAGAAACAAAATCACTTACATCGAATCGATCTCGATATCTAGTCACTTGATTAGATGCTTCTAATATCACATTCATACTAACATCATCTGGATGAATTGTTGACGTCGCTGAGTTCTCTATCAAGTCTTCTGTATTACCTGTAAATAGTTCTACCATTTTATCATAAGTTCGATTCAATTCAATGAGACATGTTTGTCCAGTTGTTTGTGTTCGACTCAGGAAAGCTTCATGTTCACTTAGCTTATCCTGTATAATTTCTGTATTGGCTAATTCTTTCTCTAATTCTAAATTAATATCCAATAGCAGTAGACGTTCAGCTTCATTCAGCCAATCAGAGAGATTTGTCAGAGCATATGAAAATGACTCTTGAGCTGATTTGCGTTTATCCAATTCACTTTCAAAACATTTGGCTACAGCACGCATAGCCTTTAATAATATAGTGAAAGAAAACAAAAGAGAGAAGATAATTAGTGAACTGAAACAATTTACATAATTTAAACTGATTGATTAATTACTCTTCACAAAAAATCCACAAAAGTATACAGTAAGTATCTTTTCGCAGGTTATCTCGTGACCAACACTACACTGTCTAAACGCGGTCAGAGTGGTCAGAGTTGACATCAGCTAGAGAACCACTGGGAAACTAGTGAGTACTGAACAGCTGTTTCGGCCTCATTTGGGAGTCTTTGGCAATACGAACCCACAAGAATTCGAAATTAGGACCTTCCGGGTACAAGGTGAGTTTGTAGACCACTCAGACACTGGGAACTGATCCAAATGGCCGGCCCATGAATTCCAACTTCTGTCAATTCGCGATGCATACAGTGCAACCCACCACCAGTCAATGTGAAAGGTGAGTAACTCTCCACTTACCGCATTTGGTGAACTCCGGTGGTCATGACTTCTCATTAGAACTCCAGGCAAATTCCTGTACAGAGCCATTCGCTAGTGAGTGAGCATCAGATATTAATTTTCAATTGTTGTTTGGCAGGGATTCGATTGGTTACAGGTTTCGTTATGAACTGAATTCATTTAGAGAACCTTTGGAGTAGTGGACAGCTATTTTGTCCCAGTTCAATCTAATTAATCTGATGCTCATTATCGACTGGCTCTACAGAGGAAGTTACTTAGAGTTCTAGTGAGAAGTCGTGACAGGCGGGATCCACTCAGTCAGGTGAGAGAGCAGTTACTCCCAGATGACATTGGTTAGAGGTGGTGCTGTGTACATATATATCACAAATTGACAGAATTTGGAATTCATGAGCCGTTGGATTCCTAGTAGCTGGGTGGTCAATGAGCTCACCTTGTAACCGGAAGGTCTTGGGTCCTCTGTTGAAGACTCCAAAAACAAGGATGAGACAGCTATCCAGTACTCCGTGGTGGTTTTCCACCGGTTCACTAACTGATATCAGCTCATGATCGATCAACATGCAACACATTTCAAGCAATTTGATCACTTGTCATAGGAGTTTATATGAAATCAATGAAGCGTTAAGACGTGAGAGAATAAACAGAGATAAAAATAAATGGCTATTATTCAAAGGTCAAAATAACAATGGAGATGGATGACCAATTAACCTACGAAGGAGGGAGGGATAACAGAACATCTATAATGGTTTCAAAGAATACTTAGTGGGATGAAAAATGTGTTTTGGAACACATAAAAGGTGGTTTAAACTTCCTAATCCCTCTAGCGCTTCCACAAACTTTAGGATACGCTCCAAACATGTTTTGTAGGTAGGTTTTAAACAGGTATAAACATCAATTTTAACTACTGCCTCTATGATATGTTTCACAATGGAAGAACTAGGTCGTCTGTTTTCCCTATGAAATGGGATTAAGGGACATAATAGAGAAGATTTGTAGCTCAGGTGGATGATCTTGGTGTGGTTGTGTTCTCTGAGCTGGGATTAAGGGACACAATTCGCTTCCGAAGTCATTTAGAAGGATATGTAATGAAGCCCTTAATTGCAGAGATCAGTGAATCCGTCCTCTGAATGCGTGTGATCACAGGTATTTTATTATTATTGTTCCCTTGGTTTCGAGTGGAACACACAACTTTAACACCACAACATCATCACTGTGCCCTGTTGTCTGCATTCCTATTTAGCTGGTTCCATGATTGTTCATCTCCTCCTCCTCTTACGATCTTTTCCATTTCACCCTCGAACCCACACCCAACTTCGTTATCTTCCACTCACCTTCAACTCGAGCTAGAGCCTGGCGCACGATGTCATTCAACGGTCTCCTCAGAGTTTCTCCAACCCATCCCCATTTTCTTCAGAAGATTTTTTGAGCAATAGGCTATTGGTTGGTTCGCCGCCAGAGTTTCTTGTTGCTAATTCTTTCTGACTATCTGATCATCAGTATCGAAGCACAGAAGGCAGTTGTTCATGAAAATGTGCACGAGCCTGTTCGAAATGCTTTTCATGTGACGTAGTATAGTAAGGTCTTCTGAACCATATAAAAGAACTGACCGACTTAACAATAATGTTGAAAACCCGAATTTTATAGATTTCTAAACTTATTTCAAAAAGGCCTGTCTTGTGCCTTTGACATCCTCATCCGTACCACAGCCTGTAGTTGGAACGACGCTGTCTGGTCAGATAAGTGAAGGTAGCGACCTCTTCCAAATTTCCCCCGTTGACAGAAAGAGTGAGTGATGACCACACGTACATTTAATTAAATTGGTAGATACAGTAGGATGATAGGTTGCAAGCCATAGGATTATCAATGAAATATATGCTTCTGTAACGGTCTTCTTAAAACCTACAACACTTCTGCTCTCCTCTTTCCTTCTTCCCTCCTACACTTAATCATTCAATCTCCATCATCATCACCTTGTCATCCTACTGCCCCGTCCATCCAACTCATACAACCCTCTGTGTGTGTGTGTGTGTGTGTGACTATGATAACAATACTTTTCCCTAGTAACAAGTTATATTATTTTCAAGAACTAGTTTGGAGAGATTCTGTTTGCTTCAGGCTAGACCATGGATTGATATCAGTTAGAGAACCATTGAAAACCAGCCGCAGGGAGTACTGGACAGCTGTCTTGTCAGTCTAGTTTGGGATTCCTATCCCGCAGTACTTACCCACGACACAGGGTTTCGAACCTAGCACCTTTCGGTCACAAGGCAAGCTACCATTCACCCACTGGGACCCGACTCAATGGCCAGTCGCGTTCACGAATTCTAAATTCTACCAATTCTACCAATTTTAACGCAAGTTATATTGTGTTACGGCTAACTACCCCTCATCAATCGATTTATCGTTACATTATCATCACTCAAGTAATTTATTTCTCTAATGTGAGTAGTGTTTTTCTATATGTAAGTGTGAGTGTGAGAGGAAGAGGGAGGGATAGAAGAGTTAAAAAAAGTAAAAATCAAAACATAGAAGTTGATTACTACTCATTATATATATATATATATATATATATATATATATATATATATATATATGCCTATATACATATGTAATAATAACAATAAATACTAATCGCATTAAACGATATAACAGCGGAAGTGTCAGGACGAGAATTAGTGAATTAGTTAGCCAGGTAGGCAGGCAGGCAGGCAGACTGCCTAGTCGGATTGTTCTAATCTTTCAGTTATATACGAGGGGACAGGTTACAAAGAATAAATTATAATATTAAAATCTTTACGATTCACTGAATTTATCAACGATTAAAACAAAACAAATTTTTTTAAAAACCTGTTGCTTTCTGTATTATTGTTGAAATTATTCTTCCATGCTTTGATAATTTTTATGCATTATAACACTATTATTATTATTATTATTATTATTATTATTATTATTATTATTATTATTATTATTATTACAACTACCTCTATTTAGGCAGCATACATTCAAAGTATCTATGGAATTGTGAAGTAAGAGTGAGATATTATTACACGATGATTGGGAGAATCGAGATGCTTTCATCAAAGATCAAGTGACTTTTAATGAAATATGGATTAGCTTTCAACAGACAAGATATAAAGAGTAAAATAATTGATGGTGAAATGATAATCTGGGATGGGGGAGGGGAGAGGTGGAGGGTACAGGGAGGAATCACAGCAACATTCAAACCAACAATCTCTGTCAGTTCAACTTGGATCACAGACTGATATCGATTCGAGGAGTACTGGACAGCAAGCGGTTTCGTCCTAGTTTAGGACAACTCTTCATTCAGTAGTACTACTCATGTATGATGACACTGAGGATCGAATCCAAGCCCGTTGACCATTCATCACAGACATTTTGTCTGGAATTCAATGTGACCCATGGTATAGCGCAACTTTCGCCAGTACCTTCGATGAGTATCGACTTCATCTTAACATAGTGGACCCTCCGGGACCCCCAACCCCCCACCCCAACTGGTCACGACTTCTTACTACCTATAGCTCTTCAGGACATCCATCCATTGAGTAGTAATCAATGAGGTGGCAATTGATATTCAGATAACGAGATATGTAAGGATTTGTGTGAATTAAATTTTAATTGCTAGATTTCTTCACGAATTAACAACTTGGTGTGCTACTGATAAGATTTATAAGTAGTGTATATATAAATAGATGTTCATCGGCATTAAACATCAAATATCAGGGAGACACATTTGATGTCAGAGAAGGGAAATGGCACAGTGTTGTGGAGATACATGGGAGACGTGAACGGAACACAAAGAAACACAATACGAAGGAAAGCCAGAAGTAGTAACACCACACGGAGATCTGTGCAAATTATGAGTTATTACACTAGACCAGAGAAGAATAATCTACCAAGTGAGAGACGATAACCAATAACCAACAGAGGGTTTTATATTACTAAGCCGTCATGTAATCCGCTGACATGTCACTGCTACAGACAACATGGTATAGCCGAGGATAGGTAGGCTTTGACTATCCTCTCTAAATGCTGTCATGATGCCACACGTCCATAGCCTCCATCCCGTAAGCCCTATTGTTTTTCCTTCACGCCACTGTGGGGTGAAAGGGAGAACGAAAACGTTCGACGCATACAAAAGAACCGGTGGACATCCAGGTTTACCTAGGAGAAGTGGAAAACCCTAATTTCTAACCTATGGTGTACACGGAACCCAAAATCCAAAAGGATCGAATAGCGTATGAACGTGTTTCAGCCACCGGAAACCATGAGGACGTAGCTAGTCCACTTCAAGTCAAAGGGTTGGGGAGTGATGCGGGCGGTATCCGAGCTCTCACAGAAACTGTGAGATTTTGTGTAGAGTATCTCTTGGTGCCTCCATTTCAACTCCCATACATCTCTGAACGCAAATACACACACGCACACACTCAGTTCAATGGTTTGAATTACTGTCCTTACATATTTCAAGATTATTTCAGTTTTCATTGATTGGTAGCTGGAATGTAACTGGTGGAATTCTATCAGTCAAGTTTGCAATATGGTTAACAAGCTAGATAGTGACTAACCATTGCTGTGCCCTTTCATCATAATCGATGTTAGATAGTTGACAGATAGAATTTGGTCAGTGTCAACACCAAGAACTAGATGCATCGTATCATTTTACTACTATCTAGTGACTAGTCAATATATCTTTACAGTCGTACAGGAGATCGTCAGTCGTCATCCTGAATAATCCAGTGCAAACGTCTCTGACTTCAGCACTGGATGATGCGGATTCGAATTTCAAACAGAGGCGGGACATTAGTTCCCCCTAACGATTGCAGATACGTCTAGCTGTGATGGGTGCTAACAAGTACCAAACCTATTTTGCATCCAAGGATTTCTTACCCGAGAATTTATGTATGGCAAACTTTATACACCAAAAAATAGCATTTTCTGGAGTGAAATCTACTCAACTTATCACATCAAGTATACTGAACCACGACCCAAAAAGTAATCGAACAAATTTCAATGAAGATAACTGAAAGGTATTTAACATCATCTACTTTTAATTCTATTGATTTTTCACTAACAGACAACTTTGTAACAGTAAAACTATTAAATAGGCCGTTAGTCAAAAGATCAGATACGATGGACAAGATTTGTAGCTCAGATGATGAAAGGGTATTGGAGTTCCCTGAGCTTTCAGGTCAAATCCCTGCACACTAATGCACACTGGAAAATTAATCTGATGCTCACTACTGACTGACTGACTGACTGACTGACTGACTGACTGACTGACTGACTGACTGACTGACTGACTAACTGACTGACTGACTGACTGACTGACTGACTGACTGACTGACTGACTGACTGACTGACTGACTGACTGACTGACTGACTGACTGACTGACTGACTGACTGACTGACTGACTGACTGACTGACTGACTGACTGACTCTATAGGACGAAATTGCTTGAAGTTCTAGTGAAAAGAAGTCCAGTCCATGACTAGTGGGGTAAGGAGAAATACCCACTGATGACACAGGCCGGCGGCAGTCACGATAAAAACTGACAATTGACAGAAGTTAGAATTTACAGGTTATTGGATTCCAGCCCAATTGGCTGAATGGTCAATAAGCTATACCTCATAACCTGAGATCCCAGGGTTGTGGGTACGTACTGCGGATGAATCCCAACCTACTAGAACGAAACAGCTTTCTAGTAATCCGTGCTGGTTTCCAATGATTCTCTAACTATTCTCAAACCATGACCAAACTTGAAACAAATCAAATCCAATACAGTCCTACAGGAGGTCAGTCGCGAGCCCGAATATCTAGCTCAGTGGTAACGTCTCTGACTGCAGCACTGGGTGACGCGGGTTCGAATCTCAGAAGGGACATCAGTTCCTTCAAGGTTGCAGATACGCCTTGCTGATGAGTGCCAACTAGCACGAAACCTAGGTCCAAGGCTTCCTGCCGATTGCCTCCAACCATCTAATACCAAATCAAATCCTTACAAACCAACTGTTGAAAAATAATAATAATAATACAAGTAGATTAGAGGATGAGGAAACACCCAGTAATAACCAGGAGAGAAAGGCTACGAAAACTCTGCAAATTGACGCCATCCACCTCAGGAGAAGACAACTACATACATAAACTCTTGGGCTCAAAAACCAAAAATAAAAGATAAGAAATTCTTCAGTTGCTCAGCAAAAAAAACAAACTCTGAAACAATAACTCACTTCTACTTTACGACGAGCTTCAGCTGTTGCCAATTCTAACTGGCTAATATCAACATGTTTTACACCGGACTCTTTCAAATCACTCAAACGTTTCTCAGCTTCAACCAGTGATTTTTCGTGTTCTTCTAATGCCATAAAATGACTCTAAAAGTAAAAAAAAGATTGAAACAGAAAAAACCAAAATAAATTATTTTTTTAAAGTTGGGAGAAACGATAAAGTAACACTTTGAAATAATGTTGAAAAGCAACTAAAGAAATCAGTACAGTTAGTGCAGATGAAAGTTATTCACAAATACGTGTAATCAGTCTTTGGGTCATACAAAGTCACACTGAAAATGATAACTAGTATGATATCAAAACACATACCACTACTAATAATTTCAACTGTGAGCATCTATCATCCCTAGGTGAACTTATAACAAAATAAGGCAAGTACATGAAAAAATTATTACTTCCCATGACTTTTTCTAAGTATCGGTTTGCGGTTCAATCATGACCTGACATTAGTTAGTGAATAATTCGAAAATCTGCGAGCACTGGACAGCTGTTTCGTCCCCCTCCTTTAGGAGTCTTCATCAGTACGAACCCACCGGGCGGTGTTTGAACCCAGAACCTTCTGGCTAGAGCTCTTAGTCATTCAAAAACTTGGACCCGGTCCAAAGGCCCGTGATCTAAACTCCTCCCAATTTATAACATGCAGCGCAATCGCCAGTTCATGATCCAGTCAAATTCCTAAAAACTAACACACCAGAAAATTAATCTGATTCTCACCAAGAACTGGCTACAGTGAGAAGTCGTGAACACTGGGTTCCACCAGGTCCATCGCCAGGTTGACTACTCGCTGATGACACTGGCTAGTATTAGTATTATTGTATCCTTTAATTCCTAGAGGAAAATAGAGCTTCAGCCGTGCGCCTCCATTGCGTTCGGTTCTCTGATAGAGTCTTCACCTGGCTCCAAGTCTGTCCACACGTTTTCATCTCCTCTTCACATCACCTCCTACAAGTCACCCATCCTCGCACTGACGACCAACTCGCCGCTTCCCTTTCGGGTTCCACTCGAGCAATGGCTTGTCTACTGATGTCACTTGATGGTTTCCTCAGAGTATGGCCAACCAATCCATCTCCATTTCCCCCTGCCTATTTGTTTCACAATCGGTTCCTGCTGTGTTGGTTGGTTCGCTCATTGCCAGAGATCCCTCTCTGTTGCTGATCTTTTCTGGCCGGCCATCTGATCTTGAGTACTGAGCGAAGACAACTGTTAATGAAGGTCTGTAGTTTTTTCGAGATGCTTTTTATGACGCGCCAAGTCTCCGATCCGTATCGAGAGTAGCACTAACTTCACATTGGAGTTGAAAATCCGCATCTTAGTTTTGATTCTGAGTGTTGTTGACCTCCACACAGACACACACACACACACACACTGGCTAGTGGTCGTGCTAAAATCCTTAATTGGTACAGGGTAACATTCATAAGATAGATATTGGATTCCATCCCGGTGGATTGTAGCTAAAATTCACTGGGTTCGAAGCCTGGTGGTGGATGTATGTTACTAAGGTTGCCCCAACTGGAAGGAAACAGATGTCTAGTACTCCCTGGTTTCCCAAAGCTTCTTTAACTGATTTCAGTTCATGATCCAACCTGAAACCGATCAAATTCCTGCAAACCAGCACTTGAAAGACATCGTTTTCATAACTATGCAATTGCATTCATGTAAACAGACAATAACAAGTAGTTTTGTTTTGTGTGTGTGTGTGTGTGTGTGCGTTTATGTTAAAATTTTACGGTGAGAAGAAATACTTATATTGCAACATACAGAAGATAATGACCCAGTGGCTTTTCATTCATCCTTTGACACAGTCTACAACGTTCCAAAAAAATTTGCTCAAAAGGACACTAAAGCATCTGATTTCATTTACCTAACGACCCACGACAATACTCGTGAGAGGCAAAGGTGGACTTCCCGAGTCATTCTATCAATGTAACTCTCGCCACAAGAGCTGTCAAATTTATAAACGCACACTGAAGTAGACAACCTCGGTTGCTCAGCCTTCACCTTCATTGGAATTATACAATGCATTGTGGATTTTAAACACAATGTTGAGACAAAGAATGTTTTAGCTATTACTTTTCTTAGTTTCAATGCCAGTAATGCAGTAGATGCATCTCTTTTGAACTCCGTATAATACTGTCATCTGACCTTCTTGTTAGTAGGAACATCAAGCAATGACTGGTTTCAACATAGAACTTTGCACAGGTGTGCATCAGTTCCAGGTACCACATTCCCCTCTTGTGGCACACACAACGCATGAGAAGAGAGCAAAGACCGATTCAGAAGACGGATAATAAACAGAAATATGCGGGAAAAAGAATAGGAACATGGAAGAATCCATCTGCCCCATCATCGAGAACGATTTTCAGCCATGTCATCGAAATCAAGCAATCGACCCACCCCAAACCCTAAGTCTTCCCTTAGCCTATATGTTTGTATCAAAATTGAAGAATCGTCCACTCAAATATGCAATCAACTGTAGACAGATGGACAACCCTTTTATCTGGCATATGAATAAAATCAATGTTAAAATCCTTCTTAAACCGTTCAATATGCCTCAACCGCAAGTTAGGTTTACGTATCAACAAGAAGAAAAATGACAGTAGTGTATCATTCTTTCCATTATCATATCAAGTTGATATGATATGATTATGAGCAATAGTTTGTGCTCGAAACGTCATCAGTAAATATTACTGTATAACACTGTGAGACTCTATCAAAATAAAAATTTACCCGTAATGGAATTACACTCTACCACAGTGCCCAAGTTTTATTCTTATATCAATGTATCATTGTTTGCTGTCTTGCTTTTGCAATACATAACATGCCTCAGAAACTTTTTGTACAAAAACAAATTGTACGATCTCTGTCATCAGTTACTATGGTCTTAATTTTATCATGTGATTCATGAAACCTTTTTATTCCATGTTGTTCCACTTTGTTCTGTTTTGTTTTATTTTCACATTGTAACATTTTATCTATTTTATTTTTATTGACGAGACTTAACTCATCTTTATCTCTCCATCTTATTCGCAATGGAAAATGACAAATTCATGATTACTTATTATTCCCTTGGTTTCTGAGTGGAACATAGGGAGGGCTTTAACAACACATCTTCACTTTCTTCTATTCGCTGATCTCCTCTTCAACTGGCTAGCTCCACGATTGACCATAATCTCTCATCTCCTCCAACTCATTTCACGATCTCCTCCATGTCACCCTCCAACCAACGACCCACTCGTCGCTTCCCATTCACCTTCCACTTAAGCAATGGCCTGCATTGAGCGAGATGTCATTCGACGGCCCCCTCGAAGTATGCCCCACCGATGCATCTCCAATTTCTCCTACATATTTGTTCAGCAATCGGCTCTCGCCTGTTGATTTGTTGCCAGCCAGCCAGAGTTTCTCGTTGCTAATTCTTTCTGGCCGGTTGGCTGGCCATTCGATCTTCAGTATGGAGCCAGCTAGCGAAGATGACAGCTGACGGTTGGTGAAAGTCTGCCTAAGACTGTTGAAAATGCTTTTCGTGAGGCGCGCACCAAGTTTCTGAACCATATAGAAGAACTGACTGACTGACTTCACATTTGTATTGAACAGAATCCGAATCTTGTTGTTTATGCTGGCTGGCTAAGTTAGAGCAGAAAATTTCCAAACTGGTTTCAGGTTGGTTGATGAAAGCGTATCTTACCTTTCCGATTCTAGCTGGCTGGTTGGTTGGCTTTTACATCTTCATCCATGCCGTGTGTCTGTGGTTGAAACCGTGATTCCTAGATGGATAATTGAAGGAAGTAACCTCTGAAAAATCTCTTCCGTTGATGATGATTGGTGCTGGTTGTTGTTATTGCGGTTACTTGATTATCTGCATCCCCTCTGTCATCTCTATGTTCGCCTGGACTCCTGTCTTAGCTGCATGCCAGCCTCTTCTGACAGTTTGTTGGTCTTTATTTGCAAGTCTTAGAGTTTGTGTAAAATTAAACATAAATCATCCACAGGCGAAATCCAGATCTCCTAGAGTCTTCTTATCGGTCAGTCCAACGTATTCCTGTCTTCTCACTCCCAACGCACAGTCTGACGCATAATCCAGTCCACCACATTTAAGAATATTATCGTCGGTGATCATAGGCATTCAATTCGAACGCCACGCTGAGTTTTCCGTTGTGGATCACCTGACACGTGCCATTTTCATATAGCTGTTGAATGAGGTTGATAAAGACTTTGGGCACTGCTTGCCGTAGTTTTGAAGCAGTTTCCAAATTACTTCTCGGTTAACGCTGTTGAAAGACTGCCAAAACTTTTTTGACAGCATTGACCGAGAAGTAATTTGGAAACTGCTTCAACACTATAATAAAGGTTTTCTTGTATTTCCCAATGAATGAAAAACAAAACGATATTGCTGGTTTTACTGACGTTGAGCTATTTAATGCTGCTGCTAATAGCTTTATCAAAGTAGTGATATTAAACGAGAATTTACAAAATCTTAATCATCGTTCCTCAGCATGGGGTCATTCTTCCGTCGTAAATTGGCCAATTGGTAAAGATAACAAAAAAGGTGTAGATTGTTGGATTTGATATTGATTTGCTTATCACATTTGTGTTGATGTTGTCATTTCATGGGGGAGGGAGGTGTTGTAACCAGGTCAAATTCTGTTTTAGTCCATCATTCCTGTTTATCAGACAATTTGGATTCCACTTGATATGAAGTGCTTCTGGTGATGTTAGACGTTCTTTGTGATTTCTGAAATGCTTTTTCTGGATGATGATTTCAATATTGTCAAAATCAATTTTGTGGCCAGATTCTATGGCTGATGATTTTTCAAGCTTTTCTAATTCAACTGGATTTATTTCTCGGTGGTCGAACAGATGCGGCTCTACGGTGTTCATTTCCTCTGATTCCCTTGATTTCACTCTGGTGATGTTTGTCCGATGTGTATCGCATCACATTCCAAGCAATTTATTTTTAGACACAATTAGATGGAGAATTCTTAGAGATTTGGTCTTTTATATGGACAAGGTTGTTTCGCAGTGTGTCTGATGTTTTGAAGGAAACTCTGATGTCGAGTTTATTGAGAACTCTTCTGATATTGTATGACGTC